GGAAACAAATGACTTTGACTTAGTGACATGGCTTAAAACTGCTCTTACTGGCCAAGTGAGTGGGACACTTCCTTCCAGTTCCTGTAATTGGGAGTTGCTTTTGCTGGTGGTGGAGCAGACAGCTGACATGGCAATTCCAGGTGACATGAGTTTTCATACCAACATTCAGGTGATTAAAATGTTGATTTTAAAGGCTGATTGTAACAGTGACTGAGAAGTACTCTTCTGGATGATGATGAAGTCTGAAAACCTTAGTGATTCTGTACATGTTCAGGTCTCCTCATGTCCACTCACTGCCTGCATATTGAAACAGGAAGTGTTACTAATAGTGATGTAGCTCTGCCACAGTATCGCAAACACACCAGGAAGAGAGAAGTCCAGTGAGGTCATTTGATTGATTTCTCCTCCTTCCAGAGAAACAGAGAAATGGGGTACTCTCCACCATATATTTTGAAGTGCTTTCTATAGTTTAACATCTGATGCAGGAGAAATTGAGTCCATATTTTCTCTACTACTCTAGAGTCAGAAGTAATCCCAGTCCGCATGGTGTAGGTGATGGCAGCACTTCAGAGCCCTATAACCACATCAAGAAGACCCAGGATGTCTGTGGTGCACCCAGCAGTGTCAGTTAAGACCTCTTCCTCCCAGACCCTAATAAATCCATGCCTGTTGCCTAATGGACCAAGAAAGAGTTGTAAGAAGTATCCTTCACTGCAAGAGGATTCTCTCTAATGCACCAAAACATGCAAGCTGGTGTTAAATATCCAAGACACTAGCTGACATTGGGTTGCTCTGAGCATCAGCTTATCTGGGATTTTTAATGTACATGGATTTCTTTGAGTTTGGAAAGTTTATCTCAACAGTTTGTTCAAAAACTGTATAAAATTCTTATTGATGGGGTTTGAAAACTTCAGGCATCAGAACCTGAGTCTACTGGCTTTATCGCGTAAGGCTATGGGGTTGGCAGGACCCCCTGAATTTTGTGGTACAGCAGCACTTGCTGGGTACACACACCTTGTGGATTTTTGAGTACTGAGAACTCCAGCAAAGATGCGTGACTGAGTAGTGTGCTAGTGTGATACAGATGCCACAGAAGAGTGGCAGGATTAGTTGGCATTTGGCAAAGATAAATATAATTCTGCATAATGAATTTGATCAGAGGCAGCAAAGCAAAACAGTGGCATCACAGGGACAGGGGATTTCCTGGGGCAAGTCAGTTATGGGGTACCCCAGAGGAACTAGGCACCATCCCTGCACATGCCGTGGGGGGCCTCTTCTGGGCCCTGGTGTCTTCTGTGGACCTCACTAAAAACTACCAAAATGCTGCCTGAGAAGGGATTAACATTAATGTTTAATTAGGACAAGGGCTATTCAGACTCCAGTGCCAGCTGTTGCAGAGCAAAGTGAGCACACAGAAACAACAGGCTGTGTGGCTCCAAGTTTCAGAAATTATTTGAGTTTGAAAGACACAACAGTTCATTTTTCATGGCTGACTAGACAAATTGCATCTCAGGTAGGGCAATGCTGTAAAATACTGAGATCACATTTTTGCTTTTCCACATGTTCATCAGCCATCTTCAACTCCCAGTGGAGTGTACCCCACCTCACCTTCATCCAGCTCACCTCTTCCTGCTATCTCCCATCCCACACACATTTGCAGTCATTGCTAATTACAGTCATCACCCATAGACAGGAGGTGAGCACATCAACACCCTTCCTTTCTTCTGCTTTTGTGCTAGTGTGGTTATTGGGAGCTGGTGAATATATACAGTTGTTGAACCTGATCATCACATATTAAGCACTTAGTGTGGACACAAATTAATGTGACTAATAACTGTGAGAGGACAGATTTTTACCACCTACAAGCCTCAAGGAATAGCATGGGAACCATGTGCTGTTTCTAACCATGTTCAGTGTGAAATAATTATGCAAACTTCAAACTAAAAATCTCCAAGTGCTCAAGACATGAATTCTGCAATACCATGCAAAGTATATCCACTAAGGTGAGCAGAACCTCCACAAAACAGCCCAAGTAAAGATACTTTATTGCAAAGCCATGCTCTTCCTCAGTCAGTGGAGGTGTCTAGCAGTAGGAATAGAAGGGTGCCCATCCTAGCAAAGCTATTCTTAAAGCACAAATACTTCCTGACAAGCCACCTCTCTTCCCTGGGGGTTAGTTGCAGCCCTCCACTGTGGGAGGGCGTCCTGCTCTCTGACCACTCTAAACAAGTATGTTCCCCGTAGGCATCCCACCCAGTCTGCCTGAACAGAGACGCACCTTCCTTTCCAAAGGTAATTCCATGCACCTATGCGGAACGAAGATGAAGGAAGTAAACTGTGGCAAACAGAGCCCTGGCCAGCTGAGACTGAATGAATAAATGTGTGTGAATAAATGTGTGTGACACGGGGCTGGAGTCACTGCCGAGCTATATCTCCCCATCTGTGGGAAACAAATTCCTGGTCATCGTGGTAACTGGGTGATGATATAGCTGAAAATTCTGTGAAGTTAGTAATAACCCACTCTAGAAAAGCAGGATAATTTTGTTTGCTTCCCAGAGAAGATTAAGGGATTTAAAAAATGCAGCCAAAAAACCCACCAGCACCACCCTATCCCACAAATATAGGGCATTTACATTTTTAACCACACCATTATACTGATGTATGTTTTCACTCTGAATTCTAGCACTTCAGTTTTTTATTAAGTCCCCTGCAGTCTTTGTAATCTTGTTGGAGCAGAAAAGGAGAGGAAGACAGAGGTCTATATTCTGTTCAGGTTACCCAGAGCAGCTGATTAATCCTTCTGGATAGGCACTTGATGTAAATCATGGTGGAATTTAAGCAATGGCTTAGGTCTTTACCCAGGCTGGTAATTATGAGCAATGGATCCCTCACAAGGAATACAGAAATTTCATGAATGCTTTCCAGCTACATCATGATCCTGGTGTGCTTTCAAGCATAAATTTGCCCTGGCACACAAAGGCATGGAGACAATCAACTATGTTTTTATGGTCAGCCCCTTTCTACATTTATTCTTAATAGTTTTAATAATAAATTATTTTACTGTCTCAGCCTGTCTTGCCTACTTAGCTGTACTTGTTTTACACATGGACTGTCTCTTGCCAGCACGGAGCATAAGGAAGTCTAGAGACTGCTATAGAGACTGCTACCAAGTGTTTAGAGATACACCTTTGTAATAGTATGAAATTGAACACACTCGCTTTAACCATCTTCTGTGGTTTCTCTGTCCACTAGAGACAAAGCTTGTTGGGTTTAAATTCTGATTTTTTTCAAGCAATTCTTTAAAATCCTTTGGCAAGTTTCTCTGGGTATATAAAACCTATGAAAATAAAATTGTGTTTGTCCTGAATTACATTAACAAAAGAAACAAGAATTACTAGTCCTCTAGATGGTGCTACTATTTCAAATAAAGCAGCTGGATACTTGAAGATTTTGTTGAAATGTATTGCTCTATTACCCTATGAGAAAGGGGTATTGTGAGAAATCCTGACCCCAGTAAAAGAACTGATGTTAGACAATCCAAAACTTCATCTAACAGTGCTAGCAGTCAGAGGCAGCTTGTATGTAAATATACTAATTGCTCCTCTTTAAAGAGTAGTGAATGCTTCAGTATCTTACTAAATGCAGAAAAATTATAGGTTGTTTTGATGAAAATTATCTTTTAAAGGCTGACTCAATTTTCTATGTCTTTGATTTCCAATTTTCCCAATAATTTGTAGCTGACCCCTCCAGCATAGCACTTTTCAACTTCAATGACTCATATGAATGTTCTCTGGCCACAGCCTCTGGATGTGTCACATGCCAAGCATGACAGGCTTTCCCTGGCAAAGGCTGCACACTCTGGCCCCATTTCACAGAAGCGCTTTAGCACAACTGTACTTCAAATGCAACCACAGAAACAGTGCACACACTCAAACTGAAAACAGTGGTTAAGAACCTTGTTGGCTTAAGGATACTTGTATATGGACGCTGTACTTGCGCATTAAAGGCTGTTAAATCTAAGTGCTTCAGTGATACATAGCATGGAAAGAAGGTAAAACAATTTACCTTTTCTTGCCCAACACAGCTGCACAGGTCCACCACTGAAATATCGGGCCAGCTGTCTATAAGACAAATTTTCTTATCCTTCGTTCCTTTTTGTCCGACCACTTATCAAGAGGATGCCAAAGTTTCTCCTATTCTTTCCTCTCTTTTCAGGGCTGCTATCTGTAGCTTTGGAACATCTGCCTATTTTCTCTCTCTGATATTTTTCCTGATTCCCTTTGTAAATCTAGCCAGATAGATTTGCAGCACCAGATTTCTCTCCTCCTGTTGTTGCTGTTAAAGTCAAGAACAAAAACTTTTTGATTTCAAGATTATTATTGTTATACATTATTATACATCTGACCTTTGAAGCATACATTCTCTATAACCGCTATCTCTTACTTTGTGCAAAGTTCATCTGTTATCTAAATAAATGTCAAATTTGGGACCTTGTTAAGCCTTTAGCCTCAGTAATGATAACTGTGAATTCTGGAGTTTACTCAGACAGTGTAAGAGAAACATTTATTTCATTGATTTTGACTATTCAACCTTTACAATTTTACACAGTATATTTGTTCTTGTGTTATGAGAAAAGAATAACAACATCTCTAGATCATTATTTTGTATTCTTTCCCTGTGTCCTCATTTATTTATCTGCTTTCCAATAAACTTTCCTCACAGGAAGATACGTCTGGGCTCTTGGTGATTTTTACTGCTCTTTTATGAGTCCCTCTCCAGTTTCATAATAGTTTGGTTGGTTAGTTTTTGAGGCTGAAGTGTGGGAAGTTCTCAATGTATTTATTTATAAAACAAAACAAAACAAAAAATGAACCATGGGAACTGTTTCTAACACTTCATGAGACAGCCTAGATGCAAATATCTAGCCAAGTAAATATAAACCAAGTATTACAGACAGTTTCTTGTGGATTTATTTTAAAAATAACCATGAAGACATGAGCTTAAACAACAAGTAGTTTATTTAGCACACTTAATAAATCCTTGCACACAGTAATTTCCTAAGTCCTCTGACCTTTTTCCAAAAATCCCTTTTCGTATGAATAACGTACTCTAATTGCCCTGCTTGTGAGGACCAACACAGGCAACTAGAATTAACCTTCTTCTTAAAAATAAAATAAGATTAGACTGACTTTGGAAGTGACTCCTTCAATGGCTCAGAATCTTCTGGCTCGTAATAAGGTTCCAAAATAGGTTTTAATTTGACTTCTTCTGGCAGTTTTTGAGTCTCTTCTCTCCTGCTTCCATCTCTTAAAAGTGGAACCAATGTTTTCCAGTTTTTCCCTGAAACTAAAAAGAAAAGGAATGGTTAATTTTTTACACTCCACAGAAACAGAAGAAAATATACAAGCGGTCTAAATAGGAAGCTGATGAAAGAAGAAGAAAGAAGTGGGAAGAAAGGGCTTTGTGAGTTTTCCATATTTCAGCTGGCAAGTACAGCAGAGATGGATCATAGTTAAATACTTCTGTGCTGGATGCCGAGCTCCAGAACTATAGCATTTGTGACCTCCGAAGTATCTTCTTGGCTATCTGGCTGCCATCATATACCGTTCCATCTCCTCAGGATTTACACATATCTGCCTTGTAAGATCTACAGTCAGAATGATGAATCTATGGGGCTTCTATTTCAGAGAGTAAAGCTGCTTTGTTAATAATGAGCACGCTTAATCCTTTACATTTTGTGCCGACTTAAAATGCCATTAACTTAGCTGCTGCCATTATCATTAAGTGCATAAAACTGACTGCCCTCTAACAATTAATAAATGCTTCTGTCACAAGTGTCTAGCCGATGCTAGGATTTAGGTCCTTGAAGCCCTCACCTCTGCCAGACTTAATACTGTAACTGGGATTTCGTTTGAGGTCCCCAGAGTACCCAGGGTCTTCGTTGATTATGCCCAGATTAGTATTCCACGTGGACCAGTTCACTTCATCAACCCTGGGGAGAGAATAACAAAACCAATACCTATTCTAAGGATCACCAGACAACTGCAGGATGAGTTTATATCACAGACTGACACCTCTCAAGCCTCAGATCTGACCCAGGAAACAGATTAAACTGGCTACTATAGACAGTTAGTGCACTACTTTTCAGAGTGCTCCAGGGGGAAAGTTCTGCTTCACGTTACCAGATACCTTAATGTTGTTTGTCTATAAAAATTGTTCATTTGACATACAAACAGGTTACCTAAAGCACCATCTGTAATCATCTTGGCCGTCAGGTGTGACCCCCACCAAGACTTGCTTCCCAGACCGGAACGAGCGCCTCACACAGTTCAAGTAGCTGTTTTCAATATCCAGGATTGTGATGGCTCTCTATCAGGTAAAAGAAAGCAGACCACTGAGAGGCTGCTGTTTCAAAGTCATACAAATCCCGAATTCTGCCTTTATTTTAAAAACCTTGAGCTTTTATCATTGTCACCATCTTAGAGCAGGCATTGTAACCATCTCTGAAACATCACCCCCTGTTAATATGTCATTAAAAATGCTGAATTACTGCCCTGCAATTAGAACTATGAAGTTCTCTTTCTTACCTGAAACAAAAACTGATGTGCCTTTGAGACTTGGGTAAAAACTGGTTTTCCCCTTGCATAATCCCTGTCTTCATAGTCTGATTAGGATTTTCCATCATCAAAAGCCCAAATAATTCTGTCTAATTACAAATACTTCTTTTCCTAAATTCTGAACATCTGTGGAACACTGGGAACATCTTCTCAGGCAAAACATCAAATATGCATGGAAGAAGAACTAATATACTTCTTTTAGGAACCATTCAGGAAATCAGAAACTCGTTATTTAGAAACATGCCAGTTTCTAAGGATTCTCTCTGCATTTCTTATGATTACCCCCACCCTCTTTCTTGGATAGCAGCCTCACAGAACCAATGTACCTGGAGTTTCCAGATGCTCTTGCTCTCCTGTGCGATTTTGCTCACAGTTTCCCCCATCAGTGCAATAAGCATGTTGAGCAGGAGGATGTATGTAAGGATGACATAGAGAACCAAAAGGATGACAAACACAGACTTGAACCTGTAGTTCTCTGTGAACTCCAGGTCCCCCATCCCAATAGTGAACTTGAAAAGCTCCAAGCAGGTGTAATACAGACTATTGTAGGATGTGCGGCCTCGTTTCATATGGCAGCATCTGGCATATTCAGAGCTATTTGTGTCTTGCCCCTCATTGTCATCTTCAATTAAAGTCACCACAGCTGTTGCAAAAGAGGAATCAACATATGCAGGATGAAAATACAACTGGAGATCATAATTCCTTTGCAAGCAATGAAAATGAGCATAAAGGTAAGATATGTTATCCTCATGGTACGTTGTCCCCAGTGAAATTGCTCTATAAAATATTCCCCATAACTGACACCCTCTCGGAAGGTGTTGTCCCAGTTTTATCTACATAGACCAGGATGACTTTTTCCATTCAACTTTGCAAAGCAGTTTGAGACCCAGGGATGAAAAGTTGTATGAAATTACTATACATAATTGTTATTCTGAAGAGATTTTTTTTTTTGCAATTAGGTTAATTTTTTACTTTCTAGTTGGAAACAAAAAGTCTAAGCCACTTGAAAAATAAAATTTTCTGAGATTCTTTAAGATAACAAAAAGTTAACTCCGAGTATGATATTACCTGTAGAAAATCCCAAAAGGAATACTAGATAGACAAACATGAAGCGACATAAATCTCTAAGGATCATCTGTAACATGGAAACAGAATATTTTCATACTGCTGAAACTTGAATATAAACAGCATCAAAACCTGGTAGAAAATACTGCTTCAGTTCAAGAAGGCATTTGCAGTGAACTGGCTGTTCACACATTAAACTATTGTTCATCCTGCTGAGATAATAAACTTTAATATAGAAAACATTTTTCTCTGTTATTCATGCAACAGTTTACACACATATGCAAGACATATGCACAACAGATAATTTCATCTTTGTGAGTATAAACCACATTAAAACAGTTGCATCTTTCTTCCCCTCTTGGGCTAGCTCTTTACATCCCATATAGACATTTATTAGCCAGCTACTGCCTCTTAGGCTAATTGCTCTGTTTGGTAACATTTAAACTATACCTAAAGAAATTTCCAGCTGGTAGAAAGCTGTGCCATTTCACACCAGACCAGTCTGCACTGTTCTCAGTCTACTTTCATCCAAGCCGATCCAACTGTAGTTATTTTGAAGCATGGCAGGCAATAATAAGACTGCTATAAAATGTATGGATGAGGAGCAGGAGTTTTTTTCTACATAACATAACATAATTTTATCACTTCACACAGAAAATAATGGCCAAGTATAGTAGAGTGATATGAAATTTCCCAGTGGCATCATGGAGGTAGATATGGCGACATCTCTCCTGGAAGTGGGGCTGACAGCAGTGTCCTGATCTGAGCACTCTGCTGGCCTCCTCACCCACTCACTGGACTGACCTTGGCAATCATGACAGAGTAAATGCCCATCTGCTGGAAGCCACGGGTGTAGTACAGCATGTTAGCCCAGCCCAGCGCCAAGGAGAAGACCATGGAAGCCACGTACAGTTCCTGGCCACAGAAGTACAGCACCACAGAGCTCAGGAGGAGCAAGGAGTGAACAAAGCTGAAAGACAAGCATGGTCTGAATGCAGAGTGCTCAGCTGGCCACAGGTGGTGGGAACAGAGGAGCCCCATGAGGCATACAGCAGAATGAGGGATTCTCTAAAACACAAAGGAGCCTTAGCAGACGCTTCCTCTCTTCCCTTCATTCCTTCCCTCCTCAAATCCTACAGTTCCTCTTGCAAAATCCCCAGTTTCCTCACATATAAACTTCTGTAGTGTCATCCCTGCTCTTCCTCCTGATCAGAGGGAAGAAAAAGTCCTTAAAATTACTGATTTCTTTGGTACTTCTCTTTCCACAGACCCATGAAATTGGCCTGTTCAGCTGCACTCCAGCTGGGAAGAGAAAGGGCCCAAATTATGAAGAGGCAAAGCTCCCTTTAGGAATGAGAGGATTTCTGCACATCCAACGCATACACTCATTTGCGAGTCCAACTTAGAGATCTATTCCTAACTCTGCTGCATGACAGTCACTGAACTTCTAGAAACTTCATTTGCCTTACCTCCAAAGGAGATTACTGATCTAGACCCACTTGTTCAAGTGCTATGATATCCACTGACAAGTAGAAGGACCCAGGAAATTATAGCAAAGCATCTACCTATTACAAGTGGCTTCAGACAAAGCTACAGATCTCAAGCACTCATCTGTTTCATGCTGAAACACAAAGATATTTGAGCTTACAAAAGAACCTCACTGTAGCTGTCAACTATCAGCGTCTTGAATGATGGGCGCCTCTGCACGAAATACTGTATCTGAAAAAAAAAAAAAAAATGGGAATGAAGACCAGGTTTGCATCCACGGAGGGATTAAGTATCCCATTTGAACCCATCAACTAAGCACCTATACCACGGAGCTGGTACCTATAAAGCACCTCACAAAAACAGCTCAAAACCAACACTGGCAGAAGATCTAGGCAGGACTCTTCCAGTAACACCTGATTTCTCCTTCATCTGGTGTCTCTTTTGAAGACAACAACCTATTCAGACACTGGTCTGAGGACCTGTGATTCACTGTATACTCTCCCTTGGCTGCCAAGAGGAAGCAGAGCTCTTTAAGATAAGATAGGTAATCTTTAATAGAGGCCTAGATATTTGCAATACTCCATTCTTAAGCTTTGGCCAGGCTAACTGCCAAGATACTCATCAACTTCTAAGGCTAGTCTTTTTTTATACAATAGATAAAACTGTATCTTAGCCTTTGGGCTCATTAGTAACCTGAGAACTAGTCATCAGGCCAAGGAAAAAGATTTGTAGCTCTTGACTGAAACATGGATTATCTCAGCAGCCAGTGCTAATGATTAGGAAAGGCATGTTTGATTTTCTCCTGCATATACCCAAACAGCAAAAAGGAAAAGTTTCAAATATCTTACCCCTCTGAAAAAAAAATAGAGACCTCCCAGTACACTCAGGATCTCTCCAGTCACTCGAAAATATTCCCCAGTGCTATGACCAAACGTGAAGGGAGGCTGTATAAGACAGGAAAATAGATATGTTCAGCAGAACTGGGGATAGGAAAGACTTGGCCTTACCAGCAGGTGAAAGCAACTACATTTCCAGGGGAACAGGTTAAGTTTCTGCATGTGTTGCAGCAAGGGGACAGGACTGACAAACAAGCAGGGCCAAATCTCCCTCCTACCTTCAGGAAAAAGGAAAATTCTGATTTTAGGATCACACAATAAAATGGGAGGCAGATCTGGGATATAACACACTGGGTGGTTCCCCTGATATATGGTAGGAGTAACATACCTTTTCCTTCTTCTCTACAGGTCTGTAGTAAGCAGCTGTGGTGAGGATGATGATATGTATCGTATAGACAAAGAAGTTAAAGTAAAATAAGTGTTTGACAAACCGGTCCCACTTGTCTTGCAGCAGCCTATTAAGGGGTTCCACCAGCAGCATCTCATGACGGTTCTGAGCAGAAGAAGAAATAGGAGAACCCTGATGGGACCAGTATGTACTAGGCTTTGAAACCAGCAAATTATATTAATCTTCAGCAAATGTTCCCTCTAGTACCCTTAAACTCAGGAGAGGAGGAATGCCTCATTTCTATAAAACGGCAAAGATGCACTCTGTGGAACTTGGAGCTCTTCCCCAACAGTCCCCCAGCCTGTGAATAAAATGCCAAGGAGGTGCATACTCACTGGTGTTTCACTGCTGTAGGCAATAATCTCAAGCACTGAATTTTTCTCGCATGTGTCTATACAGGACAGGTCATAAAGAGATGAGTGGACAGGTCCGTAAGCCCATTCAGTGAACTTTCTAGACAAATGTCTGCACTCAGGATCTTTGATCTCTCGTCTGAGGATATAAGCGAAAATCTAATTGCAAAAGAAGAATATAACCAACATTTCAGTGCTAGTGGACTTCCAGTTCCTCAGTATCTCCACAAGACAGGATGGCTAATTTCTTCCTAGTTTAACTGTGCTGAAGTCAAACCACTGGAGCACTGCAGAGATCAAAGTCTGAAGTAAATACAATTTTCTCACTAGATGGTGGAAGATGAGAAATACAAACACTGCTCACAACTTGCCATTATCTGTTTCAAAACTGCAAGAGAAAAGCGGAGATGTATGCTACCTATCTCTGAGCCTACAGTTATTTTGAATGGCAACTGCCAGAAGATGAATTATATCAGCCAGCCTAAAGTACAAGGCCTCTAGTGGTTCAGATGGTAGCACAGACCCACTTTCTGTTTCCACTTGAGCTGCACTGCATACCAGTGGTATATGAATAAAGCCAGCTGGGCACAGACACACACATGCTTCATAGCCTTTAAGGACTATGCAGTTTTGCATGTTAGACTGCAGCATCAGTTCCTCTTAACTAAAAGGCTCCAACAATAAGTAGTGATAAAATCTGTCCTACATAAGTGTTTTGCATGTACTCTGTATAACTTGAAACAGTAATAGGACACTGAAACACATTTGCTCACCTACCCCTATCTTCCCTGTTTTGGCCGCCAGAGTTAATGGAGTCAGCCCTTTCTTGTTGGTGAGTTCTTCTAGCTTCAGGATTGGATTAATTTTGGCACCAAGAATCAATATGTTGTTGTACATCTTGGTAACAAACTTGGTATTATCCTTAGTATTATCTGCAATCTCCACCAGTGTGTGCAGGACCATATTACCCATGGAGTCCTCAGCGGTGATGTTGGCTGCCTGGTAGGGGTTCTCGAGGAGAAATTTCACAATGCAGAGCTGGTTGGTGCAGGCAGCCAGGGACAAAGGCAGCTCCCCTATGGGCAAGCAATGGGGGTGGTCAGAAAGCCCGTTACTACACATTCATAAACAGAAAGAAAATCGTGCTGTTTTCAACTTTCACCATGAGAAGAAAAGGTGTATTTCTCCGTCTGATATAGCACCAATTCTTGTGATAGCTGTTAGAATCACATTTTCTTTGGTTTCACAGAAACATGGCTGCTTAAAAAAGCACCGAAAGGAGAGCTAGCAGAAGATTACAACCTTTCAAATGATACAGTGTCCAGAAAACAAAGGGATGCAGACACCAAGCTCACATTGAACACCATCAACTACCAACTGTGCTACTCTATAATCTCAGCCTTCGGGAGTAAATATTTGGACTAAGTGGTGGAACAGCCCATCTGGTATTTCTGAGCCTCCAGTCCCCCAGAAACAGGATTATTTGACAGCTTGCACTTGCGATGATGCTAGAATAACTCAATCAATAAAGCCCATACTGTGCTCACCCCTACCAAAATAAAAGCCAGATTTCCCTTTGATTTTCCTGAAGAACTCCCCACAGGCTCTTGCATGAACATCTGCTCCGTTCTGGACCAAAAGCTTCACCAGGTACATGTTTCTTCTCTCAATGGCGATGTGAAGTGCAGTCTGGCCTACAGAGACACTCATCAGACAGAAATCTTCAACATTTAATACAGACTGAAAGCTTTCAGGCACCACAATTCATTCAGCTCCATGTAAGATGGCAGAACTGAGAGCTTTGCAGAAAAAGCTCTAGAATTGAACAAAAAATGATGGCACAGACAACAAATGCAAGTCCCCTGAACTTGCTATTAAATCACTATATATCAAAAATGGCACAATATTGCATCTAACAAAACACTGCCCTAGAACAAATGCATTGATTGTTAATCACACATTGGAACTTCAGGATGCTGCATCCTCAGGCATAAGGCCTCATGCAGAAGACTGAGAGCCCTGCCTAACCCTATCTTCAGTCTTATCACCAAGAGTATTCACTGTATCAGCTGTTTCTCTTACCCTTGTAGTAGTTGTCAGTATACTCTGCATTAACAAACTCTTTCAGAGTTCCAGTTTTCCTTGCAATATCCAGCAGCAAGGGAATGGTATCATTTTTCCCATCATGTAGATTCAGCATGGCTTTCAGTAAGCAGGTTTTCCCAGTTTCTGGCTCTATAACACACAAAAAAATGCTGCTATATAGAAGTGATTACAAATCTACCATCTACTCCCATGCATGCAGGAATTAATGAGATTCTTTTGAAAAGACAAGAAAACTCATCCAGGGTTTCGCAGAAAATTTCAACTTCTCTGAATTCTCCTGTAACCTTACAATCAATGGGTTGCCCAATCAGTAAGGAAGTACTGGCTATTAGAGGACCTCCTGCAGACACTTCACACAATTATGTTTTCTTGCTCATGTCAGGAGCACTACTGGAAGAAGAAGGCAGCAACTTAATGTATGTGACACTAAAGGGTACCTTTGAACTCATCATCTGTGAGATGCTTCAAGGTTCTATTAAGGTAGAGTAGCAGATCATCCAGGTCCCTTGTGTTGCCTTGGGCTACAGCATCAAAGATCCTTCTGCGGTCATAAAATTTGAAAGCTTTTTCTGAGCAGCCCGTGATGGAATCTGTAGATAAGAGCCTAACAAGGGTAAATTTCAGTTACTTAAAAGTCAAATATTTAGCAGACTTTTTCTAAACTACCAGAATACTATTTTTCATTTGCTTGTATGAAGTAGTAAGCACTACGTATTAGTAAAGATGGATCTCCAAAGTCTACAAGATCGACAAAGTCTACAAGCAACTGTCTTGATAAAATTATGTATCTGTTGCTGAATGGCTGAGAACAAGACTTAAAAGAGGCATTGAAGCATGGCAGTCTAACTGCAGGCCTGGGAGCCAGGCAATCCCATGTTCTCATTCTGAGTGATGTCCATTCACTGAACAGTCTCAAGCAAGGGAATTAAGGCCTACCACTAATTTGGGGCAAAAATATCCATGGCCCGAATTTTTTAGAGATGCCAAGAGACAACAGCTATCATCACTTTCAGATGCAACACCCCTTATTTTGGCATAGAAAATAGTGAAACTGAAAAAACAGGCATGCTCATGCAGAGAGAACAAATACTGCTCTAAGAAACACATTCTGCAGCTGTCAAACTGTTCATTACAACCAAATCTTGTAAGACAAACTTACTTGTGAAGTTTCCCCCTCTCCAAATTGGCATGAAATTTGATGACAGAAGGTGCCATCAGGTAATCCATCTGGTAAAAGGAGTCCATGGGAGCCATGTCCTTGTCACTATCCCCCATCACAAACCGCCCACGTCTTGCAAAGATGTTGCTTTTGGGTGGCTGCACCTTGGTGCTGAGTGAACCCTGGAAGCTGTCAGGCATTTCCAGCATGGAGTCCTCCCCATCCATGTGTTCATCTGTCACTTCAGATTCCTCCATGTCAGAACTGCCAAATTTCTTCATCTTCCCAAGAATGGAAGACATGATGAGTAGGCAGTCTGTGAGGAATGACACAAATACCTCAAGTCAGCACTTTATGGGTCCCTGAGTTCCCTTTGATGACTCTCAAGAAGCAGCAGGGAATGGATTGGTTGCTCTCATCCCAGAAGTGAGACAGATGGACAGATATTCGTACCCAGAGTTGGAACAGTTTAGTAGGTTATTACCTCCATGCTGTTTGTCACTGTCCCCACTGCCCTCACCCGTTTCAGAATGGAGAAAGCAAGCCAGAGCATCCTGTTTGCCAGCCACCTCACTGCAGAGCTGATGACTACTGCTCAAAACTAGTGCTTCATCCTCCTCCAATTATTGTTAAAGCCTGAACAATCTCAAACCTGAACGATCTCTGCTTTTCTTCTCTACTTACTAACTGGTTTGTGCCACAATATACTCTCAAGATTATATCAGAGGTGAAAAAAGCCTGCTCATGCCATAACCGTATCTCAGTGATGCTGAGCACAGATGGCTTCCTGTATATAGAAAAATTATCACTTAATTGCTTTACCAAAGTTACAGCAGTGCTAGATGAAAATTGTGGCATGTGATTCTTGGGAGATGAGTGTCACCTCAAACATGAGACACAGAAACAGAAAGGGATGACTGTAAGACCACACATCTGATCTCGTCTGATTTACAACCACAAAGAATGTGACACAAGTTAACAAATATACTATACTGAAAGTAGAGCAGACTTTTTTTTTTTTTTTTGGTGCTTTCTTATCGAACTGGCTTACTCAGACAAACATTGGTCTTCATGCCACTGAATACAAAATATTCTGGAACTCCCGCACTAGAGACAGGAATGCATCATATTTGAACTGCTGCATAGCTGGCTTTTAGAGAGAGCTGAGCAGGCTTAGAAACATATCCTGAAAGCCTAGATTGTTTGGAAATCTTACAGCTTTGAGCACAGGAATGTTATAAAATCTTTAAAAAGCCTTCAATTATAAACTAAATTACAGTGGTCAGTAATCTTCTCCATACCTTCAGTGTGAAAACAACATCAACACTTCAATATTGCTTCTCTTCACAAAAATATTCTGAGCAGTTCTCTGCAAAACTACAGTGTGCATTAAAGTTAAATTTTCAGTTCTATGGGACTAGTTAATATTTACATTAAGGTTCACTTACATTCTCCTGTGCAAGTAGGATAGGAAATAAACTTTTGTCAGGCATTTACATTTTCTATCATTTTGTACAATCTACATATAAAGAAAACATTAATTTGCAAACTTGCACATTAGGGTTACTGGAAGCAAAACAGAGTAGTATAGAAGAAATACTAATGACTGCAGTTTAACTCACTATGTCCTCTGAGCTCACCTTTCAAGTTCTTTGTGTCCTTAGAATCACTTTGAAAGAATAACACAGTATCTCATTAACTGTTCTATAAATAAGAAATTATATATAGAAAAATATTTAAATTTGGAATATGATACTGCAAATACAGAAAAACAATTACTTCACTGAAAAAGTTATTAAAATAGTTTTATTAAAAAATGGAAAAAGTTACACTGGGAATACAGCTATGTATGATTTTAATTTTTTGTCTAATTTAAATTAATGTGGATTGAGCCAAAAATGTCAGAGAAGGCTATGGAAAATGGAATCACTTATTTTCCACAGAATAGGTACAATATTAAAAATCTGCAAAATAGACTCAATCCTGTCATGCTGGCAATTTGCTCAAGCCTAGTTTATTCATTATATGTGCTTTTGTTTATAAACCCAGTTGGTAATATCTTTGATAATGAAGACAAAGCCACATTTCCTCAAAAATACAAATTTTCAAGGGAAATAACCTTCAAAATTCTGTGGAAGGATTCTTTAAAGAAAAAAAAAAATATATAGCCTAAAAAATGCGTAACCTACTTGAATTCTTTGAATCCTATGTACATTGAAGTTTGATACAATAAATGAGATATGGAAATATTTTTGATAGAATGTCTAACCATATTACAACTTACAATAAACAACAGAGTTTACAAATAATTAATAACCATGCTATTCAAATATACATGCAGAACTTACAAATATTGCAAAAAATCCTGTCTTCCGCAAAATAATCCAGTGTCAGTAAACACCCTCTGATCTATAGGAATGTGGTGCCAGATATTCCTCCTCGACGGTGTCCAGACTGAAAAGCCCTCAGAGTTTGGTTCTCCACTTCATTTGTCTGCAAAAGTGTTATGTGCCTGATGACTTTTAGAATCAAGGGAAGTTCACCAGAGAACAGAGAATAGAATAATAAGCTCATTAAGAACAATTCTGGAACCAGAAGCATCAGTGGCTTCTATTCCCAGGAGTTTAGCAAAGCTCTTTACAAGAATTGCAGTAAGTTGCTGCTGTTTTTCCCTCGCCTTTAATTGCATTTAGTAATGGATACTCTTCTTCAGACTTCCTCTTCGTAAATATACTCAAGCTTGCAAAAAACCCCAAACCACCAGACAACAATTGTTTCTGTGGGTCACAGTTTCATTTCAATTTACAAAACTTTTTAAAATATGCCACAGCTCTTCTCTGAGATCAGTCATCGTTCTGGACATCTTTCTTGGGTGGCTGCTGTAAAGCCCCACAAAGTACTTTAAAGATAAGCTGATTCTGAACAGATCTTAGGGAGAACCAATGACAAAAAGCTCTAAAACCATTCAATTTTTGCATATTCTTACTGCGTTTTATTTAAATAATATATAGGTAATGGTCAGCTTTTAAATATTGTCTTTAGGAAAAAAAGAATTCTCATTTTTTTAAAAAATTTAAAAAAAAAATTTTTTTTAAATTAAGAACTGTGTCATATATTGTTAAATATATGATTTACATAAGATCTTTCTGCCAAAAACTAGTCTAGAGGAACAGCTTTTCCAGCAGGCTGAGCCAACAGTCTGTAGCTATTAGTCTAGAAGCAACCTCCAAACTTCTAACTCCTGAGGTTTTAAATTATATTATAAAATTATTCAATTAAATTATGGTTCACGTTTTGCAAAAGGTAACTAACTTTCTAGTCTTGCTATCTATCTATCTATCTATCTATCTATCTATCTATCTATCTATCTATCTATAATAGAATATCTTTTCCTATTTAACAGCAAACTAATTATACTACTTAAAACACCCTATGGCATTGTACTCAAAAGAAATAAAATGCTTATTTATTAATGCATAAGTATAGATCACCAGTCAGTCTGGTCCTTAGCTCTTGGAGCTTTGCTGAGCAGAGCATCTCATTCACCATTATGATCAACTCCTTCACAATTTCCAAAGCAGAGACTCAGTAAGAAAACTATATGGATCAGTGGAGGCTCTCCCTTAATCAGTCTCTAGCTTCTTGCTGGTCCCTTTTGCCAAATGATCCTTCTCTCTCTTCTCCCATTCCAGGCATCAGCCCCTTTCAGTCTTACTGTGCTCTGATGTACACACTTTGGCAACTTTCTGCTATTTTCTGAGTTTCGATGCCTCCTTCATCAGCCTCCTTGACCTGCATTTCTTGTGAAGATGTTTCCTTCTTAGCAGCAGCAGTCCATTGATTTTTGCAACAGCTGTTGGATGTATCATATTCCATCTCAGCAGGGACCTACTTGAAAGGTGTAAGCTCATAAGGAGATGTGAACGCTTATCAAAATAGGGCAGTAATAAAGAAAGAATTTATTCCTTTTTCTTGGCCCTACATCTAACATGCTGCATAGGCTCTGTGCGATTTCTGTGCTTGAGACTGATTTTACCGACTAAGAGCCCTCTCCATCACGACAAATGGAAAAACATCAGATGTGCTAGAGATCTTAAAGGTGTATCCAAAGCTGATCTGAAGGTCAGAGATAGTCTTGCCTTTGCTAACAGAATCTAAAACCAGGCCACAATTTTACCAGCTTCTGGAAACAAATATCACTTGATTTCATGGTTCCAGCATGCTGGAATAGTATTGAGCTCTTTCCAGTTATTCAATAAAAATAAAAGCGGATCTGCAGATACAAAAATAATTTTTATTAACATAAAAGGGAAAACAACATATAACAAATTCAGAGTTTTTACAGAAACTTTAATCTAGTCCACACTTTCTCTGTAGTTCCTATATATGCTAAGAGTTCCCTAAACACAGCATGGAATAGATGCATGAAGGGCGGGTGGAAGGAGATGGAAATTAATCCATCTCTGTAATTAACATCTCAGAACAGCTTTCTCACTACAAAATGAGTCAGTCCTGATGTTGCTAATGTGCAAGATAGTAATACACGCCCATATTTCAGTGTAAATTTATGCTTCTAAGTAATGAAATAGTATCTAGATAACATGAAACTATCTCACTTGCTTCCCAATCTCATTTAAGCAAAAAAGGTGTATGTCCATCTTGTTTTAGACAGATAGAGCATAGATGTTTTCACATTAAAATAAAGAGTGGGGGAGAGAAATACATTTTAAGAGCATGGGATAAAAACTCTGAAATTTTAAGGGAATTCGCATGAACAATACTTAACATCAAAAACAGATTAGAGTCTAGCCTGGCAGCTGCCATATTAAAACTCAATTTGATGAAATACATGAAGGGCAGAATCAGAAACACATTCGGATCAAATACACTAAAATAGCTATGCACTATATTACAAAAACAAACTATTGCTGTGGACCGTCTCTCAAAATGTTAATTGTGTTTGGGCTTAAAAGGGAAATCAAAGATGAAAGAGATGAGAATTGGGCTTCTGTAACCCTGAGCTTGCCAGCTCATCCAGTTTATCACAAATTCTGACTATTTCAGAGAGGCTGTGATACACTCTACCAACCAAAAACCAAGTGTAAAATAATTATGTATGCCAAATAAGAAAAATAGTTACCTCACATCCTGTAGATGTATTTTCCACTCAGATACAAGCCTGCATTCCATGCATCTCCAGTCACGGTACTGGGCAAGCCATGTCGCTGACCTTAGTCCACTACACCTGATTTGAGTGGCCACAGAAATAATCCTCCATGTTTTATTTTGATTTGTTTTGTCAATGTTCAAGCCAAAGTTGTAGTCTATCTTTTACAGAGACAACATGCAACATGTAAAAAGTGGTATTCATTCTGTGCAAGAGCCACCAAACCCCCCAAACAAGGTTGACATCCTGGTCTGATGCCTATATGTATGTATATTGTGAGACAGTTTAAGGACAAGAAGTCTCTAATGAAAGCATCAGACTAAGTTACAGACAGCTACTCACCTCTCCTAGTCCTTCTAAACATATTTCCTACCAGGAAAACAAGCCTTGCATGAAGTATCATTTTATGCAGAAAGTTAATGGATCTTTCCTAGTCACTCAGTCAAATTTAATGTGATAATTACTCCTCATTTCACAAATGGGAATGACAGAGCAATGAAATGTGTACACCCAGAAGCAGAAGTGGACATTAAATGCAAGCTTTTTTTTTTTCCACTGTAATGAGTGAGCTGGCATGTTGAATAAAACTCCAGAAAAAGTGAAGGAAGTGAAAAGCAACACTGTACAGCCAGGAGAGAAAAAAACCAAACCAAACCAAACCAAAACAAACAAAAAACCAGCTGCATCTCAGGCTATCTCATTAATTACTTTATTTTCTGTGAAACATCACCATGGCAGCCCCCACAGCAGCATCGACATCCTTTCCATAAACCAGAGGGAATGGAAAAACCCTTTCCACTTCCTGCCTCAGCACCTCGTTCCTGGCAAGGGCACTCCCACTCCCCAGAATCTTCTTCACTCCCGTCTCCATCAGGCGCTGCACAGGTAACATGGAACAGAGGTTTTCAATGATGCCACGGCACAGAGCTCTGGTAACATGACCCAGGGAAAGGTCAGAGACAGCAATATTGGTCACTGATGCCAACTGCTCAGGAACATGTCTCTCTCCAAATATGGTTGGGTGGACTGAGAGTTTGCTGTCGTTTTGGGCTAAGGCTGCTTTGATTATCTTTGTGTAGATGGCAGACTCCTGAACCTGAAGTCCTGCAGATGGGAAATACCATGTTACTAATCTGAAGGGGTCTAGTGTGTCTTACATGTGGAAAATTAAAATGGACACTGATCCACCTGTTCAGCAAAATATTGTGTATCTGTTTCCATGTCTCAAAGGTAATTGCTTTTCCAGGATTATAAACCACAGTTCTCCCATCCAATTCTATCTAGAATCCGTGATACTAGAGATCTTTCTCTGATTACAGAAACTGCCTTTCTTGATGATAGAGCTATTTCTCTTTACCCATACTGTGCTAAATTACATAAAACAATATCATTAAAGGCATTAATGGCAGACTTCAGCTTCAGTGGCTGGATTGCATGCGAATGCAGAGTTCAGTTGAAGTACTCCCTGAAAGAACAATTTCAGAGCTTACTTCTACATTGCAAAACCCAAGAGGTTACTAAAAAATCCTGTTAAGGACCATGTTTAAAGCACTTAGAAGACATTACATGAGTTTGGGTCTTAAAATCCATTAAGAGTGCTGCAGACTATGCGGCAAAAGGCAACTGATTTAGTCAAGGGACTTTTCTGGACTGCAGTCATACAAAATTAGAGGCTGTCCTCAAATTTGCTTACCTTTCCTTTTGAAAAACAACTTGCAAAAAATAATTCTTTTGTCTTCTTGAAACAAAAGAAAACCCAAAACCTAGAGGCAATGTAAATGTGGAGTCCAAGCATGACTGTCCCAGCATGTTCATAAGCTTTAGCAGGAAATTCCAGAGTTCGAGGAAGCATGACCTAAGAGTTACATCCTTGTTCCCTATATGGCATGACAAAACATCTCTAGGCTTGTTCCTTTGCCTTAGCTTCCTTTTACCTTGATGATCAACCTCAATTTTAAGCTTAAACTATCCTTGAAATAGCTTACCTAGCTCTTCTGTCCACCTTGCCACCATGTCCACAAATGTTGCTAGCACATTGCCTCCATTAAGGGATGCTGCCACTGCTAAGTAGTCACCATTGAAGTAAGGAAAATAAGTAACAGCTGAGGATGGATCTGGTGTCTCTGGAGGCTGGAAACCCAAGGGCATTGAAATAGTCAGCTGAGCAGAGGTACTGATATTAAGAACTAGAACACAAAAGGAAAAAAAAAAAAATAAAAAAATCTGTGATTTACTAGGCTACCCTGAAGGAGGACAATCACAAAATCAAATAAGATACCCAAATGATCATACCTGCATCAGTCCTCTCAGTCAGACAGGAATAAACAGAGCACTGGAAATCTCCCAGAGCAATTCCTACTTTTGCTCCTTGGGGTATACCATGCCATGCAGAGATTGTCTTGCCTGCAATATTGCCAGGGTCTCCCACCTCCGGAAGCAAGTGAACAGGAAAGCCGGATTTTTTCAATCTGCAATCAGAACAATATTATTGCAGGGAAGCAGTATGGGAATGCGTGGCATGACTACAAAGACCTCTTTGAAGTCACAGATGAACCTGGCCATACATTTGTGGCTGCTGGATTTATGGATGCTTTCACCTATTTAGAAAGCTTTGTCTTGGACAGGGGCAGCATTCCAGTTCAACAGGCTGGGTAAACTAGAAGTCTAGAAGAATAAATAATTTTCCTTTAGATGCAATCTGATTACCTGAGATTATATAGCAGTATGTGTTCAGCAAGTTTAACCTAGTGATGTCATATAGACAAGCAGTTCCAGGATAAAGGGACAATCACAAAAACAGTAAAAAAATGCAACTTCTAAGTGTCAAAGAACTTTAAGATGTCATGCAGTTAGTGGTTCAAAACCAAATCACAAAGAGTTAAGTCAAACTCTTCACACAATCAACTGCATGATACACTACATTGCTACAGCAACAATACCAGATTAGTAAACGTTCAGTAGGTCAAATACAAGTTTCTGTCACTCTTTCATACCTTCACAGGCAGATCTTTTCACCTGGGAGTCCTGGCCTAACCTAAGCCCTGAAATATATAAGGCCTTAGCACTCAGTCCTGAAAAGAGCCAATCATTAAATTAACTAAGTAAATACACTGATTCCCTCTTAGGTATTAGCACAAGTAAATCTTAGTAGTTATGAAGGACCTCAGCTGAAAGAACTAGAGAGTAATAACTCTTTACCATCACAGAGGTAACACCTTGGCTGCAGCATGCACTTGTCCATCCCATTCCACCATCCCACCATAGAAAGGGAAAGAACAGTTTAGTATACAAGGCCTCACTGTTGAGTCTCCCAGCTCTGCTGTCTTAGGTATTTCAAAAATACCATGCCAGATTTTATGTAATTTAAACATACATACCTTACAGACCAGAGCAAACTCAACAGTTCTTCAGTACAGGCCACACCACAATTAAACTATGAGTAACTTTCAATCACTTTTTATCTGTACCACATTCATACTTAGGTCCCAAGGAGTTGTTCACATTGCCTGACACAAGCAATGCACAAAACCCTCTGAATGACCTTAGCACTTACATGTCAGTATTCCAGCTTTTGTTTCTGGAATTAAAATATCCCCAGCTGGCAGCATTCTGGACGGACATGAGTGGCTTCTTCAGGTCACACAACATGGCAACCACATAGTCATGGATAGTGCCAGATGTATCGTAAGACTTCAGAAAATCTGGACTTTTAAACAAAACATTTTAAAAACAAAACCAATGAAGGTTGCTTTAAGGCAGTGGGAACAAGATTACTTCCATTGCTACATGGAACTTTGTACATGTGTAGTCCCATCTAAAAATGAAACAGTGACCAACCTGCATTTTGTTGGTTTGCTTTGCTTTGCTTTTTACATGGAATTTGTTTCCCAAGCTGTTGCCACAGCAGCAATACTCACCTCCTGATGGAGGATGAAGAGACAGAGGCTTTAGGGAATGAGTTGTCAAGGTTCAAAAGCACGCCATTGCAAAAGTTACCAGGAAGGTAGTAATTGCACAAAAAATTGTCTCTTTGTTGATCCTGGAGCATTTGAGAAAAACAGGTAAATTCTGGCAGTTGCTCTAGGATCCCCAAATTGTATGAAGGAAATATACCAAATGGTGAAACAAAGAGGAACAAGACAAAGCAGCTGGACTCATGAGTTCTACAGCTCTAAAGCAAGATCATGCCATGTTCCATATATTTCCTGGACACACACACTGGAAGAATTCATTGCAGAGTAAGACATTGGCTCTTTGAGAAACACAGCACACTGCAGACGAAATTGAAGAGCAAATCTTGCTGATGTCAAGTCTTAAGCGAAAAATTATATCCTCTGCAAACATGCCACAACAAAGCATCCCATTCGTAACACCTCATAAGAATCTCAGTGTCAAAAGAAGGAAGGAACTGAAATTAATTTAGGGACTGTTTGTTTTAGCATCTGGCAGCAGCCAGACAAAGCAACTCTGTTACTGTTTTAGGCATGTTTGTACTTTTCATAATCTGCACAAAGCAAAATTAGTGCTCAAACGGCATTAGCAGAGCTCCTCTGAGTGGTACACTGGACTAGAATTACTATATGATACTTTAAGGTTTCTGTTACTATATATTCAAAAGCTTTTCTTTTTAAAGAGATCTATAGTATTTTTATGAGGTCAGAGACTCTTGTGTGCTCAGTTGCATATAGTTTATATCGAATACTGTATTTTTAAATACTCTTTGACTATTTAATTAATATTACGATTGCAGAGAAACGCAGCCCCTCATCCTGTAGTGACATTAACATGCTACAGGAATACTAATTGTCACATAAATTCAAAATGAGAAACTGCCAGTGAAACAGCCTGATGTACCTCTTCTTTAAATACCAGTAGACTGTGGCACATCCAAATCCTGTAGCCAGGCTGATATGTGACTGTGGCAGAGGAAGAGAAGAGAGGAAGGTGGGACTGCAGCGGCCGTCTTGCCAAGTAATCAGATGACTGACCTCCTCTGGCTCAAAGGTAGGGCCTGTACCACACTCTGTCCACTTGCAACCTGAAACCCACAGAGAAGTCCACTGATTTCCTGCAGCATAGTCTGCCTGGCATTCTTCATTTCTGGACACTCTTGATAAATTGTCAAATATATTGGAAAAAGAGCAGAAACAAAGCCAGTAATGATTGTAATCAATTTAATTAGTCATACTTTTCAGCCTTAGATAATGTCATAATGCCAGTTATCCTTTGCTAAAATAAGAACAGTATCCAAGGCCACCCTTCTCTACAAGCACTCCTAGTGCCTACAGGAACAAGCAACTTGCACCTTGACATATTAATGATGCAATTTAAATAACAGGTGACCCACAAAAAAAAAAAAAAAAAAAAAAAAAAAAATCACAATTCTGCTACAGGAGGTAAGGAGCTGATATGACAGCTCTCACATATAAACCTTAACTGGGATCTGCCACATCATGACCTAGAGAATGCTGCCTTAGTAATGAACTGCTTGTGATGGATAGCATGTAGTTTCATCACCTTTTGAGCCAAAGCAACAGGAAACCTGGATCTATACATATTAAGCAACGGACTGAACGTACTGAAGAGTATCCCTCCACTATGCTATGCAACAAAGCTTCACGAGAAGTAGAATAGGGTTTAATTCAGTTTTCAGTTTTACCAGTCCAGCACGTTCGTTTTGAACAGAGAACACTAGACCTTTGATGAAATCTTCACATTCTTTCATGTGAAGGTCTCAGCTAAATTATGGCAACTTCTCAGAGCCTTCTCAGCAATGTCTGCTATTGCTCCAGTCCAGTGTGCTGCTTCCTGCCCCGACATGCTCACCATAAGCAGTCCTGCAAAGGCAGCACACAGTCCTGTCAGAGCAGGAGACTAAGCAGAGGCTGAGCTCATGCACTGGCACGTGATGTTTGCTAGCACACTTTGCTGGCACAGCTTTGGCCTCTGACAACTACTGCTCTCCCTGGCGATGCCTGGCTGCAGTGTGGGGACAGGACTGGCCACACGCTGTCTCTGTCTTGCTCTGTAACTGAAGCAACCTTTTGGTTTTTGGCTGGGGATAGGAGCAGAGTTTCAATCTGTTCTGTGCCACTTGTCCTACAGGTCAGAAAAGAGACCCAACTGCTTAACACAAATACGGCTAAAAGTCTTTCTTGGGCTGGATACAGGGATTTGAAGTTACACTGACACAAGAAAAAGCAACCATGAAAGCTGGGAAATACTATGTGAAATATGCAAGGCAAACACATACTTCTTCCTTGTTCCCTGAGTTCCCTGTTCTATCAAGTCTGTTTGAACTGAATTTCCAATTGGTTTGCTTTTCTATTTCAAATGGATTCTAAGAAATTTTATTAACCATAAATCTAACCCTAAAGGATGCTATTAAAAATGTAATTTGTGTCCCAAAGTGCATGGATTCACTTTGTCTACTCAAAACAAGTGAGAGCAAACACCCTCTTTCACTTGATAGAAATGAAACAAAAATGGTATGTGGCTTTAGGAAATAAAATATTAACCATTATGACATAAGAATCTATGTCTACCATGAACTCATGAGGCTTTGTTATGCAGCCCTTGGGACAGCTGGAAAGCAAGCAAGAGCTCATTTGGTCCATCAGCCTTTGGATTTCTTTCTTACTAATCATTTTAGTATTTAACGTAAAATTACAGTCAGTAATGAATAGCATTGTGTTTCTTAGAGCAATTAAGACTGACAGCTTTTGACAGGCAATGACTAGCACTTTTGGGAAATCTGTTCTGTGGTTTGCAATGAATCTTTGCTTAATCTGCATAACTCCTGTTATTATAAGACTTGTATAATTGCTTAAATGTGCACATCATAAGGTAAAGAGAAAGAAGACATGGAACCACATTCTAAACGACTTACAAATTCAGTAGATTTGTAAGATGTTACTCAAGAAGATAATCCATCCCTATCTCACAGGGCAGAAAACCAAGGCCTGAATTTTTCAAACATCCTCACTGTCACAAAGATTGAGTATTTGCAGAATCAAGCCTCATGTGACTACCTCACTGTGGTTGATTTTGTTTCTGAGGTCTTGGCCCTTCATTCTACAAGCAGGTGAGTATTCAGAATCAAGACCATAATCCTTTTTCAGCTCCTACTAACAGAAGCATAAGCAGCAAGATGAGTGCAACATAACAGCCTATGACCTGCTAGGAAAAAAAAATGCCTTGAAATTTTATTCTGGGGGGGGTAGGGGGGGAATAAAGGGAAAAAAAAAAGAAGGGACTGAAAATACTGTTTACTGAATTTCAGTTTTTCTCCTATTGTACTTTCAAACACCATTTCAAAATAGCATAGTGATATTCACTATTGGATAGCTACTGTTACGCACATTCTAACAAAGTTCAAGCATACCTTATTTTTCCAGGCATACACAAAACTGCTAATAATGCTACTGCAGAATCATTAGAAGATACTGAGATATTGGGCAACAGTTAATTTTATGAGGTGAATAACATTCCCTCCCCTCAAAAGCCATTCACATGATTCAGAAGGTTCTTTCAACAGGCAGCAGATAGCATATGATGGACATGCAATTAGCAAGACACAAGTATGTTATTCCTTCATATTAATAATTGTGCTGACTCTGCAGGGATCTCGTACGACTAAATCATTTACCTAACCTGCATAAACAACATCATCAACTATACGCAGTAGCTGAAATTCCAGTAATTAAACCAAAATTCCCACAGAAGATGATCTTCTATTAATTCTGTTTTACAGAAGACCAAAGTGAACATGAAACAGTTTCCCACATATCACTTCAGTGTTAAAAATCTATATTCTGCATCATAATACCCTGAACAGGAATGCCAAAGAATTAATGTTACCTTTATCTTTTTTCCAAAATACAATCCCGTGCATTTGTCCTGAAATGCCAATGTGACTGACTTTTTGAAGCTGCTGCTGAGGTAGAGCAGCAAGGCATTCATTCAACGCTTTTATTATTCTCTGGACATTCTGCTCCATTCCCTGCAATCATAAAGCATTATTCTGAGCATAAAACCATTAGGATTCACTCAGTGTATTTATTAAACAAGGTTACTCTAGTCAGAAGTGAATAATTCATTTAGCTTAACAGTATGTATTAGAATAATGTTCACTACTAAATTGAAAAAAAAATGCAAAAAAACCCCACAAAACCACAAAAACTAAAACCAAATACTAGCAAGCTGAGAACGAGACAACAGCCTCTTAAACTGAAGGCCAAATAAGTATTAATTTCCTAAACTACCATACTCAACTATACCTTTAAAAAAACCCAATTATTAACACTTACTACATGCTTTCATTAGTTCATCTTCTGTATTGTTCTTTCCTCAAAGAGAATTGCCTCTGTGTTCTGACAGGCAAGCACCCTCCCTCACATTTTCCTAAAGCTCCTCTGTATATACTCACTGTTGATTTTGATGATGCTGACACTTTGATTCTGGATACTCTATCCCTAGAACTACCCAGCAAACTGACCCAACCGTGCCACAAGAGAAGCTGTATTTCAGCTTTTTTTTTAAGATTCAGATTACTTTGTGACAAACCAGTACGAAGATTATAACAAAAAGTGTGTTCAAATACAGTCTATGTATAGATGTGAACTAATCTACACATACATACTTCTGGCTGAATAAACACTACTGTAAAAAGGAGGGCTGGCCTGTTCGGTATCTTTGCTCAGAAATTAGTGCCCAGACTCATTATTACGTATTTTTTACAGTTCTGATTCATCCTTTCTTAGGCTGACCAACACAACGAATAAAGACCTTTAACAGGAATACATTTTCCTGGTTATTATCATAGGGAATTTCCAGTTATGACTCCATCTCACATTAAAGTGCAAAATACCCTTCCAGTTGGCAAGTGGTTGCTGTTTCCTGACTGGAAGAGTCAGAAACAAGGTTCATGGGAGAATAGTTTTAGATTGTCTTATGCAACTTTTCAAAACCTAGGCTTTTCTTAAAAGAAGCAGCTATACTTGACTTAAACAGTAAACTGAGAGCATTTTAATTCTACTTTCAGACACCCACACACATGCAGCAACCATCTCCATCATTCTAGGCACAAAAACAACCCAGGAAAACCACTGTAGTTTGCATAACATAGCAACACAACCCCACCACGACAAGGCAAGGTCAGTATCCTGAAATTACCAGCAGTACTACTGGCCACCCCTTACCTGCGGTCCAGCTTCCAGGCTAGTGGTGTGTGCTTGTGTCTCCCTGGAACAGCTCCCCGCCACCACTTGCCCTTGCTCTGCCGCTACCAACAGGGCAGCCTTAACCGATGTTGTGCCCAAGTCTATGCCCAGCACACAGGCTGGGGCCACCTCGCTGCCAGCCATGGCCACGGGGAGAGAGGGCTGCCTTTGCCTTCACCTTTACCACCACACAGGGGTCTCTAAGCATTGGCCAGACCAACATCCACCATGCTGAGCCCCCACACGGCTCCTTGCTGACACCTGCCCCAAGAACCAAGGGTCCCAAGGGCACAAGTAGTGAGGGCTCCCACCCCAGCAGCACGCAGGGACTGGGCAGGCCGGGCTGGGAGAGCAGCGTGGACTTTGCCCTCTGGCTGCAGATGTCTCCCCTCAGCAGCGCCTCGCCACTACCCCTCCATCTTGAGCGTGACAAGCCATCTCTTCACCAGCCCTCCCCGGTGACCTGTGCAGCTTTAAACGAAACCTCAACCACCAACCAAAACCACGAGTCCTCCCTCCACTCGCAGCTCTGCCTGCTCACAGACCGGCCGGTCACAGCCCAACGCCCAAACCCGCTCTGCCACACCCAAGATGGCAGCCGGCGGCGGCCGCACCACACGCGCGCTGGGCGGGGAGTTGGTAGGCGGCTACCTCACGTGAGAAGCTGAAAAGGGAAGAGCTGGGGCCGTGTGGAACGGAGCTGTGGTGCTAGAAGGAGGTAGGTTCCCTCTCCTCAGCGCTGCTTCCTCAGTATTAGTGTATCTTAAAGCGCGGGATGGCCCCGCTTCACCGTCTCTCCTGAGGGGAGGACGGCGGGGACTACAAGTCCCAGCATGCACCGCGGGGCGCTGCCGGGGACGGGGGGGGCCATGGTGGAGGCGCGGTGTCTGCTGAGATTTGTAGTCCCGCGCGGGTGGGTGGGAGCCCTCAGCGGGGCGGTGGCTCCGTGTGGCGGGAGCGGGATAAGCCATGAGGTAAAGATATCGCCGGGGGGAGTCTGGGCAGACACAGGGACTGAAAGACGTGCTCTCTCGGGGGTGCTGAGGGTCCATCAGCCGGGCAGGGCCGGGGGCCATAATGCTGGGGAGGGAGACTTTTGCTGGGAGCAGCCGGCTGAGGGGATGGACAGGTACCCCCCTCAAAACGTGTGGGCGCTGAGCAGAGCCTTTTCCCCCCTTTTTCTGCAGCTTTTCCACCATGAGGATGCAATACCTACTCCCCGCTTTGCTGCACCTCTCGCTTGTGCTGCTGGGGCCTGGCGGTGAGTGTTTGGCCATCCCAGTTTGGGCTTACAGGGCCTCCCAGGCAGGGCCCGGGTCTGAAGTGGTAAGAGGTGGAAGAGGGCTGCTCTGCTGGATCCCTGTCATGCCTCTCTGGAGAGACCTGTGCCATGCTTCCCATCAGCTCTTCCTTCACACATTACCTTTGACTTGGTGTGCTCATACACAGACAGTGCTTTGCTGAGGTACTGTTGAGATGGAGCACTCGCTTCTGCGGGAGATTAAATGCTGTCTGTGGTGCAGTCAGTGATGAACTGGGGAGCTCTCTTGCACTTAAGTAACTTCTTAAGAACACTGTATAATATAGGCATCAAGAAAAAAAGGTGTCCAGGGCAACCTGTTTATCTTTCCATTTCTGGCCTTATTTTTATATAGCTCTTTGTTCTTCCTCTTGTCTCTCGTGTCCTTTAAACATACAGTGAATAATATAAACTTGGATTCCAAATGTCAAAATTGTTGACACGTGACCAACTTAAGGTTTTGATATCAGTTAGATTGACGCTTGGAATCTTGGCCTCTCTTAAAGCATGATGTGGTACAACATAGCTGGATTGTTGTAAAGTGTACCCCTTAATAGCAATATTTCAGAGCACTGTAGTAAGGTGTTTGTGATTCCTGAAGTGTTAAGATAGTAAACGTATGTTCCCTTGAACATCTGGGTACCTGGTTTGAATTTGTGACCCAAGAAGCAATTTTAAACTAAATCTTGAGCATTTATTACTCCTAAGTTACTCAGATCACATCAATAAACATAGCGTAGGTTTAAAGTATCCTATTAGCTTTCTCGTGGCATGAACTTTTGTTGCACTTCAAATATTTAAATTAGCTCCTTGCAACATGTTAAAGTGACAGTTATTTACTTCTCCTTTTAAGTTGTTTAGTCACCTTGAAATAAGCTGTACTCCCTTTGCTGTTTATCAAGTGTACTAATTTTGTTAATCTGACACTGCAGGTACCAATGGACAAAATGACTATGTCACAAAAGAAAGTAGGTAGTCCTTCTGAAGGAGCTATTAATCATAAATAGTAATTGGGATTTGTGAGGGTTTTTTTGGTTGCTTGTTTCTTCCCCCCCAGATGGAGTCGTTGTATTGTCTGTCCCTGAAGTGGTTTCATTAGAAAGTGGAAGTTCAACAAATGTCACTATCTCTCTGAGGTAAAATCATGATTGCATCTTTACTTTCTCTTTGCAATGGGGTACAAGCAAGCGGGTAGGACTTGGCTACATACTTAAGACTTTCTTGCAGACTCAGTGAATTGTTCATACAGAGTGAATCTCATTGGCGTGACTGGCCACTTCTAGCCTATTGAGTCGCTTAGTACCAGGATGGACCAAGATAGTGCAGCATTCTCACAGACAGCCTTGTATGTTTGGCCTCTGACAGTATCCCATGCCATTTGTATGGGAAGTTGAACAGGAAAAGGTATTTTATACAGTAATGTTTTCCATAAGCGAACTTACAATTCTTCCACTTCTAAAAATTGATGCTGGAGATGCATTTCCTGGAAGGATCACCAAAAAACTTCACAAAGTAAACAGAACTTGCCGAGAAATGCAGCTACTCTGCAGTGGGGGCTGATGCACCTTAATCTCATTGTTAAATACCGTGAATTGTTTACCCATGTTTTTGTTATGTAAGACTCTTCACAGGAAAGTAAACACATGCATGCCTCCTCTTTGGGTAAAAGGAATAGTCAGATGAAAATGTATGAATTGTGATAAAGAAGGAAATAGCAAAACATAGCTGCAAGAGTCTAGAACTTTTATTTTTTGCAAAGAAAGATATGGTATTGTAATCTTGTTCATGGACAAGTACAGGCATTTGAACCTTATGATATTGAGCAACCTGGTCTGGTAGAAGGTGTCCCTGCCCGTGCAGGGGGGTTGGAACTGGATCGTATTTAAGGTCCTTTCCAACCCAAACCATTCTATGATTTTTAAGTACTAATGTGCAATTAAACCTCCTGAACAAATGCTTGGTGGAGTTCTCTGGGAAAGCTGTGGAGGACTATGTCACTTGGAGGGGTTTTATTTGAAGGTGTTTTGGTTTTGTCTTGCTGCACTGCTATAATTTGTGCCCTTCATCACCCCAAGTACATGTCTGTTGTTTCTGTCCCTCTTTACCAGCAAAGGGTTAACAAGTGCAATGATAGGAATCTGGTGGCAGTGACTGCTATGGCACTTGTTTCAAGGAGGAGGTAAAATATGGCCAGATAACTGTCTAGTGCCCATCATTAGTTCAGATAAAAGAAATAGTACAATGCTAACATACTTCGGTGCTGCTGTTCCTCTGAGCAGTAGGTAGGTACTGTTGTATGTGGACTGTTTGTTAGGTCTGCAACAGCTGTGAGTGTTTAGCAGATACTCTCCCACAGCCCTGAAGCAATCTTTGTGAAGTCCAGCACCAGCCTAACTTGCTTTTTCTGCCTTCACAGGGCTCCATTAAATGAGACACTGGTGATAACTCTTAATATTACACACTCATCAAAACACAGCACCATTGTTGAACTGCCTGATGAAGTAAGTGACAGAACAGACTTCTGACCTTATGCAAAAGCCATCCGCTAGTATGGTGCAACTCTCCTCTTTATTTCCTCCACTTTGCCTTGTAGGTACAATTGCCTGCAGGTCACACTAAAGCAGCCTTCCAAGTGAAAGCAGATGATGTTGGACAAATAACAGTTTATCTTTATACCATTAATTACAACTTAACTGGGTGAGAAACTGTTTTTCAGTTCCACTTTACTATCCTACAGCTTCTTAAAATTTGGGGTAACTATTCTCTTCTTATAGTTAAATAGTTAATGGGATATGGGCAGTATGTATTTGAGAAGATGTGGTGACTCTCCAGCAATCCCAAGGTATTCAGATAAATACAGGGTATAGAAGCAGAGTGATAGTCTTGGTGACTGAGATTTCATTACTAGATGACTCTGAGTTCTCATGGCTCCTTAGTCTGGTAGCCCCTCCAAAAAGTATCAAAACTCCATGTTAGCTTTTCTGATCCAGGGAGCATCTGGTTGTAAATGTCCAGTGGGATACTGTTCTTACTGTGCAGAACTTACTCTGGAGTGCTAATAGCCTGATGGAGCTGTGTGCCCACATCACTACCATGAGATACAGGTGATTTGCTTTCTAGTTAGGGGAGCCACCTTCTCACAGATGCCAGTCCTCCCTAATAGTAAAACAGCCTAGCAAGATGGAGAAAGCTGGATTGTATTTGCTTGTTGCCCAGATGCTATTGAGCAACAGGATACTCTTGTTTTAGTTCCTCATTTCACTTCTGCTTTTAAGACTCAAAGCACATGCAGAGGTAAGCACATGAAATGATCAAAAGAACAGGCATGATCATGAGGCTTTGCTGGCAGATCATGAAAAGTGAAACTCTGCTCTTGCATAACAGGCCTCGTGCTAAGAGAGTGGAAGCCATAGGCACAAGGTCACCTTTTTGATGATTTCCATGGTAAAGGGATCGAAAGGAAAGAGTGAGATGAGAAGGAAAGGATAGGTTGAAGGTAGGAGTGGGAGATGCTCTAAGCATAACAAGAACACTAAAGACAAGGGGAACAACTCTACTGAAACAAATTCTGAATCTTTATTGTCTTGTCTCAACACCTGAACTCAGTTTTCTTTCTCAAAGCAGAATAAGGCAAAATCTACTGAAAAAAGTGTGAACGGATAAATTAACTAACTCTGTTTGCATTAACCATCAGACCTAGGATTCAATTTCAAGTGATTCATAGCATCATAGTGAGATATGCTGATGAAGTGATTGGCTGGATCTATTTCCTCGCCTGGTCCATCTCCTTTTATCCTCAACTCTTTGAGAACTGGCGACGAAAGAGGTAAAGAGACTTAAGATGTGTTTGCAAGTCACCTAAGCACTTCTGCAAATCATGGATTTATCAGGCTAGCTGAGCTCATGGAAGGATGAAGTTAAAGAGCAGGGACACAACCTTGTCAGTGAGAGCTGTTGTGAATACCAGTGCATGGCATATGAGGGATATTTCACCTTGCTTCCTGGTGAACTCACAGCATCATGTCACAATGCCTGCAGCTTTGGCTTAGATCAAAAATTGCCTATAAATTAGTACATCCTAGGGTTAAATTGTCCCTGCATATTTCTCATACACTTTTTTCCCCTTCTCCAGTGTTGTTGGACTAAGCTTTGACTTCATAGCATTAAACCTTACTGGCTTTATAGCATACAGTGTGTTTAATGTTGGACTCTTCTGGATTCCCTTGATTAAGGTAAGCATAATTATCTCTTAATATTTGGTGGTGGGAGGGAGGTGTCTACAGAAGGGAGTTAAGGCATTTGACTGGTTTTGGTTTCTCATACATCTAGGAGGAATTCTTAGTCAGCTATCCCAGTGGGGTGAACCCTGTGGCTATCAATGATGTTTTCTTCAGCCTCCACGCAGTAGCTGTAACGCTCCTCACCGTCATTCAGTGCTGCATTTACGAGGTAAGCGCTGGGCTGGGCTCTCGGCGCTGGCAGAGCTCCCTCTGCCGGACACCTCCCCGGCCGCCCTCCCCTCTGGGCTCGAGAGTTCTCACACCGCTTGCACCGGCCTTTCAAGAAGTCAGGCTTCAGTCCAGCTGCCTTCATCTTTCCTGAACTAGTAGCAGCTCCGGTAAGCTTAGCTACTTCTGCCTCATAGATGTTCTGAGCTTGTAAGTAAACTCCTTAGGGACTCAAAATAACTAAAGCAAACACCCCAGTTCATGAAGTTCCCAATCAGAGCTCTAGCCTGCATGTAAATTACAGCTCTACACAGTACTGCTCTGTATGCGCTGGTACGTGTTTTGCTCTCTCCTTGCTACTTGGAGCATTCTTCAAGCTCGGACAGGTCCTTAGGGATTACATGCAACTCAAACTTCCAGATTTTTCTCCTAAAACAGCTGCAAGAGCCCTTTTTATAATTCCCACCCCTTTTCAGGTGAGACTGATTGTTATAGTCAGGTGGTTCTTTAATCCCCATTGTAAAAGCCTCTGATCTGAACAGCCAATTTTCTCTAGATGGTAACTATTTATGTTTTGGGGTACTTCCTATGGTGATGCTAAACTTAAAACTCTCACAGCCCATTTGTCACCACTGCTAGGTACAATAGTCTTTACCAGTGAAGAATTAGAAGGCAACCATGAATCTTTTACCATACTGGCATTAGCAGACTTTTGCATATATAAGATAGAATCAGATCGAACTCAGGAAGTTATTAGAGATGTGGCACTGATAATAGGCATCATAAAAACTCCATACTGCCACCATATTGTTTCCCACTTGCTTATGGACAATAGTATTCCAAATGACTGATGTTGAATATTGCTCATCAGCTCTTGCAAACCTACAGCTGGTTGCTGTAGCACTCATTTAATCTTAAAATTCCTTTGTGGTATGAGCCTAAGTGGTACAACAGGTTTGAACGGTACCCTTGCATAGTCCTGAGCATACTCTGTGTCTTGCAGTGTGTCTGGGGGTGTATGACCTAGGTCAGCCTTCAGTGTATCTGCATTTTTGTTTCAGAGAGCAGATCAGAAGGTATCCAAAGTTGTTGTTGGACTACTGGCACTTGCGTGGATCTTCACATTTACAACATTGTTTCTTGCTGCAGCTGAGGAAATGACATGGCTACAGTTCTTATTCTGCTTCTCTTACATTAAGTTAGCAGTCACACTGATAAAATATTTTCCACAGGTAAATCTGAACTTTTCTGCTTTTATACTATAATCCTGTCACCCTAAGCCTGTAGTGTATGCTCTTGAAAGTCTGACTATACTAAACCAGCGATGATTATTTAAGTATTTTGGTGACAAAACCAGGCTTCTTGGATGTTAATCTCAGAAATGCTCGTACATGGCATGCTGACTGACTTTACTCTTTCAGGCATACATGAATTTCCGTCGGAAGAGTACTGAAGGATGGAGTATTGGAAACGTACTACTAGATTTCACTGGTGGAAGCTTCAGCCTTCTCCAGATGTTTTTGCAGTCATACAACAATGGTAAGGCTGGAACTGAGGTGGTAGGGCCTTTCTTAAAGGGGTGGGAGAATCCTGCTACAAAGCAGATATAAGCCGATAGGTTATCTTAGGAGAATGTTCTCCCAAGCTGTTCTTATACTAAGAATAAAGAATCTGGTCATATTCCTTCAAGACAAAAAATTAAATAGCTATTCTGAAGACACCCCAGGAACAGTTATTAATTAGCTTTGCATGAAATGTATACTACAGTCAGTCCTAAGGTGTGTCTAAGCAATCCAGGTAATAAACATGAACTTCTCTAATATATATGGCATGACCTTGTCTCAAGACCATACTTGAGGAGTTAATCTTAACTCTCTAATTTTGTGTTTGGCAGATCAGTGGAAGTTAATCTTTGGAGATCCAACCAAGTTTGGCCTCGGTGTCTTCTCCATCGTCTTTGATATTGTTTTTATGATCCAGCACTACTGCCTTTATAAGAGACAAGGGTATGAACATTGTGAATAACATCACCTGTGAAGGCACAAACTTTAAATTGAACTTGCCCCTACCCTGGCTGAGGGCTTTCAAGATGCCTACTGCCAGTTACCAGAAATACTGATTCTGATCGCCATTTATACTTTGATCCTCTCTGGTATGGAATACAAGCTGTTGCCTTGCCAGATGCTGATTGCCAGATGCCTTAAAGGACATCAAGCTACCTGGCCACAACTTGCAAATGGAAGACTCATGCCTGTCGAAGCTGCAGACATCTTAGCGTGAGCTGTCCAAGCAACATGTGGCAATGTTAACAACAGGGAAGAGAAAGATCAGAGCAGTGTCTTTCTAATTGTAAGTGAAGCACAAAGAGCCGAGTTCTGGCTTCCAAAAATTGGAGAGGATGTTTAAGCAATCACTTAATATCTTAATATAATGACCAAAGACTGTCTGTGGATTTAAGTGCTGCTGCCGATTCCTCACAAACAGATCACAGTAGAACACCACTCAGGTTGGCTGCTAACAGATGTAGTGGTACATGAAAAAATAATGAAGTTGGTAGCAAATATACAAATATTAGAACCTGAGCTCTTTATTAAAAAACTACTAAAAAGTAGAAACTGTATTCTTATTTCACTGAAAGCGCTTTCAAAGGTACAAAGGCAAATGCTCAGATTTATCTGAATGCTTCTAGTGCACTAACTTAATTTTGCTCAATTCTACTGATATGCCTTGAACCTTAAACAATGGATGGGAAAGATTAATCAAAGAGATTATTTTTAATTGGATCAGGTTAACAGCCCTATGATTCAAGTTTAAATATGTTTTTTGTTCCTGGACAACTTTAACTACAGAGGGTGTGATCTAGGTAGAGATCAACATCTTAAGTTACTTGAAGGTAAGCATTATACCCTTTAAAAGAACTAGAAGGAAATCCAGGTGTTTGTACTTGAATGCTCAAAAGCTACTCTGTCTTACTAGGTATCAACCTAATGAAAATTAGAACCCCTTCTCCCCTTGTTGCAGTCCAGGTGCTTTGACAGCTCACTAACACTACAACTACCCAACAGTGAAATCAGACCTTACTAACCTCAGACTGCTTTGTGTTGATGTAGTCCACGGTCCACCTTGAGCCAGAAAAAAGGTCTCAGCTGGAGGCATTCGAGTGAGGTGGCATTCTTAAATTAGAAGGAGAAACAGCTCAGGAAATCCAACTTTGTTTTATTGTGTGTAAAATCAAGTGAAATAGCAGTACAAATAGCAGTGTATCTTTATAGTAACAAAAATAACTTCAACTTGAAAGCCTTAAAATTTACCACTGAATTCTTAAGTTACAAAAATCAAAAGCGTGATTGTAGTAATTCCATAGATATAAAAATGGTAAATAGGCATCTGCTGGTGTGTACAGAACAGTCTGAGATGCATTAATCGCAACATATGCATGTGGCACAGCAGTAATGTACTGAATAAGTTAGTCTGCCACCTCCTCATGTTCTATTTACAACAGCTTACCTGAAGACTGCTTAAGGAAAGTGTAGATATGTATAAAATCAACTGAAGGGGATTGAGAACTCCAGTTTTTGGATAATTGTAAAGCTAGCTGGTTAACAAACCACTAGGATGCTAGCATAATTGTCTTGCAGCAAGAATCTTAAATCCTGTGGCATGTTGATTTAAACAACTTAATATTTCACCAAAAGTTTAAATTTGGTCAAGAGGCACTTTTGCAAATTACTGGCATGTTCATCTCTTCCATCCAATCAATCAGTGATCTAAGCAAAGTCTTTTAGAAGACAGACCAAAATCTGCCCCTCTCATTTAAAGGCTGATAGAAGTGGAATGAAGAACTGAAGACTCCACCACTACAAGCAGCTCTTGGTAAGTTCAGCAACAGTGTTTTCTTTCCTGCTCCATATTCCTCTTTCATTTAAACTTGATTCATCTGATGTTACAAATTACTTGGGAACAAGGAGATTAAGGTTTTCCTGACAGTGAAGTTGAACTGTAGTGTCTCTGTACTTTTAGTGTACTTCATGGGCATTAATCTAGCACTTCTGTGTTACTGAGTTGTTTCTTGTCTGAAGAAGCTGCTTTGTACAGGGAATCTGCAGTAAACCGTATTGCCCCAAACCCTTCAGCACACTTTGTCTAGCTAGCACACAATGTGGGGTTAGTACAGTGCTCTTCCCCACAGCAGTATGCAAATCTTAGTTCTGGCCTTTTAATTTGGTAGTGTGGTAGGACAGGACAGCTCACATCTAAAAGCTTAAGGACCATGAACCCTCTTATCTTCCATAGCAGAAACCACATTTCCTCCTAAAATAGAAAGCTTTGGTGCTACAAAAGAACACTGCCACAGTTAATGCTTTTCCAGTTGCTTCCTTGGCTAACTAGGGTTTGTCCTGTCCTCCTGAAAGCCATGACTACCTAAAGTCTTACCATGTACCTGCAGGGAAGACTTTAGAGAAGCACTCTTGCTGGGGGAACTAGAGTTTTACTACTGCCAGTTACACCAGAGAAAGGAAAAGAAAAAAAAAATAGTGTTTACCACAGTTAGGAACATGCCCTCCTTCCAGACAACCTGTTCAGGTCTAGCATTTGCTTCTTTGCTTGATATCAGTCTATATATCTCCCTCCCCAACCCTTCCCCAGCTTGATGAGTGATTAGGACATCATGGACTGTTGCACAGCCTTCTGCAGAGATTGCCTGGTCACCAGCAGCCGTACCACTTCCTCGTTCCTTTTTGTCAGCCTCTTCCTAGCTTGGTCATGGGTCACCATTGTCATATCCCAGCCATTCACCTAGGAAAAACACACAAAATGGGGCAGGTGCACAGACTCACAGGTGTTCTGTAACCATTCTGTTGGAACTATGTAGTAGAGACGCTTATGCCACAAATCAGCTTGTTTCTAAGCCCCACAAACTGTCCTGGAAAGTGCCCAGGAAACACAATTTCCCCAGCAGAAACTCTTCTGCAGTGTGCACCTAGTACTACATTAGTACTTGTCTTATCTTGGTGTTTACCTGCATGATCTTATCTCCAATCTGAAGTCCTGCAACTTCTGCTGGGCCTCCTTCTGTCACCCTTGTTACATAGATACCCTGGAAAAAAATTAAACGTTCATTTACCAAATATGGGACAGTGCTACAATATTTTGTAGCGTATTACAGGATTCTAGTTAAAACCAGGTTTATGTGATGTTGGAAAATAGAAAAGGCAGAAAACTTAAAACATGCTTAATCTGCAAATGATAATGTGGCAACAGAGTAACTTTAGTAGTCAGCTATGTGAGAGGACACATGCAAGTGAGTGGAGCTTGCTGGCTGAGCTGGAAATGCTCAGCCTGTTGCAGAGTTACTACAGAAGACAAAAAGCATCTGACCTTGTCGGTCTTGTCTTCAGAGAAAGGATTCTGAGTAGGATCCTGATCAATGCCACCTCCAATGCTGAATCCCAGAATCAAATTGTCACCTTGACGAAGCTTATGTATTTCAATTCTTTGCTGAAAAAAAGATAAGAGAGCTGAGTGTTGTGATCACTGGAAGAAATGTCAAGTGTGTTTCAGATGCAAATACTTAAAAGCCAGTTCGATTGCCTTTCAGAGATACTGTAAACCCACTCGAGCAGGCTGCATCACAGCTTGGCAAGCTTATATATCGCAGGCAGACAGCTCCCAAAGCCCTTGGCAGCACTGAGCTGTCACAGGGCACTTGCTGTCGGTCACTCACACACCCCCGTGGTGCTGACAGCACTTGGTTCTGAACTGGCCCCAGCACTGTCACACACCAGCGGGCCAGGAAGCTGGGATGCAGCCGAGCTCCTTAACTACACAGTGCTTCACTGCAGCCTGGGAAGCCAAGAGAAAACCACAGCAGGTCTCTTTAAGCATGAATCATGTCTTGATAACTGGCAGTCGCTCCTAGCCAGACTCATCTTGCTCTTTAGTCATGTGCCTTGTGTTCCTGCCTAGCCCTAGCAGTAGAAATAACAACCTATTATTAGGATGGTTCTTTTTCAAGATAAGTTATCAACGCACTTTTGTAAGCCAGAGGCAGGTTCCTGGTTGTCTGATGAACACAGGCATCTGCCAAGCTTTAGGCATTATCTCTAAGTATTGTATAAATGCCAGCTCCTGCAATTCTTGGGCCAAGCTAAAAACCCACAGTCTTAACTAACCACGCAAAAGGTTCTTGAGCCAGGTCTAGCAGAAGGTGTCCCAGCCCGTGGCAGGGGGGTTGGAACTAGATGTCCTTCAAAGGTCCCTTCCAACCCCAACCATTCTAGAATTCTTCTCAAACATACCCGAGCTTCCCCAGGGGCACCGGGGCCGGGCCCCCCCCTCTCCCCAGGCCCCCGATATGCAGCGGGGTTCACGCTCGCACCACCCAAAGCACAGTTCGACTCAGTTTTGGAACTAGTGGAAAAACCAGCAGCGCCCCTTGCTTGCGCCGCTCCTTGGTTAAAGCACCTAATACACTTTAAAAGCTCTACACAAACGCCGCGGAGGCAAAGCGGGTGCGGGTCGCCGCGCCGGGCACCGGCCACTGCGCTCGGCCACGCCGGAGCCGGTGAGCCCGAAGCAGGGTGCGCTGCACAAAGGAGAACACGCGTGTCCGCGGGGCTGCGGTGAGGGCTCCCTTTCCTCCCGCTTTTCCTAAGTAACGCCTAAGCAGGAGGCGCAGCCCTCGGCAGGGCTCTGCCCCCTCAGACCGGCGGAGCCTCTGCTCGGTTCTCCCACCCGGCAGCGGGGTGGGTGCGTGGGGCTCCGGGGCCGGCCGTGCTGCCGCGCCCTTCGCCCCGCTCTTTCCACGCGCCCGTAGCCCAAGCTCCGCCCCCCCCCTCTCCCCCCGCATCCCGCCCGGCAGCCGCCGGCCCTGCCCGTCCCCATCTCACCACCACGGCGGTGACCGGCTGCCCCGGCACGTACGACATGGTCCCCCCGCCGCCGCCGCCGCCCGAACAAAAGCGCCTCGCCCGGCCCCGCCCCCGAGCCGCCGCCAGCCAATCGGGCGCCGCCTCACCCTCGGTGAAGCGCTGGAGTCGCCCGGCCGTGCCCCTCCCCGCCGCCGCCAGCCAATCGGGTGCCGCCTCACCCTCGGCGGAGGCGGTGGAAGCGGGGCTGCTTTCCCGGCGGCCCTTGCGCCAAAATGCCTGACAGGAGCTTCCGGCGGGGCGGCGAGAGGCTCCGCTGTGGCGGTAGGTTGGGCCCGGGCGTGGCGGGGGGGGGACGGGACGCGGCCTCCCCGGTTCCCGCGGTGACGGGCGGTGCGCGGTGTCCCTCGGCAGGGTGTGAGGCTTGACGGTTGGGCTCGGCCCAGGGTGCCGCGGAGCAGCGCGCCGCCGTGGATGAGAGGTACGGGCCGATGGGGGGGGGGGGTGAGGAGGAGGAGGAGGATGATGATGGCGGCGGTGAGGCCCCCGCGGGAGCTCGGCGGTACCGGGAGCGAGCGCCGGCGGCCGTTGAGCTCCCGCTGCGCACCTGAGGGCGGCAGCAGCCGCCCCGGAGCCTGAGCGGGCTCCCCGCGGGAGGCAGCGCCGTGGCCCGGCCCGCACAGCCTGTGTCTCCTTTCCCTCAGTCTCGCCGGGAGGGAGGAGGTGCCCGAGCCATGGCCGCCGCGGTGGCCAAGCGCGAGGGGCCGCAGTTCATCAGCGAAGCGGCCGTGAGGGGCAACGCCGCCATCCTGGACTATTGCAGGACCTCGGTGTCGGCCCTGTCGGGAGCCACGGCCGGGATCCTCGGCCTGACCGGCCTGCACGGCTTCATCTTCTACTTCCTGGCTTCTGTCCTCCTCTCCGTGCTCTTGGTGTTGAAAGCCGGACGGCGATGGAATAAGTACTTTAAATCCCGAAGGCCGCTTTTCACGGGGGGGCTTATAGGAGGGCTCTTCACCTACGTCCTGTTCTGGACTTTCCTGTACGGCATGGTTCATGTCTACTAAAACAACTAGGAGCCACGTTAGCTGCAGTGGTTTTTAATGAAGCGGGAGGACTGTTGCCAAAAGTCATCTACACAACTAGGCCAGCTTACCTTTTACACTGTTGTTAAGCGCTTGTATTGTTAATACTGTCAGTAAATTATGTCCAAGTACAAATGAATCGGTCGTACCGTTAGAATTAAACTGAATGTGAAGCACCACTTGGATGCCTTCCATTAATATTTGTTGCTTAAGGAGTTACTTCTGTCCCTAATTGCAGGCGCAGCTGTGGATTTTGGTTAATGTAATCCCTCGTATCCTTTGTGTTCTGGATAAAATCCACCACTTACAATCCCTTCTAGATTTGCTGCCTGTCCTTGCACACAAATACTGATGGAAGCAGTGTGTAACAGAGCACTCTTAGAAAAATAGTCCACTGACACAAGGAAATACTGCACAGTAGCACATAATTAAGTATATGTGAAGGTCTGGTACAGAAATATAATTGAGTTGCTAGTGCAAATGTTATTTCCACAATTGCTATAGGGACACACTATCAATAAATGACATTGTCACAGCTCTTCTTCACTGGCGTATACAAAAGTCAATAAGTCTCACGAGTCAGACACTTTGCTCCTTTTTAGTACTGTTGTGGCAGATGAAACACAGACAACCAAGTGCAGCGTCTCATTACCTGCCAGCCCAGTGTGGACTGAACACACTTGTGAGCCTGCTGGCATTTTCCACAGTCAGTGTATTGTTGTGGTTCTATAGGTCTGGCAGGAACAGAAAGGAAAATTCAATCACCCACTGTACAAGTAATATCTTTGCTACAGATCCGCTTGTGCAAACTCAAGTGTTTAATTGACTTGCTTAGCATCAGTACGTATCACAAAGGTGGTGTGTGCAACCTGAAAAACACAGTACGGAAGAATCTTAGAGAGCATTGCCTTAAATTGGCAGATTTTATTGCTGTACATTAAATATAAGGAAGGGGGGAAAAAAATCAAACTCAAAGAAACAATCTCTTGAAATGTGGTTATGTTTTATCAAGAGCAAGTGTTATGGGAATTGTGTTAAACAGAGGGTATAAAGAAGGGAAATATTTTAGGGACTTCTGGGGTTGTGAAGCTCCTGAAGACTTAAATTCAGGAAATCGCTTTGGTCATCTAACAAGAGGATGTTGTTTTGTCAAGTTGGAACATTGGTTTCAGTAGAGCACAGTCGCTTTACTTGAGCTACGTGGTCTCCAGGAGTTGTGCCTTGGCCTGATGGCACATGTGAGGTTCACCATGTGTTTCACCATCTAGAAGTTATTCAAAGAGAATGAAGCTCTGACAGTGACAAGCCTGTGCTGTTTTATTGGCATGGCAATGCTAACAGGCCTGACTAGGGCAGTTATACACATGGCGACGTGTGTTTGCCTAGAGGAGAGACTTCTGGCACGAAGAGAAGCTTTGGATGCAATTATAGCATCAGAGGTACACAGCTTATCCTAAATTATTTTAAGTCCACTGTTTCTTTTCTAGCTTAATGTTTGACTCAATCATTACTTGCATCTGAGCAGAAGCAGAGGGAGATGATTAGACTGGGTGGGGTTTGCTATCAATGACTAGATTCAGAGTTTGCCACTGCTAACAAAGATGAATTTAAATTTAGAATCAACCTGTGCCTTGGAGTAACCACCTTAAAGAAGTTAAAGCAAAGGTGAGTGCAGCTTGCTGTTTCCATTTGTGCAGAATATTCACTCACAGCAGCTCTCTGTCACTGTCCTAGCAATAGTAAGGACGCTGCAGTAGGAGTCCTTTAAATCTTGACACTCAAACTGTGCACAGAAACAGTTCATGTTTACCACGATGGCTCCTGATCAGTGGTGATGCAGCAGCCTTTACACAACACTGACCAGTTTGCACCAAGCCACAGTGTGGAAGCTTTAAATGAGACAGTTCACCTACTGTCTTCAGGAGCCAGTGAGTCAGTTCCCGTCAGCTCAAGCAAATGCAAACTTTAAACAGTGACATTCAATAAGCACTTTTCTGAGGTTACATCCCCACATGAGCATAAATTCACAAAAAGGGCTGCAATTAGACTTATTTCTCTGTTGAGAAACAAAGCAGTGCTCGTATTTCTTCAAAGTTACCAGAGTTGAAGTAGCAGACATCCATCTTCTAAATTTTCCTTCTGTTGGTATATTTGGAAGAACCCAGCAAAGTCTGTTTAATCTGATAGAGCTCCCCTTTTCAGGCTCTGCAGTACAGTTCAGGGTACTACAGAAGCATTAAGTCCCCCATCCAGATCTCTCCCCACCACGAGCAATTGGTAATTGATGCCGAAAGGACAACCCCAAGCAAATGAAACCAGCCCCTGACCAAAGGAGGGAGAACCTAAGACCATCCCTGTGCAGACACTTACAGTGCCACGCTGCTTTCCAGTGCGTCACCCCTCTTCCCTCCCACCAACCACAAGAACACCTCTCCCTGCCTTGCTTCGGACTGTTCTGCCTGCTGTTACCTGTTCTGTGCTCTGAAATGTTGGTTCTCTGGGCCAACTACAAATGCAGACGGTGGGTAGCGGGTGAGGTAGCTGGGACCCAGCCATGGCTGAACTGAATCTCCAGTCCGAGCTGCAGCAGGACCTTCTCCTGCCGTTCCTGAGATGAGCAGAGCACCTTGTTGCAGCTGGGGCGAAGGCTTTTCCTGGAGGAGCGCCCTTTCTAGCCCTAAGGGTTACGCCCCCCCAGCTCTGACACAAGCCCACTCAGCACAGGCGTTGTAGGATAACAAGCCCCTTTCCCCCGGGCTCCGAGAGCTGCTGAAATGCTGCGTTTCACTGCGCTTCCCCGACAAGAGCAGTCCTGTTGCTTTACGTCTGATCTTGCACGTAACACAAGCGAGGGTTGGAAGCGGCGGCTGTGAGCCAGTGGAGCAGGAGCCAGGTCGAATCTCAGCCCTCCTCGGAGTGCCAGTGGTGCTGAACATCACGGCTCTTTCGCACACGGAAGCAAAGCACAGCCACAGGCCACCGTTGGCTAGTGACGGAGGTACAGATATATCTATCAATAGATACAAAAACATTCATTTGGTGCCTTCTTTTGCCTTTTATAAAATCCTTTTATAAATCCATAGTGACGACATGCTGTTGCAAGGTCAGGATACCAGAGGACATTTCAGGGAAAGAAGGGTGTTCTTTAAAGGACTTTTTGTCCTCTGGAAACCCCAATAATAGACAGTAGACCTGATCTGGGCTATCTCCACCTCCCAGGCCTGGTGTGATTTCACAGCTGTGTGGGTTTCCTCGAACAGGACTTGGGCTGGCAAACCCATTGCTGTGCCTAGAGCCCTCCGAGCTGGTCAGGGCTCTGATTCCCATTCAGCGTAGGGCTGGATGATGATTTCCTGGAACTGGACCTGAGGAAACAAGCAAAGGTGACGGAGGAGGCAGGCAGGCTATTTCTGTTTCAGGAAGCAATGTGGGCAAGAGGCTCCCAGCCAGGCCTGTCACACCTTACCACAAAGGCCATCACCCTCTCTACAGCTGTAGACCCAGTTCTCAGTTTTGTGGGGCTCTGGAGCTCTTGGAGCTGCCCCAGTTCCATCCTCAGACATTATGAGCTGACAGCACGAGGCCGTTTATATGGTCCAACCATGACACAGCAGCTCCCTCTGCTCCCCAGCTAACTGCAGCAATGAATTACGGAGGGAGCGAGCAACTTGGCTAAACTCATTTGGAGGACTATAATTTCCTGGAACTGGCCTTTGTTTGCCATTAATGTTTGCTGTGTTCCCGTATCTCCTTCCGTTTCTATGAGTCATAACAATAAAACCATTACATTTAAACACAAAAGCCAAGTCCACTTACTTTACTTCCTCATACTTTTTGCCTCGGTAAAAGTTACTCTTTTTAATCAGATACAGCAGCACCAGGTCACAAAAGAAAGCTCCCTGCAAAGAGAAATAACTTGTGTTTTATCTTTAGAATAGAAGAGGAAGTATTCTGATCTAATCAGCAGTGAGCATTAATTAAAGAAGAATAACTTGTAGAAGCTGTATTTTCCTTCATACTCTGTGTAGTCTTAGGAGTATTTAGACAACAAGGTACATTAACGAATGCCTTTAAGACAGGACACAGGCACACACCTGGCTGAGCAGTCAGAGTACCAAAAACTACTGGAGAAGGTATAAATCAACCGTCCCATTTTATCCTCATAACAGCTTGATGAGGGACCTGGCTCCCAATATGGTACCTGAACAAAATACATTCACTTACCGCTCCCATGAGAGCGAGCCCCGAACCGATATTGATAATGGTGGGAATGATGTTAAATTTCCCCGCCTAAAAGGAAAAGGGTCATGAAGTACTTGGTGAAAGAACAACCCAAGAAACAAACCGAAGGGTGTGGTATTACACAGGGGAAGTTACTGGTGCCTGTGGGTGTGTTTTGTTAGCAACAAGCAGCCACAACCACAGAAGATTTGCAGTGAACACTCTTGGAGGCTAAAGGTCTGTACGCGCCTCAGATCCAACTGCCCACGGCTGCATTTCTGAGCTTGCATCACCCCTCGACTAGGCTTCTTTTTTCTGCAGGGCATACACATGGAAAACGAGTCTCTGGGGCATATTTACTTCTGTTGGACTTTACACGAGCCTGTTTTTAGGTAAAAGATGCAGGCTCATCCGCACTCCAGGTCACCTCCTTTCGTACGTAGGGTGAGCTCCTCACGGATGAATGGCAAGAGCCTTTTCATACAACAAGCCAGAGAGGCTGTTCTCATCCCAGAGAGAGCCTTCCCACTGAGAAATTTCCCCCATCTTTCTTCTCTCCAGACTGTGAAATATTCTGCCCTGGGACCTCACCTTGCCATTCACCATCACATCAAAGCGGATTCCATATGCTTTAATGAGCGTCCGGTAGTCGACCCCCTCAGCATCCCGGTAATATTTGGCAAACCTGGAATACAACAGTGCTGATTTTAACCCCTGAATCTGCCCACCCCCGCTCCAAGAACCCATCTGAATTCACCGCGTTCTTCAAACAGATCTATTCCCGTGCCAAGAACAGCTTTAACGTGCCATGAGCATGGCTCCCTCCCTCACCTCCTCCGCGAAGCAGTGTGCTTGGCTGGGGCAGTGCCTGGTACTACGTCACTGCCGACCTCCCACGCCTGCGAGTCAAACCAGCTCAGCCCAACTGTGGTACTGCATCGTATTGTCCTCTTTACTTACCTGAAGTTGTACCCAGAAGAGATGGACTTTTCTGCAAACTGGTTATCCAGCCGGCTAAAAGAATAGTGAGGATTACATTCAGAAGGGGCTTTATCAAGATCACAGTTCCACTCAATCTGAATTCCTATCACACCACCCTTAATGGAAGAGAGAGACAGTGTGAGTTTAAGCTTAGATCAATTCACGTATCTTCAAATTTGTCAGATTCTTGGGCAAGTTTTCCCCAGGGACAAGAACAGCTGCACTTCTGGTCACAGAGACATGAGCACACACACGCCTCTGGATGGGCTAAATTCATGCTTATGTTATTACTCACATTATTCTACACACAACCCTAGCTTTCCCTGTGCTGGTATCCTAGGAGGAGGTTTCTCATCCCAGGACACTGATTTCATTAATTTAAGTAGCTGTAACATATTTCAGTGGAGACAAGGCTCTTCTATGCAGGGATGAGGTTCTCAAGCGCAGAAGCCAGCACAAGGCCTGCACTCTCCTCATCCCGTGCTTCCTGGGACGCCTCAGACTGGCTCCATCTTCCCCCCTGAGGCTGTGCACACCAGGTCGCAGTCAGTTTGGTGCTGCAGCCCCAGGACTCTGGGCAGAAACATGTCCGTTTCCCATGGGGGAAGCCTGCTGGAGCATCCTCTGAGCAGAGGAGCCCCACTGACCTTCCAGAGTTCTGGGTTTAAACTGGTGGTGTGGTAATGTTGAAATTAAACAAAGAAACCCTGCTGGCAGGCCAGCAGTTTGGGCAGCCCTGAATGACAGCTAACTGACCCAACCATCTCTTCCAGAGGACCCCCATCGCCCTGCCTCCCACTCCCTGGGGACAGGGTAAATGGGACCAGCTTGACTTTAAGCACCAGCTCCTCTCCACCGCACCCTGGACAGGAGGCAGCTCTCTCCTGGCCACCCAGTGAGCGGTATGGCCAGCTGGGAAGCCACACGAGCCCGAGGGGCACTCCTACCTCCAAGGCCATTTCCTGGAAGTCGCTCCCAGCCCACCTGACGATGTTCCCCAGGAGGAAGATGGGGCAGTAGGGATGCTCCATGCTGTAGTGGCAGTTCTTCAGGTAGGACTTGTTGTCGGTTGCCAGCACATTCACCCTGCATGTGGGGAAGAGGAAGAGCCACCGTGTCTGTCTCTTTGCTCACCTGCACAGCCTATACCACCACGTCTGCAGAGACAAAGAGACTTCTCCAACACTCTCATGCACAACAGAAATGGCACCTTGCCACCAGCCCCGTCACCCTGTGAGCCCTGCCACTGCTGGCCTGGGGAAAGCAGTCTGCCCACACAAAAATGACGTCCAGGCCAGAGAGGGACTAGGCCAGCTGAATCTGAGCTCAAGAAAGGACTCGCATGGAGCAGGTTGCCAGAGTGCTCCAGGGCCACCTATTTTTTTTCCTTGAGAAAACTAAAGATGCTAGAAATGTCTAGCTGAGCCTGGGAAAATAGCAAGAACACACTCCTTTCTACACTTCTTTATTTTGTTTATACTGTAGCAGCAAATGCAAACAAATATTTTTTAAATTGCATTTTGCCCTCCTTGTTCAGGCACCTTAGTTTTTATGGAAGAGGAGGAATATCTGGGAGCAGAAGCAGCTCAGGAACCTGACTATGCACTGGCTGGTGGACAGATCCATCTGCCTTAGGAGCCCTGGTGCACCCCAGGCTGAAGGAGCCATCACAGACCTCGTTTGGTGAGGGACATCCTTATCCCAGTTGCTCTGAGAAGCTCCAAGCCCTCGTTATCTCCTTGTTCCTGCACAGCCTGAAGCCAAAGCCCCACCACCACCACCACCCCTCCCCAAGCCTTAGAAGAGGGAATATCTGCCTCTCCACCCCAACCCTCAGGCAGGAGAAGGACAGTGGAGCAAACTGAGCTTATTGGTTCTGTGATGGAGAGGACAGAGGGATTTCCAAGCACCTGCACTTACTTGGAGAACTTAAATTTAGGGAAGCGGATTGAGTTCTTGATGTAAACAGTGAAGTTTTCTGCACTGGCAAGAAGTGGTTTCCTGGAAGAGAAGGATTTGTTATCTGTTTTACATCTGTACCCTGCCCACGTGCTAAAACTTGAGTTGCCATTTTAGAAACAGCTCGGTTTCATCCCGTGATGCTAGGTCAGCCACACCACTTTCTCCATGCAGCCAGTAAGGAGCTGGTGAGGAGTGTGCAGGTTGAGGGGAAGCACCAAGAGCTGGAAACAGCCCTGAGACAGCCAGTGAGCCAAGCAGGGGGGAGCAGAGGGCCAGTCGTGCCAGGGGCCATGCAGAGCTCCCTCCTGCCCTGGAACAGCCAACATTCAAGCAAGGGTCCAAGCAGAGGGAACCCAGAAACTGCCCTGAATGACAGACGAGCCAAGCAGCTCAAGCTTGGAAACAGCACAGGGTGGCCACGTACTTGGGTTTGGATCTTTTCTCCACTGGGCACCAGGCCAGTATCTCACAAGTCCTTCTGATATTGTCCCCGTCTTTCAAACAACGGCCAGTCTTAACTCCTGCAGCACAGACATCACAGAAAAGGTCACACAGAGCAGCCACCTCTTCTCCTTGCCTACAGAGCACACAAAAATCAGATGCTTTTCACTGCAACCTTAAGCCCTCCTCCCTGCTGTGAAAGGGCCTCTCAGCCAGAACAACCGCTCTCTTGTTGCTTCTCTGAGCAGCCCCAGGGTGCTCTGGCCCAGCCACCACAGAGCTGTAAGCAAGGCAGCAATCTTCCTAAAAGATGGTAAAGAAAAGAAAATCCTTGCCACTCTGTAATTGCAGTTCTGGGGGTTTTAACCAGGTTGATGTCTCTGAAGGAACCTGCCTCTACCAGAATCAGAACAGGAAGAGGGACCCTTCCCTTACCATTGCCAGCCACCACTGCTTCCCCCTCAGGGCAGTCCTCATCCTTGTGACACAGGGCGTCGGGAATGCTGGCACTCTGCAAAGTAGAAGAGGACAGAACTGAGACCTGTGACAGGGCCATGAGGCTCAGAGGGGTAAGAAACTGCTGCTGATGTGGGGTGAATCTTCTATCGGATGGCAAACACCAAAAAGGTGCAGCTGAAGTGATAATTGCAGGTCATGTGCAAATAGCTCGACAGTGTCACACCACCAGCAACACCGCGGTTCAGCTACGACGTCCTGCTTTTGGGCTCTGCTCAATCTGGAGAGGGACAGACTGTGGGAAAACCCAGACATCACCTACCACTCACCAAAACCAAGCAGGAGGTCCCAGTGCTTCATCTGAAGAGATAACGCAACCTTTGCCATAAGCCATAAGCTCTCTGAGCTCAAAATTACCCTCCTCTCGGCAACGTGCCAGGTTAATGCAGCCACTAGAGGACAGCCGCGTCCCGAATGAGCAAGCTGTGCTCCCGGCTCTCTGCTTGCGATATGGGAAATTAATCTCTGCTACATGGAGACAACATTCCCAGGACAGCCAGCGTCCTCCTCCTCCAGGCTCCAAGCTATACTGAACCACGTCTCCACAGAGGACATTTCAACATGACATGGAAAGACCTCATGCCTCTGGCCCAGTAAGGCACATTCTGGAAGGTACTAAACACCCTCCCATGTCCCGAAGGTAATGGGTTCAGCCCTTCCCAGGATAGGAGAGAAAGTCTCCTCTACCCATAACTAGACTGAGTCACCTCAAAGTTGTTTTCCCATGGCCCTTTCTGACCCTGAGCAATCACGGCTCTGGTCTCCTCTCCAGCTGGGCAGATGTCCAACACCTTCGACTAAAGTCAGCAAGACTCTACATGATCAGTGCCTCTAGAAATTAAGACAGCTGAACCTCCCAGGTTTTCAGTAACCAGTCCGATTTTCCCAACTGAGATATCACACTACAGAGAAAAATAGTTCGGCTTTTATCCTTCCTGTGTTCGTCGCTCCCCAGGTGTCTTCTGTCAGTTCTTACCCCTAGTTTTGTAGGGGTCTGGGGGCCAAGGAGCTCAGTTCTTCCTACCTCAGGACATGTGGCTTGCCTCTGGTTTGGGGTCACAATCAGATTTGTCATGATAAAGAAGACGTTTTCACCCTAGAATAAACAAAGTAAGGCAGGAAGAGTTAGAAAACCTGGTTTATTCTTAAAGTACCTGTTTACAAGGAGAATGCAGTTCTCCGCAGAACAGTAACACCCCCCTCTCTCCTGATGATGCTTTTCAGGCTGAGATACGACAGCATCCTTTGTCTGGATATTTGTTTGGATGAGGTCGGTGGGTCTCTATGGCGTAAGGGGTTCTGCTTCAGAGACTGCATTAATTTGGTGAGCAGGACAGCTGAGCCTTGCCTCGCTGGCTGCATGGCAAGCGCTTGTCCTCCTTTTCCATAAGGACGTGGTGCCTGAGCAGGGATCAAAGGCCCTGTCCCACTGCAGAGGCGCGGGTGTTTGCTCTCAGCCAGGGTCGGGCTGGCTGCCCCAGCTGCGCTCATGGAGCAAGGCAGCGAGGCACAGCGCAGGAGCAGATTTAGTGCAACACTGTGGACATGTGATAAAACAAAACAGAGCACTTCGAGCATGGCTGTAAGAGAGAATGCAGATCCCTTTATCGAGCCACTGGAATGACTGTCTGAGACATGCAAGGAGAGACTCGGCTGCATTTACATCCCCAATATCCCTATTTCAGGCAGTGTTGTGTTCCCTCTCTATTTAGGCAAAGTCACAATATTCATGGCTGACCTCTGTTCTGGAGCCTTCCCTTCTTTGCACATTTACAGCTTCTATTTGGTCCTTTCCCCACATTCTGCAAAACGTCAAACTAGTTAACTTTTCCCCAGAATGGTTTCCCTTTAATAACCGATCACCAGAGGAAACCACAGGAAAAACGAGGCTGAAGATGGTTGAACAGCCAGCAAGAAGGAAGAGAAAGCAGCTTACCACGGCACTGCAGATGGAGGCTGGCTGGCCACTCAGAAGTGAAATAAATGCCAAAATAAACAGTGTGATTCTACCATTTCTGCTCCGTATGGTGCACACGTGGGACAGGGAGGAGGGTCAGTAACAGAACCAGGGTGCAGCTACAGAAACACAGGTTGTCTCCTGACAGCCCCCAGGAGCCTGACCCTTGTCACGCCGGGGCCGCACACACAACCAGGCGAGCCAGCCCACAGTCCTGGCATGAGGCAGGGCAGCCCCGAGCATCTCGGAGAAAAAAATCCTCACCCAGAGCAGGAACTGGCAGTGTGTCGAGCCCTGCCACCTGTAACCCTGGTTTCTTGTGTGAGTGAGCACCTGGTGATTAAATACCTGATCAGGAGCAAACTCTGGATCCCCAGCCCCACAAGGCTGCTCTGAGCTACAACAGGGAGCAAGATGTTTCTGTAAACCTGTCAGAGAACAAGCCCAAGTAAACAACTTTACATTAAACTTAACCCCAAAGCGCCACTGGTTCATTCTGTCCGAAGGCATTCTCAGCCCTCAGTGATGAATATCAATAAACTGAGTGCCTGCCTTTTATTCTGGAGTCTCTCAGAAAACTCCTTCCGACACACAGCCCTGCCTGTTGCACAGAAAAATCAGTGCTCTCACGTTTCTGTCCGTGAGATCAGAGCTTGGTGCTCCCGCACTGGCCTGGCTCGCTCTCCTCTCGCTGAGCTTTGTGTGGGGTGGGTTTACCCCACATCCCACTTTGGGACACAGGCACATCTGTCCTCAGCAGGAGGGACACACTGGCCAGCAGCTGCACTGGTGGGTTCAGGAGAGCTGCCTTTGCTCTATGGAGGAGATGGGGTTTCTTCCAGCCCTCACTGCCTGGATCTCTCCAGTACAAACCAGGACAGCGCAGGACTCTCGCTCCAAAGTGCAATGAGAGATTATCCAGTAATTAGCAGATGCAAGTCACCTAATGCACTGGTAGCAGGCATTCAGGTACTCCTAAAAACCCATGCGGGACACATCTCACAGCTGACCTGAGACATTCAGCAGGGAAAAAGCAATCAGGAGGTGGAACAGGAGAGCTGGTGAAATGTCTACTTTTGTACTCGTGGCCCACAGAAGTCCTTGAGTTTCACTGTGAGGTCTAACAGCATCATGTTTGCTGGAGGCAGACATACACCAGCCCAGACTGCGATAATGCTGGATTCAACGTTGTAGCCTGATTGCACAGTCATGTCTGGCTTCATGATGCCGTAACCCAGACATCTGCGTTGCAGAGCACACCAGCCCAGAGGCAGAGCTGGCTATCTGTGCTCAGCACACCACACTACAAAGGCCTCCCACTAAGCCAACACACAGTAAAAAAAAACCATTGAGTCACAGGAGAAACATCTGACAAGTTAAAATGCTAATGAGGGTCACCATTTCATTTCTGGGTGTGCACACCAGCCACCTGCTAAGTGTCCCAGGGCTGTCACACAGCTTGGACAAGAGGCACCGCAGGCACGCTGCCTGGTCTTCCTGCTGCACAGCACACCTTGGTCTGAGGCTTTGCATTGAAATTGGTGGAGATGCAGAGCACAGATCCACAGGTCTGAGTAAATGTGGGCTGCAGCAGGAGCAAGGTGAAGTTTTATTCTTGTGTACAGACATGTAAATTGTTCAATGTACAGCCTTCTACCCCCTGTTAGCCCAGGACCCTGATTTTCCCCTCACACCCTTCCATGCACATGGTGGATGCTGGCTGGGAAAGCACAAACAGCCCCTGGCAAGCAGAGCTGGGCAATTTCCAGCCTGGTGCCAGGCCACATCTGCCGCCATCTCTTCCCCTTAAGCATCAGCCATGATGTCACTTTGTCCCAGTCAAGGAAGCAGCAAGGCTGGTTTAGCCAGACACATTTCAAGCAACCCTCATCACTTAAATTGCACCACACTTTCTTTCCATCTCCCATCTGCTCTGGGCTGCCCCACACATGCCTCCTCTAGCCCAGGAACAGAGGCAAGCAGTCACTGCTCATCTGAGCAGACCCACTGAAGTCCACGGGACTTCTGCTCGCGTGGTTCTGCTTGCCAAGTATCACAGACCTTTGTGAGAGAGACAAGGCTGCTTTGATATTTACTGGGAAGACCCAAGAGAAGGCACAGCATTGCTTTCTTGTAGCCCACCTCCTTATTCACAGGAAAGACCTGGATACATCACTTCAGCCTTTCCACCAGCAACCACGCTGGAAGATGTCTTTCTAGCAGAACGGCAGAGACAATAGCAGCGGGGGGATGCCAACCTGCGGAGGGATGACGTAGTCTGCAACATCCCACAGCCTCTCCCCCAGCTCCGAGGTGTTGGTGAAGGCTACCCCTTTCAGCTTGGTGATGACAGAGCTCTGGAGGGATGTGTCTGTGTCCTGATAGCCTTTCTTAACAACAAACACCCACCTGCAAAGAACACAGCAGGCAGCAGCATTAGCAAGTGGGGTCAGGGAACAAGTTAGTCAAAGAAGATTTACATCAAGGCCAGACACCATTCAAGGGCAAATCAAAACATGCCAATGACACCAAACCCTCTGCTACTACTACTGCAAATTTAGAATAAATTCTTTGACACAAGATGAACATATCTCCAGCACTGGAGGACAAGTTAGGACCAAGACTCCACATGCAGGGAAAGGTGTAATAACTGGTCACAGGGTAAAAAACCAAAGCGTCCCACCTCCCTCTCCTGTGCTAAGCTCAGCAACCTCCATGGAGAGGGCAGGCTTCTGTCTTCTTCAAGAAGAAAAATAATACAATCTTTTGCAAGTTGCAGTGTTTCACAAACACATGACTCACTCCCATTTTAGCAGTCTGCCATTAGGCTACCAGTCCAGCAACGAACCATGGCCGGGGAGATGCAATTCCAGCAGGTAAACTGCATATCCCTAACAGAAATCTGTCAGGAATATTCTCAGCTGGATACAGGATCTTTTGTCAGCCAGTGGGATGGTAACACCCTGACTGCACTCTGGGCTCTGCGCTGGGCTCCGGGCCTCTCGCCAGCACACCTGAAGAGCCACTGCCTCGCTAAACACTCCCAGGAAAGGTTTTGCTTACTTCTTCTCACTGGAAGCAGCCAGAGCTCCGTATCATAAGGTGAAAACCTCTCTGGGCTAAATTAAATGCCTCCAGCTTCTCCACAATACTGCCAAAGTCACCTGCCAAGACAACAAATCACCCTGGCCCTTGAAGAAGCTAAGGGTGCCGGGGCAGGTTTTGGGAGAGGGACGCAGGCTGCATTTGCTGGCACAACTCCCCTTTGCAGTGCCCTGACCTGGAGAACACTACGGTACACAGAGAGGGGAAGTGGCCATCTCTGGGGCTGAGCAGCACTGACACGCGCTGCCCTTCACCTGCGACTTGTGACAAACCTGAACAATAACATTCCCCGCTCCTGTGAAGTTTCCTACTTTCCTGTTTTCCCCGAGAACACTGTTTTTCTGTCCCAGGAGAGCTCAAAAGCAGACCCTTACATTTTCCACAGAGGATCAGGGAAGAAATGGCAGCTACGTGCAAGAAACAATCCAGAGGGTTTGATGATCACAGCCCCCGAACAGGGATGGGTACGTAATCAAGCAGCCAGATTAACGCAAACCACCGCTGCGATCCACTGTGAGCCCCCAGCCCCAGAGGAGTCACTGCAGGCACCATCAGCGACGGTGCCAAAGCTTTGCAGAAGGCAATAGCTGCTTGGGGAAGAAAAAAGTCTGTACGGCCCAGAGAGTCTCGAACACTCACGGTCACTGTCATGCTATATCCCTCTTGGGTGGAGGATGCGTCCTCGGCAATGTTATCTATAGGATTCCTCCTTTAGCAGCTAATACATGCCAGGCTGCTGAGACTTCATCTCTGCCCTGTTAACTAAAGCAGGCTCTGGAACTGTACACCTTTCTATAAATAAACTCAGCATGTAAAAATTACTCTGCTATATTTAATCAGTGAAAACATGAGGTGTGGGAAAAGTGAAAGGACGCAGAAGCACAGAAAGTGAGGGTAAAGAACCTACGAATCACATTCTGCAGAGCCTCAGAAACTCAGGAAGCAATGGCACAGGCATCATGCAGGCTGGATAATTCCAGGTCTGAGCCTGCAAGCTGCGAGGAGTATTGCTGTGTTCGTTACATGTCAGTGCGACCAGCTGCTGGCAGAACTGGGCCTTTTCTGAGAGGTGCTCTAGCTATCTCCACGCCAACTCGCCCTGCTCTGAAATAAAGGCACAACAGCCAACTTTCACGCTGCCTCAACCTCCACAACCCCAGCTGCTGCAGCCCACTCCCGCAAAGAAATCGGCCACTTTGTGCTTGGTTCCCCCCCATTTAGACTAGAGCGTGTCATGCAGTTGTGCAGACAACCCAGGTTTGTTCCAAGGTTCAGCAACGGTGGCCATAAATGCTATTGTTTCTAATGAGTCAGGAGTTAAGGTTTGGCACAATTCCCACCAAGTACAGAAATAAAGGTGTAAATAATGCAGTACAAAGCCATAGTGCCGTTTCATCTATTTTTAACCCAAATGTTAATCTGGGAGGTAGAGCTGAATCTAGCAATCCCTTGCAGGTGAAAAATCAGATCTAATCTATTAAACATTACAAAATCCAGCAGTATAAACAAGCATAACTATCTGCATTAGAATCGTAAGGCATAGCAAGCTGTCACTGTATGCAGAGGATGCCATACTGATCACTACAACACAGCAAGGAAATGCAACTGCAGCAGTACGTAAAACACAGGGCGATTCTTACCCCACCAGGTAAGCCAGGATGGAGAGCTGCACCACTCGATAGAGAATCCCCACCTTCTTGTTCTTTGCGATGACGTATTTCTCTGTTTTATAATCAAAAAGTGACAGAAATAAACCCTTCCAAGCCACCTGCCCCATGCTCCCAGCTCGCTCTGTACCGGTGGCTGGAGCTGGCGGCAGCGTTTGCAGCTCGCGTTATCCACACGTGCTCTGCATGGAAACCTGACACACCAACCCCTTCAGAGCGAGAGGCTGATCTCCTCCCTCCCGTCAGCTGCTCTCCGGCAGCAGCTCTCGACTAGGAAACCAGCAGCTGCACTAACACGAGATCCTTCCTTAGCTGCTTTGCAGCTAATTCATCCTCTGGGGAAACCCCCATCTCAGTTTTACCCCCAAGCTTCATTATCTCCCCCATAGTCACAAAATGTTTATAAGGAAACATGTTCTAGCATGAAGCCGTGCTACAGCATCCAAGGTGATGGAGCTGTAGTCTCTCACTGTTAAGTATTAAAGCCTTTCTTCAGCCTTTACATGATGGCAAAGCACATGGTTAAATTTTTAATTTCTTAAGTGTTTGCATAATCAGTGAGGACTTGGGTCCTCACCAGTCATTCAAAATACCTTCCTGGTTACTACACCTTCCCAATGAAAACCCAATTTAAGAAACTAATAAATAAATTCTGCATGTGGTTAAGTGATCAATCACCATCACATCTCACTAAAACGCACAGTGAGTGCTGAGCCAGACAGATACAGATGCAGAACACAGCATCTGATGAAATACCAAAGGGAGAGGAATAGTTTAACCCTCACTGAGATAAGAGTTGTTTATTAGCCAGTACAGCAAGAGAGGACTCCCAGTCTAACAGAGGCATCTGCAAGTGCAAGGACATGAAATGACCATTACTTAAACTAAGAAGGGTGGACACTGCCTCCTCCACATGGGAGACGTGGACTGCCCACAGCTGGATCTATTAGAGGGAGTCTAATCAGAGACACGAGGTGGTGTATTAGGTATAAAGTGCAAGGTTTACAGCAGTCATGCATGAGCACCCAATTAGCTCACAGCTGAGCACCCAGTTAGCTCATGGGGCTTTGTCAGGTTGGGGAAGGCTCTTGAGATTACACAGCTGTGATACATGCTTGGACATGGGTCAAGAGAGTGGGTCCCACCGTGGAGGCAGCAGGCAGTGCGGCGAGGTGATCTGCTCCAGCACACACACCTCTGCCCTACGCAACTCTCCTCCTAGGCAGAATCATTCTCAAGATGTCTGGTTTTATGAAAATTTTATCCTTCGTCCTCCTTAAATTCCATACCAAATTTAAGCAGATGGATCAAATTTTTAATGAATATCTAATAAGGTTGCTCCAAATCACAAGAGAACCACAAACAGTATAATAATGAACAAAACACTGTCCTCAAAATACCTCATTTTGTCCCTCATCCCGCAGCCATCCCTAGAGTTTCCTTCTGCAAAGCAAAAGAAAGCTTTCTCCAGCAACTGCAAAACTAGAACAGAAATCTGCCTGTGGCCTCCTTTTAACCCGGCGGCTGCTGCTCTCCCCAGCTCCAGCCCCACGGCCGCCGATCGCTTCTGCACGTGGCTTTTTCACGAGGGGCTCCTGGGGCGACGGGCAGGCTGCCAAGGGAGCGAGCCTCCCACTCCCGTGCACCCCCCATCCAGTCCATCATCTGGGGCCGAGATGTGGGAGAGGCCACCCCAGCCCCAACCCTGCTTCCAAACTTCACGGCTGCCCTCCAGCCTCAGCACAAGCAAAGGGCTGGGTCTTGCTCACTTCTCCCTTCCCTATCTGCACACTGCACAGGGGCAGCCCCTTTTTATCTCAGAAAACATGTTAGCTGCTCCCCAAGTCCCTGCTGGTGCCCTTTTTCTCACTCAAGCATCTGTTACTCACGGTTTCCCTCTTCCTCCAACAGCATTTGGCCACTGAACCCACCCCTCCTTACCAGATGCCTACGGAGCAGATTATCACTAGTTCCAGTCTTAGAGATCTTTTTGTGCTCTGAAGCACAAATAAAAAAATCTTAACACACATAATAACCAAAGGAGACAAAACCCTCCAAGAAAACACACTCCTGCAGGGAGGAAGGAGACCACGGTAGTCCATGAAGCCAGAAACGAGTAAGGAAGAAAAGTAGGCTCAGCCTATCTTCCCTCGCCACTGCCCAGAGCCCAGAGCTAAGCAGTTCGTGCTGGGGCTGGGCACTGGGAGACTGACCCAGCCCCAGGAACCAGAGCTGCGCAGAGACAGGAGCATCCTAAAGAAGCCACCACGCAATCTTCTGCCCAATCTGCTCCTAGATGAGACACTTTGCAAGCACAAGTTGCTGGGTGACAGCCAAGCACCATTGCTGATCGTGGGTCTGGTCCTACGAGAACACCATCTGCTTTCCCTGGCCCTGCTGGAACTGCTCCGGGGACAGGACTAAATGACACGTATATCCCCCGTCTCAGCACTGCCTCCACCATTGCTCCTGCTATGCGAAGGACACCCAAGTTCATGCACAAACGATGTACCAGTGGAGACAAGTCAGACCCTGGTAGCGTCTGGAGACCCCTCTCTCCACCCTCATCTTCCTCATCTGTCTGGCTGACTGACTGCACAGGCTAAAATCAGACCAAGAAACTTGCCAGCAGTTAAACAGTGTGTTACCTCCTGGCCTGGTTTTACTTAGTGGCACAGACATAGGTCTGCTATGCGTTTTTGTAATTATTTTCCAGGTCAATTAACATGAGAAAGGATTTACACAGATTAGAGAAAATGTTCCTTATAGTGTTCCTGCTATAGGTATGATCTGAAGGTGTCAATGAGGTCCCATCACTAAAAAATTTAAAAAGCTAATGTAAAACTGATACTTTTCTTGGTTTTTTTTAGAGCCATCAGGTAGAAGCACAGTTGCAATAGATGATTCTGAATAAAAAGCTTCAATTTGTATCAAATGTTCCTCAGAATATTCTGAATGCTGCGTAACACTGGCTAGATTCATGCTGTCAACAGTGTCGTTGGCATGCTTTTATAGATATTGTTCTTATCACCTTCTAGTTCTCACATCCTTACTTTTTTTCTTGCCTGGAAATCAAGATTACTGGTGCGTTTCTCAAAGCAGATGTGGGTTTTTCAAACATAAGCATTTTCATTCCCAGGGGGACAGTAAATAACCTAACAAAATCTAACCATCATCAGTTAAAGACAAAACCCAGTAGTTTCTCTTAATCCTTCTCAAGGGACTGAGGCTGATCTCTTCTGCAAACTATCTCCCTTCTTGAGTCCAACATTTTGAGTTTCCCATGGCAAAAAAAACAGTTCTGCTCCCTTCTCATAAGGGCTATTTGCTCAGTCTATAAATTCTCACAGGGAGGATTTCTCCTCCAGAACCAAAACTCTCCCTTTCTCTCTCTCCTTTTTTATTCCTGATATGTTACATCTATATGTAACTCCTCATACTACTCATGGCAATTGCCTTCTCATTATTCACACGCAGTCATAGGATACACGTCCCTGTCTGCCCAGACTGCTCCTTGTCTACATTTCCCTCCACCTGTCCATAGCTCTTTGCTGTTAAGCTGCCCCAGAGCTGAACTGAGCCAAGTCACAAGCCTGTAAATGCCATGTAGAGGAACTGTGGAAATTAAACTTTAGACTCCTGACCTGACAGTGGCATTTGAAACACCGCAAGGTCACATCTGCCTCTCTATGGTATTGCAACATTTCAAGGTCAGCCCAATAATATGTTTAAATTGCACGCAAGAGAGACCACGTGTTTTCCAGGCAACGGCAGACTGTTACTGTAAAATTCAGTCACAACAAAACCCTCTAAGACTCAGCTTTAAAGTTTAGAAGGCAAGCATTCTTTGCAGCGCCGGATGCACTGGGGATCACTGCACCTATCGTGCATGTCGTATGTTGCATCAGTCAAAGCTTATATTGCCCTGTTACATACACATGCATTAAATTTCCCAGAACTAATTATCATGCTTACATAGTCATTACACATGCGCTTTAAGTCTCTTAGGGTCTTCTGTGGGGGTCATTTTGCAATGTCCTTTGGTTGAACCTTTTTTTAGAGCACGCGCAGTGCAGATCAACCTATTAGCTTCTCTTGGGTTACCTAGCCTTGTGCAGTTTCTACCTACAGAAACTGTTTTCTTGTCCTTAAGGTTGCAAAATCATGATGTTTCTTATCCAGGACTAATAAAGCAAGTCAGCATGACTGAAAAACAACTTGATTAGATGCCCTTATCCTTTACTGTCAATAATTTTGCAATGGCTAGCATCAGCAGGTGTGAAGACAGCCCTGGCCAGTACAGATGTGATTCACGAGTGACTGCCAGAGGTGCCCACTTTCGTCACTTGCCTTGTTTGCTTCCAGTTCCAAACAATCACCCCCAGGCATTAATTCTCTCAGTGATCCCCACTCACTCTGCCCTTTACTGAGCTATCAAGTGCAACACAAAACATTGGCTCCCAAACGCATGACAGCTGACTCACAAGATGCTGAGACATTTCTAAAGCACTGAAAATGCTCCTGCAGCAAATGCCTAAGTGATGCAGATGCATCATCCTTTAGAAATAGGCACCAGACTTGCTACTGAAATAGAAAGGAGACAAGGAGCAGAGGATGTAAATAGGAGATAAACTATTTTGGCAAGGAAACAAACAGTGGAAAAAGCAGAGGTCAGCTCTCTCCATTAGTGGTTCTTTTTCATAGTATCATACTTGTAGGTCAACATCTATTAAAAAAAAAAAAAAAAAAAAAGGGGAAGAGTTGAACAGGTTGAAAGAGGAAGTTGCTTTTAAACCACAGCTCATGTGCACGGAAACACACAGAAATCAGTGACATCAAACATAAGCTGCTTTCTGAAGATAATGGGCTTGGACGCAAAACAAAGAAAAATGGGAGCAGCCTGCAGTGAAAAATGCTCCACCCAGCTTCTCCTCTAATCCTCACTGTGACTTTGCAGTGTAAATAAGTAGGTTTCCACTTACCAATGAAAAATTGGCAAAAAAAATCAGCCTTAGTATTTGTCCTTCTAACTAGTACCACTGAACACCCAGACACAATGGAAAAGGAAATCTTTCTTTCGGGAGGTATTAGAAAAACATTCAGATCTTTTTTTGCCTAGAAATGGAATCTGTGGAAAGTCTTTCTGTCATTATCCACAGGAGCATCTAAACCTGTCTGTAGGAGTCAGAAACGAAAGCATGCTGAACTTCCAGAATATATTCTCATTTTGCAGGGGAACAATTTTCAGCCTCTGAATGCATTCCAGGTTGCTCCCCCAATCCTCGAACGTCCTATACAGTGTGCAGGAGGTCCTGTTATCATGAGCCAGAGTGCTTATCCACTTCTCTCTCCCAACCCAAGAAGTGAAAGTGCTTGAGGAAGAGGCCTAGAGAAGAAAGAAAAATACTAAATATCTAATAAAACTAATCCATCATGCTCTGTTCTGTGAGGGAGCTGGCACTGAATCAGATCAGAGAAATTAAATAAAAATGCACATAAAACATTGCTAAGAGATTAAGTGAAATGATAGCTGGAACAGCAATGTTACGCAGTGCTGTACTGCAATGTTTTCACCTTCTAAAGTCAGCCAGTAAAAGCATCATTGGGGAATAAGAGGAGAATGTTAAAGCCTGAAAGGTTTTAATAAAAAGTGTATTCACATTAACCACTCACTTAAAGGTGAAACCCTGCTCTTGAATATACTTGACAGATCAGTGTTTTACTTCTTTGTTAATGTGTATTATCCCAGACCTGGAAAGACATGGAACTCATCCTGGCTTGATAGCTCTACCAGAGCTTACCTTGCTGCAAGTGCTGAGGAGACACCTTCATCCCCTTCCTTCACCTTCCTCACGTAAACAGCTAGAAAGTCTAGGCTGAGACCTCTGCCCCTTCCTCCCTGGAATTATCAACCAGTGAATCTTTCCAGCCATAGGAAAACATACCATTACTTGAACTTGACCTCCAGAGGCAAAGCTTTCATGAGCAACACGCGGCACCTGGCCTTGCCCTCGCTCTGCAGGCTGGTGATGCTCTAAACCAGTTCCTGCTGGCAAGAGGCTGATGTGTCCCAGCTGTGCTGCACAGACGCACTGGAGGTGGTTTAGCCAAGCTGGCAGAGAGTCAGAGCAACCTGCTTGCAGCAGCGCAGCACCATTCTAGCTCATTCATTCTGTTATAATAAGAGACAGGAAATTTCTCTTTTGAGCTGCAATCCAATTAGCCTCCAAATAAAGCTGCCCCAACAGGCTCTCAAGCCCAGAAATGCACTCCATGGCTCCTATCTAATGCTTTTATGTCAGCAACCAGCACTTAATAATGAAGAACTACTTATGCCCTTTTCCTGATGAGCTTTCCTGAGCAGCAGACTTCCACTTCACTTAATTCTGCTAACGACCAGGCCGCTGCACTCCCAGAGTTCAATACATGAACCTGTCAGCTTCCGAACACACTGAGGGAATTATAACCCAAGACTTGTGAGTCTTCCTGGCATTCGAGAAAGACATAAACAGCTGGTATCACCCCTGATGAAAATAGCATCACAAAAATGCATCCTGTCCTCCCCTTCAAGGATACAATTAAAAAGCTATCTCAGATACATCAGCTTTTGTCAGTCACCACCCACCTTCACACCTCCTACTCCTTGGTCAAATCACCCCCAAAATAGCCAAAATCTATCAGGCCAAGCTCACCTACCAGAAGCTAATAACCAAACCTGGAGCGATGGAGCCAAGCCAGGATTCAGAGCCAAGACAGCTGATGGGGATGGATGATCAGCACCAGTCAGTGGGCAGAGAACAAACATCTGTTCTTGCTCTCCTGGGCTACCAGCAGCGTTGACAATCATCTCTCCCCAGCAGAGCAAGAGAAAGGTAGAATAACAAGCCACTCCAACCTAATGAGCAGTGTTGGGAGAACAGATCTGAAGGGAAAGGAGTTTAGGACACAATCCGTACTAGTCAGTATTTCCTACCCAAGAGCAGAGACCCTCCCTCCCCAGACACTCTGCCATCTCTGCATGATGCATAAAGATCATAAATGACCCTTATGGCTCAGAGGCCTCTAGGATACCTGCAGCAGCTTCTCTGCCCGTGACACCTGGACCCCAAACAGCTTGCCAACATGTCAGCCTGGCTGGGGTCTGGTGTTTAATGACTCTGAAGAAGTCATTTGCAAATCTTCTGCCATTCAGGGAGATGGCATAACTGTGCCACTGCCACAGTGCACTAAAGTCAGGGCCACACAGCAAGGCCACAGATGTTGACAAGGCTTTTGCACAGGGGATTTTATGCAAAATGCAGATTGCAAATAAATTTAGAAGTAGACGCAGCAAGGCTTCCATGGAAACAGCACAAAAATCCAGCTGTGGTTTGGATGACTGTGAGTCTTGGCAGTCTTGACTAATCCCTTAAGTGCCATCCAATTACTGCAAATGTGTTTGGCATCTACTACAGCAATTGCATAGAATTAAATGGTCAGATGGCACTCATCGGAAATTACAAGTCACAGAACCCTGTAATGCATTTAAGAAAAAACATCTAAAAAGGAAAATATCATCACCCACTGCAAAATCTGACCTCCTTGAGAGCCATAGGGGACAATAAAAGGGATCCAAGCAATGAGGAATACTTAATTCAGAGAAGAAACCAGAAAAAAAAGGACAGGAAGAAGGAGAATAACAAGATGGGCTGAAGGAGATGAGCTTGTTTAGCCTTGAGAAGATAAAACTCTACTCCTAATCCTTATTCTTAGCACAGGCTTCCACAATTAACACTCCTTCCCTGAGGAAAGTAACCAAAAAACTACCAATGGCTTTTCTGTGCCCAGACTTACCAAGTATGATCTGACTGTAAGAGATCTCCAGGTGCTTCAGAACAGGTAGAACTTTGCTGTGAAATGGAGATCTGGGAGGGAGGACGGGCAGCAAGACCCCAACCACTGGTACACGGTGGTCCTTTCACTGACAGTCGTCCACATCATGTGTCACTCAGTGCAAGACCTGTCTCGAGCAGTGGAAAAGCAGACAACACATTTCCCTCTCCTAAAAAAAACCAACGTGCCCTGAAAGTTAAAAATAAATGAATAAGTGAATAAAAAAAGAACCTTTGAAAAAGTGTCTTCCTTATAAAGCCACCACCTCAGTCACTCCTGTGTCCTCTGGAGCTACTCTCTTTCGTAAAGCTCTTCAAAGGGATTCTCTCTCCCAGCCCAGCATCTTCTGCTTTCCATTTATTCAATTTCTCATAAAAATCCTTCCACACAGGGACATGCAAAGAAGAACAACTTAGTAATGGCTCTGCCAAAATCTGAACTGGGTGATCAAGAGTAGCCCTGGAGACCAGCTATGCCAGCTGGGAAAGGGTACAGCAAAATGCACAAACCACCTCCAGCCAGCAAGTGCAACACAGTCAGGCTTCTCTTGCAAGAATTTATTGTCAAAGAAGATGCAATTAAAAATACCACAAAAAAGAGGATTTACACAAACAGGAGTGACAATAAAGCCATTCAGACCAGGCAAAACACATTTCTTTCCAAATAGTACAGAGGTGTTATGACAAAAACCTGACCCAGGTGGTTCTTTGGTTCAGACATGAATTTCCTTTCGGAGCTCTCACCTAGGAAGTCTCATTTCCTCAGTCCCTTGGCACTTGTAAGCAGATTTGGAGTGACTCATTCTGTATGCAGCTCCAAAGAACTCTACAACCAGCCAGGGAGGAGAGAGGAAGAAATTCAAGCCAGAAGAATGGCTTCAGCTGCTGAATGAGCTGGATGCCAGAACAAGATCTCTGCACCTCTCTCTCTTGCACTGTTGAAAGTCACACAGGGGCCTTATATTACTCAAACAATATTTTGCTGTGGTACCTCTTACTTTTGTCCTAAGCAGGCAGGCCAGTGTGCTTAGCACCTTTAACTTCTAGCTGTTTGGCAGCCAGGTTTAGAGCTAGGACACACCCAGGCTTGTACAGCCTGCAGGATGCCCATCCCATCAGGAAAGTGATCCCTGTAATGTAGAGAGGTATTAATAGCACTACTTGGGTACCAGACAGGAATGTTACAAGGAAACTTCAATGAAGGCCACAGGTTGCTTGTTAACTTTGCTTTTCCATCAGGCATATCTATTAAGCCAAAGAAGACAGGAACTGTTTTGTCTTCTGAAGGTCTGAATGAAAAATCTTTGTGGGGTTTATGGTTGGCCAAACACAACAGAAATAAAACAGCTATGCAATTAGGGATAGAAAAAGCAAAAGAAAGGAAGAGGATCAAGTGTCTGTACTTGCCCTTCTTTGGAAACAGCAAACACCTGAGGGACCCTGAGATCATTTCATTGCTCAGGAAAGAAAACAGCTGGTACTGGCTACAGCCAGCCACAGGGTTTCGTTAGGTACCTTCCTTCCCCCAACCCTGTAAACTGCAATTACTTATAATACGCAGCTGGTAAAATGAGACTGCTCATGATTCACCCTACTTTCTATCACACATCCAGCAGGGAGGATGGCAACATAGCATCACACTGCTCTGCTCTGCACTGGATTCAGGTGTGGTGAATCATGCTAACTTGAGGAAATATCTCCCGGTATAGAAGTCTGTCTGAACTGGCAAGGAGGTCCATGACACATGTTTTTATCTGTGATCAAATCAGGATCTGAAAGCAACTGAAAATGGAAAATCAGAAATAAGATTGTGAGGTATGAAAAACTAATCACCACGTACACATGCTTCCAATTCCAAGAACCAGAGACATCAGGGGACATACATAATCATATTAAAATGCACAAATTTGTATATATATACACATGTCTATGTATGTATGCACAAAATGCTTGTCTCTCCCTTTTTGTTAGCAACAGCAGGATGGGAAGCTTCCCCTAGTCCATTTCTATTTCAACCTATTCTAAAGCTACTCAGTACTAAAATCAATTTAAGAACAACTCAGCATCACAGTAAGTAAGACTGCAATCCAATACATAAATCTATCAGGCTCCAAGATGAATTTTCCCTAGCATACCTACAATAAAGCAAAATTTCTCATGGGGAGTCTAGTTTATCAATACCATGCAGTCCCTCCATGATAAACAGTCAGTTCAAATTAAACAAGCAGACAACTGGATTGCCCAAAAGAGCTGGGCCCCTACGGTCAAAACATGAAATTGGGAGAGTCCCAAGGTCCAATGTGCCATAGCTCTACCAGGGAATATGAATTGTTTCGCTTCTCGGCCTGACTAACTCTGTCAAAGAGAGAGGCTCTTTTTTCCAAAAAGCTGGTGAAAGAATACAGAACTTTCTGCTTTGTCCAGCTTAGTCTTCAGGAGGTCTCTTCTTGCTCCATCTTAGTTTTATAGTTTCTTTTGAAAAAGCCACACTGGGGAAAAAATTAGAAGAAGTTATTAAGTCTTTGTATATTAATTACTTTTTGATTTTTCTTAAAACAATTTAAAATTAAAATTTCAAGTTTTTCCTTCACAGGGTTGCGATGAGTGAATGAATGCAGGATGCAGCCCAGGTATGACTTCTGGCAGAGCTGTAAGCCTGAAGGTCTACATTGTTTAAAACTCTTCAGAACATCTATAAACACTTCATAACATTCAAGTGTTCTGCAAAGCACTTTAAAACAGGATTTGAGAGGTTATACTGCAATGCTCAGAATAGCTCAAAATGCGTTTTACAACAGTAAGTGGCAGATGTCCTTCAGTGCGCATTTGAAAATATCGCTTTCATATTTAAAGGAATCTTAAAAAAACGTTAAAGCATCTAACAAAAATATTTCTGTTTTGTTGTGTGTGCATTAATAATACCCACTTTCCAGAGGAGCAGAATAATGAACGCCAGCAAGAGAAGTCCACCAACACAGCTTCCTATGATAACAGGCAAGAGATCAAACACTTCATCTTTCAGGAAGACGAGAGTAATCTGGAACAGAATCGAGGCCAACTTACCATAAAGCTAACTGAAGCCCAGTTATTTTATCTTGGTTGGCTTTAACTGAGAAAGCTATATAGCTTGAGCTAGCATTCAACCTTTAAACTCTGCTAGATGCACCATCAACCTATCCAGGCAGTCACTTTGCAATACAATATGAAATATCTTTTTTTCACTGCAAGCCCAGTCAAGGGAGTTAAATTTACTGAGTCTTCTTTCCAAGTTTACAGTGATTACAGTAGTCACCCATGAGAATCTTTCAGATTAAAGAGCATGTCTTTGCTAGGGAAAGAGAAGGAATATTCATGTTGAAATCACCGAGAGGAGGCCTCTGTGTTAGCCACAAGCATCAGATACATGCAGTTCAACACAGAACGCTAAAAGCTTTTCTGATATGCACTAGCAAATATCCTCCCTCTGCTTCTATCCTATAGTCAAAATCTGATTTCACTAAATTCAATGGAAGAACAGATGTTTGCTTCAAAAGGTCCAGAATTTAACTCTAGGAACTTGATCAGTTCTGTAGATTCAGCAAAAGCACCTGGGTTTCTCACTTGTTCCCACCCCAAGAGAAGAACCAAGCTGCCTACACGATGCTCTGATACCTCAGCGTTATGATTCTCTTCTTTCAGGCCCAGATATAGTTCTTTGTTGAAGGTGATTTTTCCAGGGATCAGCAGAGCAGTTCTGCTTTCTAAGAACTATGAAAAAATAAATAAAATGAACACGATATCAGTTGCTTTTTCAGACATTTTAAAAAAAATGGGTTGCAACAGCAAACCCTTACTCAGTCTGTGGGAACCACCCTGTACAGTGCTGCCACCAAGCTGTGTCCCGGGTATGTAACCTTGTATCTAACTACGATGACAAATTCTCTGGAATGCTGAAAGCTTGTGGTACTGTAAGAGTCATTTCACAAGGAGCAATTTCTGGAGGAAGGAAGAAGGCTGCAGCACCTCCTCTAAGTGCTGAGTGCCTCCTGGGAGACACTGCTGTGAGCAAAGCATCCTTTGCGGGGTCAGAAAATACCATCACACGTGGAAGAGCAACATCTCCACTGTGATGCAGAAGAAATCCTGCCCTGGAGCTCTGACAGGCAGTGGCTTTTTAGCAAACAGGGGCAGCGGAGTCTTTTGTGTGTACCTGATGCGAGCTCTTTAAAGACAATTCTGCTGTCACGGTGATATTGTCTCTGTCAGCCCGGATGGAGCAGTGCACGCACCGATACTGCACGTCCCGAATGCCCTGAAATGCAACGGAGCGGCTCAGTCCCACGGCTGCCACGCGTGTCTGCGGGTCTGTCCCCACGGCAAGCCGCCGGTGCCAGCACCGCTCACCTCTGGCTCCGCACCGCCGGAATACCCCCACAGCACCGGCTCCTCGCTGACCCCGCACCGCGTCGCCTCCTGAAATTTAAAGCGGATCGCTGTAACCGCGGGGCCCACGCGCGTAAAATACGTGGGGGGGAGGCGGGGCCTGGCGGCGGGGCTCCGCCCCTTCGCCGGAGGGGCGGGCTCGCCCCGCCCTCTCGCCCCGCCCCTCTGCGGAAGGGGGGGGCGGGGCCGCGCCGTCCTCTCGCCCGCCTCCAGCTCTCGCGATACCTGGTTTGAAACGGAGGCGGGCGGGCGCCGCGGCTGTCCGTTAGGCCGGGCCCGGCCCGGGGCGGCCGCCGCCGCTATGCCGCTGCAGCCACGCCTACTCCGCACCTACTCTCGGCGCGGCGGGCACCTCCGCCCGCTGCCGCTGCCCGACCGCTGGATCTCACCGCCTCAGGACCGCAAGCGGTTCTTCAGCTCCACCACCTCAACCGGCTCCAGCGTCGCCTCCCTCCCGTCGGACGACCCCGACTTCTCGCCGCCCGGCAAGCGCGGCCGCCCGCCCTTGGGTAAACTCCCCTCCCGCCGGCTGCGCACCCGCGCCGCCGCGGCGAAGGAGAACCGGCCGCCGGTGCCCGCCTCCCCCTCGCCGGTGCCCTCCCCCTCCCCGCGCCGCCCCGCCGCCCGCCGCCGCCGCCGCCGCTCGGGGCCGCAGCGCCCCCTGCTGTGCAGCACGCCGCAGTGGCCGCCCCCCGCCCGCCGCCGCGCCCCGGCCGGGTCCCTCGTCCTGCTCGACACCACGGGGGAGGGCGGCTCGGGGCTGGAGCTGCAGCTCTACACCCCGCCCCCCAGGCAGCGGACGGCTTCGTCCAGCAGCGGCCTGAGCTCCTCGGAGTCGGCTCCGGGAGAGGGGGAGCAGCTCCCGCCCGCGGCTCACGGCCGGGGGGAGGGAAGGGCTGGAGGGTTTTGGCCGGAAAACACGGGGAGGAGCGGGGAGCCGGGCTCGGGGTTGCGAAAATCCGGCAGGGCGCTGAGGGCGTCGGCGCGGGGATGCGGCCGGGCGCGAGCTCCCTTGTCCCCGCCTAAAGCCACGACCCCCCCTCCGGCAGCGCTGCCTCCCCTCAGGGGCGAGCCGCAGCACCGCGCCGCTTCTGACGGACGCTGGGGTGATCCAAGGAGAAGTTCAACAAAAGGAAGCGTGTGTTGTCAGAGAGGCAAAACCGAAAAGTACCAGCTTAGACCGGTGGTGGTCTTGGACCCTCAAGAAGTGCCACTGTGGCTGGCAAGCATGAAACTCAACAAAGAGGCAGATACTAGGCCTGCCTGCCAGCAGCCAGGGTCTCCTTTGGGCTTTCAAGGAATCTTGGAGAATAAACATGGAAGTACCTGTAGAAAAGCTTGCATCAGCGGCTTCAGTGCCAGCCGGTGGGGGAGGCAAACAAGGCTCCGTCCAAAAAGGCACAAAACCAAGAGACAGCAGCAGCCTAACAACTCCTCTTTCAGACCACAGATGAGGCAAAAAGGAATGAAGAGGGGTGTTCTGGAGATGTCTGTAGATATAAGAGACTATGACTATTCCCTCCTCAACAGCTCCCATTCCTGGGGTAGACTTCGAGCATCTTTGTCCTTCCATAAGAAGAAGAAAGTTACCACCACAGAAGAGAGTTCCTGCAACAGCATCCTTTGTACCCCTTCTGTGAAATCCCACCTTTCAGGGCACCAAGCATCCCTCTCTGCTGGTACGGCTCAGTGCTGTGCTTGGTCTGCTTCCTCCCTGGTCCTGCTGGCTCCTATGAATTCCTGTTCTGCCCTGGAGCTAATGCTTACAGATGCAGAGAAGGTGTTTGGGGAATGCCAGCAGGAGGGGCCTGTTGCTTTTGAAGAATGCATTCCTCCAGATAAGATGAAAGATTGCAAGAAAATTGGAGAAGGGGTGTTTGGAGAAGTCTTCCAGATAGACAGTGAGAGAGGACCTGTGGCCTTAAAAATAATTCCCATTGAGGGGACTGAAAGAGTAAATGGTGAAGCTCAAAAGAGCTTTGGAGAAATTCTGCCTGAGATAATAATTTCAAAAGAACTCAGTCTTCTGTCTGAAGAGTCTGTGAACAGGACTGTTGGGTTCATCAGCCTGTACTCAGTGCACTGTGTTCAAGGGGCCTACCCTAAGTATCTCCTGGAAGCCTGGGACAAGTACCATGAAGTCACAGGATCTGAAAATGATCGGCCAGATGTTTTTGGGGACGAGCAACTCTTCATTGTTCTGGAGTTTGAATTTGGAGGCAGTGACTTAGAGAATATGAGAAGGAGGTTCTGTTCAGTGGCGTCAGCAAAAAGCATTTTGCACCAGGTCACTGCTTCGCTGGCTGTGGCAGAACAGGAACTGCGCTTCGAGCACAGAGACTTGCACTGGGGAAACGTGCTGGTAAAGAAAACGGATGTAAAGGAGCTTAATTATGTGTTAAATGGGGCAACGCACACAATCCCCACAGCAGGGCTTCATGTCAACATCATAGATTATACCTTGTCTCGGCTGGAGAAGGACGGGTTAACTGTGTTTTGTGACCTTTCCACAGATGAAGAACTGTTTCAAGGCACAGGGGACTATCAGTTTGATATCTACAGGCAGATGAAAGCAGAGAACTCCAACAGCTGGACTGATTATCATCCACACAGCAATGTCCTCTGGCTGCACTACTTGTCAAATAAACTTTTGAAAGACATGAGCTACAAGAAAAAGGAATCAACTTCTTCCCTGCGGAAAATAAAGCAGCAGCTCATGAAATTCCACAAAGAAGTACTGACTTTTGAGTCTGCCAGTCAAGTTTTACAAAACAGCAGCCTCTTCCAGTGAGCAAGGGAGCGCAGTGTTTCCAAGGACTAAGTCACTGATGCTGCCTTTTTCCTTTGCTGTTTTTTGTGGATGATGTTATTCAATGTTGCCACAATGAAGAAGTGTTACGATCGGTTACCAGTGTGTATAACACGCTATCAAAAATTTCTAAAAAAAAAAGAAAAAATTCTTCTCCTTTAAGATATTTCCATGTGTACTGTCTTTGAGGGACGATGGGGGGAGAGAGAACAGTTGACATTTGAGAAGGGGGGGAGAAAGATTTCTTCAGTCTTGATGAATGCTTTGAATTCCACAGAAATTTTCTTACCTTTTTAGTCTTAGATTATTAAAAGTTCTTTCCTTACTATATTGTCTGTCTTTCTTTTTTTTTTTTTTTTAAGGAAAATAAAATTCTGCAGAGTTGGGACAAAAGTAAATATTGTTAGCCAGTTGGGGACAGAGTGGAAAACCCACCTCCTGACTTAGCTTTAAAACTGAACTTGGGTTCAGTTTGGCAAAATTTGTACCTGGAACAATTCTACAAAATGTAAATATGTAAAGTTTCTATAGTGTAGGTTTTAAAAACACTCTAATCTGCAATAATATGTTTTTTTTTTTTTCTTCTCTTAAAGACCAGTAAAGGATATTAGATTATGAAAAAAATAAGAAAGAGTACCTGTGTTCCTGATGCATTTTTGACCGTTATTATGTTGTGACCTTGTATACTGATAGGAACCCAAATCTGTAACTTGATGGTAGCATTAAAGCGATTTTCTCCATTTATCTAAGGAATAAAATGCACAAGGTAATAAGTGTTCGTTAGCCCTGATTGCAAATGGATCAGGTGACCTAAATTTGAAGCTATACTCACATTAAATCTGAATTCTTTGTTTTCAAGAAGTCCTTCGCTAACATTCACGTACATTAAAGAGACTGGTCTAAAGAGAATGATAAATCAAACAAGTGAAAATTTAATTAGATTATTATTAAAAATTAGTACATCAAATGACCCAGATGCATTAAGTAATTAAGAGGTAGCATCATCAGATTTGTTATAACTGAAATGCTGTCTATGCAGCCTGTCTGTATATGAATGCATATTTGCATTCTATTAATTAGATGCATCTTTGAACCTATCTTGAAGTCTACTTTTTACAAGCTAAGCAGTTAGAGACCCTAGGTACCACCCTGTCTATGGCATGGTTTTATTGTTCTGTCTTCCAAACTCTTTTACTTTTGCTGTCTAGTGCCACAGAAGGTAACTTGACAATCTGCAGTGCTTGAAATTATTAAGATGGAAATTGTATTGGAATCTTACCAGGCCTCCTCTCGATCTTTTCCTCTAATTGACTAGAGTAATGTAATATAATTAAATATTCTTAAAACATACTTGGTCAGGACTGCCGTGAATGCATATCTGACATCAAGGATGTGTTCTTCAGTCAGAATGGTGCTATTTTCATTTATGCTTTAAAAAAAGAAAAGGATTGGTGAAACAACATTATTACCTTCCTGCCTTGGTCCCTTATTTCTGTGGTTTGAGAACTGCTAATATTGGCTGTATAAGAGGGATGGAAACAGAGTGGCAGTAATTAATGAAAGGAGAGGTGCCAGCCTGCTTGGTGACATGGTGCAGTAGTGTTGGAGTAGCCCTTCATTACAGATTTCGAAAGCTGCCATTGCCTTGAAATGTTTCCCTGCAAGCCAACGCTAATTTGTAAATGTGTAGTATTGCTTTCATTTATCAAAATTTAAAGCTTCTACCCCTCACAAAACTGGACATCAAAATTCATATAGAAACCTTTGCCTTAAACAGGGCTTGCAAGGAAGTGTAGCTGCCACAAATGAGCTCTCATTTCCTTTTTTGAGATGCTCTGTTTAAAAATGCTGGGTACTAGTCACTCTCCATAAAATTTAATGGGGAGAAGGTGACAAGAAAGGAGTCCGAGTGGTAACTTCCCCCCGTTAGGAAGCCCCTAATCAAGAAAAATGCCCTGAACATATATCTTTTCATCCAAATCATTTGGAGCAAAAGTTTTACTTGGAACAGAGCTGTATTATATATTTTAATCATCTGTTCTCTCTGCTGAGGAAGGAGGATGCCAGAACCCGGTTTGCCATTACAGGAAACAAGCTTTTAAATATGTACTACACTTAAATTAGGACCTTAAAGGGTGCTTTATCTTTTACTGAAATAATAAAGTATGAGCAAAGCTAAAATCATCATAAGGAAATGGATCCAAATGCTTTAGAAGGTTCAAAAGAACAAGTCTAGATTTGTGTAACCAGTAACTGAAATAGCATGGACACCGAGGAGGAATTCTGATATTTCCTTTGTAGTTCATAGTGTCTCTTGTGGTGAAAATTGCAATACTCACTTGGTGATACTAATGGTGATTGCAGACTTATTTTGGAATAGGCTTTCACCTAATTGCCAAATCACTGAAAATTTTGCCTGTTTGGAGGGAAGAGAAAGATAGAACAAAATATCAATTACCTTGTAAATACTCTTTAATTCACCAGGGTACTGTTAAAACATGACAGCTAATGTATTTCTGCTCATCATTCCCTTCTGGAGAAATCAGACATCAAGTGCAGGAATATAAACGTTACCTCTTGCCTTGAGAAAATGCACACATGCCATAAGCTGAGTTAGAAAGAATAGCAGCTCTGGCCTGACTAGAGATAGAAGATGCAAGAGCAGCTACTCAAAGTATCATTTAGAGGTAAGGAAAAACTGAAAATAATTATCTCTACTTACAGTTGTCATCTTGAATACTGGATGCCCAATTCTGCAGTTACAGGATAAGCCTACAGAAGTTAATGGTATTGGTTGGCCACAGTGAACAGCAGGAGAGGATGGCTGCCAACAGAATAGGAATGTTCTTTAGCATTGAATAAAAACAGAATGGGAAATTCAACTCAGTCTGTGTCTGCTCCCATAAGACAAATTAGGTACAAATAGCCCAATAAAAGCTTGGGTGAGTCTTAAATCAGATAAATCCAGTATTCAGTCTCTAGTCATAACAAGTGAAATGCTCCTTCCCTGGACCTTATTTCAAGATTTACTTAGGTAATAAATTAATAGCAGTCTGCTGCTAGCTGAAGGGTTGTTCTACAATCTTACCTCAACAGACACCTTCTTAAAATGTAGGTTTTTAGGATAGTTCAAGACCATAGTTGTCATGTATGAGTCATCTCCACTGTTTGTTAATGAAACATTCATGGTCACTTCTTTAGTGTGGCCCACCACTAATTCCTTTCTAGAAGCAGACAGAAAATGAGATGGGTGGCATGTAATTTCTAAAGGCTGTTATTTAATAAAAGGCCTGAAGCATTCTGGTAATTACTCCCTCCAAATGCTTTCACACACAGGATAATGCCATAGCCCAATTAATTATTCAATATTCTTCAGGGTGTGTAGGAAAATGCTTCCTTCTTAATATCAAAGGCAGTCACCTCCAAACTTTATGTAACGTTTTATCATTTCTGTTTTACATCAAGATAGACTTTAAACATTGTTCTTGCTTAGCTTTTCAGTGAATCTCCAGGGTAAATTTTTACAACTAAGTGATGCTTACTATTTTGTCTAAGGCTAGATAAACTGAGCAAATCTTCACTGTAGTGCTATGCTGTGCATCAGCCTAAACCAAAATCACATGTTCACAAGTAAATGCCAGAATTGTAATTTTATGATGGCTATAGTTGTTTAAACCTTGGTCTTTCCTCAGATTTCCTAGAACAGCCCAGCATCGCCCATGGAGGCAAACAGTTATAGCATTGTATGAATGTGATGTTATGGAAAGGATGAATTGGATGGAAAGTAATGTAAACAAAGGGACAGCAAATCTTGTCTGACAATTTGAAGAAAACATCTTATGCACAAAGATGACATTTTATATGAATGCTAAATGCAAAATCTGGATAGTAACACTACTGTGACTCACTGAATCTGACTTGTCAAAGTCAAATGAGCAGTACAGATGGTCTTGTTGCAGTCCTCCTTGTAAGGCAACTGGAAGCAAACACAGATCAAGTCAGATTTTAACAGTCCTAATTTTTCTAAGGTAGCAGATTCAGAATATCTTTACATATACACATACATTCCCAGAAAACCAAAATTCCCATGACCTCAATTAAGAAGTTGGAAAGAAGAGATCCTCTAGTGATAAGTCAGTCCTAAATTGATGATGTTTTGTAATTCAACTCCCAGGAGAAGGTCTATTAGCAATAACACGGAAACTCTTCACTGGGGATAAGGTCTTGTTAAAGTAATGCCAGTTGTTTATCCCGGGATTGCCACAGGGCAGTAATACTAATTTCTTTTCCAGAGATGATTTATTTTTCTTGAATATGTTCATATGCCGTGCCAGCTTATAGGCACACTATTTTGTAGGGATGAGGTTACTTCCTCTAGCAATAGTTTTATTCACCAATAAAAATCTACTGTCTGTGGCTGATGTTTCTGGAGAAGTTCAATGATAATTAATAGTTAGATGCTGGGTGCATAAGTACTAAGTAATACTGACCAACATTCAAGAACCTCATAAATTATTCTTGGGAAATAAATGTACCATCAACATCATATTCTCTTAAGGGGGTACTGTGACTACAGTAATTAGTGTTCATTATTGATTACTGCCAAATACTGTCCTAACTTCTCTGTCCTATGCTTTATGGACAGCTAATTAAATATTGAATTGTGGTAAAGACTCCTATTTAGCAAAAAGCTGCCTCTTCACAGAGTTTTATGTTTGTTTGGGTTTGGTTTTGGTTGTTTTTTTGTTTGTTTGTTCGGTTGGTTGGTTGGTTGTTTTTTTTTTTTTCTTCCAGAAACTGTGGTTTGGATTTCAGACTAACTGAAAAAGATCTAGATTATCTTGTAGGAATCCTGCTTACTAAACTTCAAGGGAGGAGACAGGATATCAAATCTTTAAGTTTATAAGAAGTTTGTAGCCTCCCAAATAGTGATTTGAAACAAACTATAATAAACTAAAAAATATATACATTACTTTAATGATTGTTAAAATTACTTCATTAAAAATTTGTATAGTTGTTACTACCAAATACACTGCTCAGAAAATAAGTCTTAATATAATTTCCAGTGGAGAGCTCAATATCTGAAGACTATTTCACAAAACACACAAACCATCTGTCTTCTTCACAGGTATTATCTAATCTCATTTTATACAGAGGTACAGGAGAAATGTCGTGGATGAAAGTAAAGCAATTTTTTAACAGATCTGAGGGTAGACCTTAAAGATGAAATTCTCTTAAGATATGGGTATCTGTTTGGGGAAAACTTGGGCCTAAAGTCTACCTAGAAGACAGTATTGATAACTAGAAAGGGAGCAGAGGGTAGAAGACAATATGCAAAGTCTAAGAAACCCACACTTTTTATTTTTAATAGTAAAAGCTTTGCATCCTAGAAAGAGAAAGCTCTTCACTAGTGTTTTGTTACCTGAAAAAGCATTTCTGATGGCTGGTATCTATCCAGCACAGGAACAGCAAACTCCATGTTTTTATTTTTCTTATAGAGCTCATGTTTAACTCTCAGAAAAACACTGGAAAAACAGTCAAATTCACATGGCTACAAGAAAGGAAGAAGAAGTTGAGAAAACATCTAGGCATTAAAATGCAAAAGTCTTCACACACGTCATCTCTGTTTCAGCTTCCATCCTCTGGCTTATTTAGGGACCTTTTGGCTCAGATCTTTTCTTTAGGCCACTGCGCTTAATAGTCATCAGTGGACCATAAGTTTGTCAAATGTTTTTTTTTTTGATCATTTTATACATTTGGCTTCCATGACATCCCCTGGATAATGTGTTCGATGATTCAGTTATGCATTGTGAAAAAGAGTTTCCTTATGTTTGCGTAAAGCCTGTAGAGCTTTGTGCTCCTCCTACAATTCTAGGATTAGAAATACTTCACATACATACAAAAGGATAAGAGTTTGATTTATAGCAATACAAACCAAAATGGCACATGACTCATCTCCTGCCTCAGCTGTAAAATATACTCAGCAAGTCTAACACTGAGAGAACCCCACAGCACTGTAATAGTTTTGCATTTCATACAAGACTCATCATCATTCAGCTTCTGTTAAAAAATCCTTTCCTCTCATCCCTTCTTTCTGTAGTAAGTCTGACCAACATCACCTACCATCGTGTAAAGCTGCAGCTCAGAGCACATGTGCTTGCTGACCAACAGCTTTCCCCTTCTTGTGGTGCTCTGATCTTCAAACTGTACTCTTCTCTTTGCCATTTTCACATCTAAGTCCACTGTATAGAGAACATATAACTGTGCAAACACTGCAAGATTTTAAAAATCCTTTGTTAGATATACCAGAAATTGTCCTCAGTGGCAAGTTTCTGAGGACAGTGTAGGACTGTGGATTTCAATCTGGTCATAATTCCCATTTATTACCTTGTTGAGACACAGGTAAAGCTGATACTGTATCAAAACACAGTTTTGCTGTAACAATGCTGTTATTTTGGAAACCCGGGATTCCCTCAGGGTTGAATCTCATGCTGGTGAGAAAGTGGACAACTGGTCTTGAGCTAGTCAGTGAAGAACAGATAAGGAACAGACTCAAATATAAATTTCTGAACTGAAACATTACAGGAAAAATGTTTTAAGAAAGTTTGGCAGCAAGAATAAGAACTGCTCAGTATTTCCATGGTATTTCACCTGGGCCAGGCTGGCCTATTTACAGAAGTTCCAGTTTCTGCTGGGAATGTTCAGAACACACAAAATCCCAAGAGTCTGAAGGAACAGACAGCCAAAATACACCAATATGGCTAGAGTTTCAGAATTAAACACTGTGTTTATGTTTCCATTAGATAAACACATTATCTAGTGGTTCAAATTCTCTCTCTTTATCTACAATTTGTTTTCAAATACAAAATGCAAGAACAAAATCAAGTCTGTCTGCCATGTCTTAGCTTTTGTGAACTGCACGAGTCACTCAGCTACCAGATGCCTGCTTGAAAATGAGGTACAGTATGTAAAGAACTTAATTTCTGTCTAAATGACCTACGTTATCAGTGCTGAATTGCAGAAATTAAGGTCGTCTTAGACATAGATCTATGTTAACCAGTCCATGTTCACTACCTAATACTTGTTCAAAGCTTTGGACATACACAGGCAAAAGCCTTTGCTACGTGAACTAAGGGCTTTACTTTTTATCTAATTTCTAGCACTGGGAAAGATTATTTTATATCCCTCTGATGCTGAATTGAAAATAGAATCACTACATAGTGCTTGGAACACAGATTCTATATTTGTCTTTGAAGCATTTCCTCAGCACATTACAAAATAGCACGTATTACCCACCGGAGCACAATCACGTCCTCCAGTGATCCTACTGTAATATCTTGGAGACCATCATTAGTGAAATCAAAGCCACCATCAATGGATTGTCCAAAATACTTGAGTCCTGAAGAAATTTCAGAGGCTTTTACTCTCTAGAGGGGAGGGGAAAACATCAACAAATATGTCAGAATCTCTCTCCTTACTTTGGGAAAATATACTTCTTTTCACAAGGCTGGTGTGCAGATGATTTTGTAACACTCCTGAGGTGCAAAATACTGACTCTTCACTTCCTTGTAGTGGACAGGCAGGCTTGCAAAAGTCTATGCTGCTCTATAGGCAGCACCTGAACCCAGCCCCTTTGCCTAAGCAGACAGGTGCATACAGTTAAGGAGCAGTTCTGCTGCAGAAATAGGTGGAGTCACATAAACCATCTGACATCTGCAAATTTCTCACCCATCAATGTGAATGAAATGTGAAAGTCCTTCCTTCAGGCCTCTCACTACAAAACCACAAGCTTTTCCCTCTCAAGGTATACTGGAGCCAATTCCCAACAAGACACGTACTTGAGAAAAAGAGCTCTTGATTTTGTCTTTATCACCATTAAAGATGTAAATGCTGCCAAAAGAGGAACTGTTTGAAAGCCAGTCTTCAAGGGGGGCTCCAACTGCAATATCCTCATATCCATCCCCATTGATGTCTCCAATGCTGGCCACAGCAAACCCAAACCTTGCAAAAGGAGAGGTCACCTGCACATTCAAGTGTCCTTTCAAGGTAAATGAACCAGTCTGAAAAACATCCAAGAAGGAAATCCATTTATAGCAAATGTAGCATGAGTAGCTCTTACACAAAAAAAAAAAAAAAAAAAACAAAACAAAAAACCAACAAAAACACCAGAACAAAACCTTACTGCACACTTATAATGCTTAAAGGTGAACAATAAAGCCTTAAACAATATAATAAGTTCAAGATACCAGCTGACTCTCAGAACAAGAGCTTGGTCCTTCTGTATCAAGAGCATGAAGTGCCTCTGGACAGCCCTATGCAAGGGGACACACTGAAGCACTGTCTGCTCTTAAATCCACAGTGGATTGAGTTGATCCCCAGCTTGTTTCACCACAGAAACCATCCCATTTTCTCCACCCTATTACAGAAATAAGCCACAAGAGGGGGCACGTTATTTGAATTCTAACAGACATAGGACTATTGTTTTCTGCATCCAACCATCCTGTACATGCCCTGAGCAAATTTTAATAGTGCAAAGAGGGTTTTCTCTTGATCTGCTGTTAAAGTTCATGTCTTGTTCAAAATTATGCAATTAACTTATACCCTGTATATTGTGTAACGGATCCTGTAGGTAGGCCCACAAAACGTTTTGCTTTCTACAAGTCCTGGGAAGCAAAGTTTTAGCAGATACTCATACACATGTTTATTGCAGGCATTGTAAAGGACACTGCTTGGCAGAGCAAGGTCTGCACCAACCAATTGCCTACGTACAGGCAAAAGATGTGATTTTATCACATTGTGATAAGAGTATACCTTAGGTACAGAATAAATTGATATTTTTTATTTATTTATTTCTCTTTTATATTCTAATGACTAAGACAGGAGTGCTGGCTTCAGCCTGCAGTCCTCTACCATACAGGGAGAGCACATTGAGTGAGAGCACAAAGGAGGAATGTTTTATTTGTCACCGCTTAGGCATGGTTGGAAAATCCCCAACATGGAGTGTTTACGCTACCAGTGTTTTTACCTCTGTCTCCAGGCGATAGACGTAAACCCTTCCTTCTTCTCCTTGAATATGATAAAATGGAGCTCCAACAAGGAGAAGATCTGTCACCCCATCATGGTTCACATCAAGTGGGCAGAGCTCAGATCCAAAATAAGATCCAACCTGAGCTCCAGAAAAAGACAAACAGCTCTTTCACTGGAATTCTCTATATATAGCTTTGTAGAATTAGTGTCCTTTACAGCAGTAAGGCAATTTTTAGAACAAAACATCACATATCTACTTATATGTGGATCATTTCCTATTATTTATTTTATTACAGACATCCTCAGGGACAGATCCTGTAAGCAGTTTAGCAGTAACAAAATCATTATTCAATGATTTGACAGAGGAAAAAGAATACCACAGTTGATGACCTCCTTCCCCATGAACCATGAGAACAGAACATAAATATAGTACACCCCAGTTAGCTAACTTTTTTCCCAGTCTTTTTGCAAATTTCATGATTTCCTCTGACGTTCCCAAGGCATTATGGAGTGAACAAATACTGTATAATCCACATCTGGCCAAATCGGATGCTTGTGTAAGGGTGTGAGTGTGTCTGGAGGGGAAAATCCAACTGCTGATTGAGCAAACAAGATGTGTGCAGCCCACCCGGCCCCCAGTGACCTGACTGCCCCTGGGTGAGTGAAGCACATTACCTGTTCTCCTTGCAGGGTTTGTTTTAAGTAGCCATCCTGAAACACCAACACTTTCCCTCTCATGCTGTGCCGTGGAGCTCCAGCCACATACAAGGGTCCATACTCTGTGTGCACTACTGCCACACTGTACCCTGGTGCATTCACACAAGCAGCAAAAATAACACACATTATCAATACCATACTCTATGCATGAAGGAAAAAGTTTGGTCTGAGACATAGACCTACATATTCAATAATATCCAAGATTTCTAGTTGTTGTGGCCCATGGTTTTGATTACAGAGCATATCATATTGATTAAGAAATAGCATGTAACTTTTCTGAGAGAAAAGCCAGCAAACAGGTTTTCCTTTCTTATCACCTTGTAGGGTAATTGAATAAATTACTGCTCTGAAAAATATGCCTAAGCTCTTGATGACTTTTCTTAGCATTTGTCACAGTTCCTGAGTAATTATCCAACATATACAGTTTTTTCTTTTTATTATTATGTCTGCAAGGTGGAAGATTTATCACCCTCCACAGAAGTGAAGAAAGCACTATACTCTGAATAGAAAGCAAAAAGAGATCTCTTCTGGGGCTTCTGTAACAGGGAGGTAATGGGAAAAGGATTATCCTGACACAAACAGCCCACGGAACTTCATATTACCTTGTAAGACTTTATGGCCAAGGCTACAGTTGGGAGGTACAGGGCTCATGAGGCTACAAAGCACTGGGGTGAATAAGCAAGGCTTTATTTCTTACCAAACCAAGAACAGTATTGATTCACAAGCTCTTTCTTGTTTAGACACTCACAAGTGATATATTTCTCCTTATCAGCTCTCAAAAATGCCCTTCATTGCAAGTATTCTTACACAGTGAAACCAAATGGCATGTGTTAACAGAATAATACCACAAGGCATCATACATAACTCATAGGAGAAAATGAGTCGTATCTTCCCCCAAACAAGGAGACAGAGAGTGTTTTCATCAGAATCTCTCTCCCTGATAGAGAAAATATTCAAAATCCAGTGAGATGCTGCAGGAGATGGCCTTCTTCAGGTAAATGCTATCAGTGTCATCATACTACACTAAACACAAACTAAGCAAAACCACAGTCACGTTGTCATTTGATCCCAGAGAGGGGTAAGCTGATTACCTAGGTAACTGTATTTTGCTTTTTTGGCTGCTTCTTTAGATTCATTCAGAAAAACAGCAGTCTTGGTTGCCAGATCATACAGCAGAATTCCACCAGACCAGTCAAAGGCTCCCACTGCACCAAACATTAAGACTTGCTGCAGAAGTAACATACAACAAATTAGAAGAGATGAACACAAGGCAATTGCCTCTAGCACTCTGCAGAGGAGTTTAGCAAGGAGCAATGTTTTCTGGCTTATAAATCCTGCCCTCTTTCCTTGACCCTGTAGCTTGATCAGTTCTGCTAGCTCCTGCCAGATATTGAAGACACACGAGGTAACTGCCCAGCATCAGAGAAGCAGCTGCACATCTCCCAGCTCACTAAGTGATTTTTGCAAAATTGGATCAGTGTTGTCCTTGCAGCCAAGGCTGCTGAATGCTCATCAGCCTCCTCGGCATCCACTACTTCCCCTTCCTGACAAGGACAGAGATCATTCTTGTCCTCAATGGATCAAGGTTTTAAGCCAGAGGATTTCAAAAGAGCAGAATTATTTTATTTGCACCATGATGGAGCCCCTGACTTTTGCATTGGAGATGTGAATACCAGAAAAATCAAAGCAGTCAACTGGAGATAGCTCTTTTGCCCAATATATATTTTGTGCAGGAATAAAAAGGATCCAGTGGTTAGAACAGGGGTCACATGAGATAAATCCCATCCTAAAATAAAATCCACTACTGACTCTCTCTATAAAAGTGATACTTTTGCTTATCTGACACATTCAGATCAAGAAGTGGCTTGCAAAGCAGATTTGACTACGTGGGTCTCACACTTATGTGTCATAGTAATTTCTTGTGGAAGACCTCCTGAAATCCTTACAAGTATCGAAGCAGCAGCATAGCATACAACCGTTAAGCAGGATTAAATGAAGAACACTTACCTTATCCAAGATCTGCACATTGAAACCAGCCTGTGCAAGCTCATATTCCAGAGCATCACCCTGCATACCTGAGGATGCAATAGAAACAGGGTAAGCTATTTTCTCCTTATTTCTCAAAAGGTACTAATGAAATAGAAAGGTTGGTACTTACCTTCTATACCAATAATATTCTGCTGCAGGGTTGAAAGCAGCCCATCTAATGCTGAATAATTGGTCACATGAAATACATGACTGTCACCTGGACCAGATGCAATTAACTTCAATTCACTTAGGGCCTTTGGTTTTTTGAAGGCATCTCCCACCTGCAAAAAATATACAAATCAATCAAAAGTAGCAGCCTCTAGAGTCTCCTTATCCCCACCTATTTCATTCAACAGTTTGTGGTAAAAGCCTTAGATTCAGCTACTATGTATAAACCCATAAATAGCAATTGTTTTGGAAGCCAATGAACTGAACAGTCCCAGTGTCTTCCAGGGACTTTACAAAACCTCTTCATGTATCTGGATGGTGGTATTTGGTGTATGTACCTTTGTTGTACCCAACAATTAATTTTGGAAATCAACAAGTTACAAGACATCATAAAATTGAATGTTTTCCTGTCTTGAAAGAATGAAAAGAGATAGCAGAAAGATTATCTGAGGAAACATATAGCGTATCTGAAACTAAACTTCAGGCTTCAGGACAAAGTCTTGTTGACAAACACACAGGCTAATTTGCTGGCCAAGTTAAGAATATATCAGAAGTTTTGTTCTGAAAAACTTAAAATTTTAAGCAAGCACTTCATCTAGAAGGTAGCTTTAAATTCTTGGCCTAGTTCTGAGTCAGGAGGACTGTGATCGAAAACAAGCAATGAGCAACGACCCTTCCGTTCTGCTATTTTGTCCTTGGGTGGGTAGGTCAGAAAACCCTTTACTTTTTATTTATCACTTTGACATTTTCCAGAATAACCTGGATAAGGAAACATAAATCACACTTTGTGGAGCTAGACTTGACTAAGGTTAAATACTTTGCTAGATTCAGTCATTCTAGAAAGATTTTTCTAAACTTTGTACAAGGAAGAACAAGATGGTCTGATCTACTGAAAGCATTAATCTTCTGAAAAGTTTGAGAGTAAGTAGATACAGGGAGCTGAACATAGTAGGTGTAGGAAGGAACAAACATGGGCATATAATTGACACAAATAGATTATAGTATCAGTCCATACCATAGCTTTATCTTTCACCTCCTTATTTTATACATGCCTCTTCTCTTATTTACTGGAACCATGAATGGATCAGTTTCTCCTTTTCCCTGGCCCTAGTGCTACCAAGAAATGGAAGGAAGACATGATCCAAGTGCATTCCCAACTTACCCCAATGGCATAGCGCTCGATTCCTGACATTTTGGGTGAGTTTATCACTGTTGTCAAGTTCATTTCATCCAGGAGTATCTCCCCATCTGTAAGCACAATCATGACCTTGGCTGCATCCTTGCGGGACCCGTGACTTTCAGTGAAGATAGAATCTCTGGTAAAACATCAAAACAATGAACTTGGGGTGAAAGTTGGAGCTTCCCTTCTTGGGACAGAAGGAAGAGTCTTGTTGAATTATGCACTTGCAACTTACAGTCAACAGCAAGTAGGCAAGAGAACTGCTTTTATATTTACACATCTTAAAAATACCCGGTGCCATCTCCCTTTCTTTTTCTTCTTGAGTGCCCCCACACCAAGAATTAGGCACTGACAGCTGGCTTTTATAACCCTCTAAAACATGGCACAGGAACTGCTGCCTGCCCTTCAACCACTACCAGATAAATTACTGTTTTCAGGACCTGAATGTCCATAGAAATCCCTCTCCATTGCTCATGAAATGCCCCAGAAATTCATCCCCTTCATTTCCTGTGCTCTTTTTTTGTTACTTACAGGACATGCTGCATGGCAGATGCTGTTTTTGTCACATTGCACACCTGCACAATATCAAGTACTTTCTGTAGGGTGGCATGAGGATCCCAGTTTTCTCGCAGGTCGAATTCAGTTCTGATTTCAAAACCATACTGTACCACTGCAAAATTGCACTGGAAGGAAGCAGCAGATAAGCACCTGCTTGTGACAACTGTTGATTCAGAGAAAGAGGGTTCTCTGCAACAACTAGCCCAGAAATCCAAGCAGAATCATTAGTGAAACTATGTAGAAAGGGTTTTTTTCAGGAGAAAGTGGCTTTTATATATGTCTAGTGCAAACACAGAGATTATTGTAGGTATATTATAGCTGAGGAAAACAAAAGCGCTATCCGTACAGAGAGAAAAATTGTTTTGAGAAACACTGATTGTTTTTAAGTTTTTGCATTTTCTTGTTGTGTACAGCTGATGTGCTGGTTGCAAAGGGGATTATCTGTGATATTACTGAATTGTTCTTTCATTGCTCCCTGCTGTACATTGTCTTTCCTTGGAGTACTCCCATTCCATGATGATCTGATTATCAGAGACAGTCTGGAGAATGGGAACACTTCTTCATTTTGTATTTGCACAACACAACGTAATGTTTCTTCCTTCCACTGTGCAAATAATAAGTTAAAATATGCTGACACTTGGAGTATTTGAGAAGTAAAGACTTTTCTAAAGTCGGTGTGTAGATCACACTTCTCAGCCCCAGTGGAGAAAGCAGTAGAATACCTTCATGCAGAATGTGTGACTGGAGCTAACAAGGCTGATAAGGTGCATGATTGAAGAGGTGGCCTAATTGATGTTTCTGTGATTGCAGGTGCAATATAGGAATAGAGACAGGAAACCAGAAGAAAGTCATGACTGTCACCTTACAAGAAAGCAGAGATGGTGCTCGCTGGGCTCCAAGCATGGCAGCATAGCAGAGCTAGGGATTTCTGAGCATCCAAATCAGACTTTTTCTATCTACAGTGTTCTTGGGATCAAGACTGGGAATGTACTGCTAAGATGTAAGAAAAATTATGTTGAGAATACATGCAAGTTGTGGAAGTGCTTTTCCATCCTAATGGAAACAAACCTGCATAGTCCCAAATTCTGGTGAAGAGTCAGCTTAAATAAAGCACAGCACATTCTTTAGCCTTCTAAAGAAAGAGAGTAGAGAGTACCTCAAAGCACTTCTCATACAGTGTTTTCATCATCTTGTGAATGAACGCTTTTGCTCTTTCAAAATCCTCTGGCTCAATGCTCCCTGATCCATCCAGAATAAAAGCAATCTCTGTTCCAGAAGCTGCCCAGGATATGGAAAGTAAAGTAAGTGAGGAGAAGGCAATGAGCAGTCTTGGTCACGTTCTTTATGCAACGTTATTGATCAATGCACAAGTAATCTCACTCAAGCAACTGAACTGCACCAAGACTGCTCAGCTGTCATTTCAGCATGAGCTACAGCTCAGGTCTGGCAGCTCATAGGACAGCAACTCCCCAGACTTTGTCAGTCCATGGCATGATTCTGTTAAAAGATACTTCACCACATACGCAACCCATTTTCCTCCTCCTCCTCCTCCTCTTTGTCCTCCTCCATCCAGGAAGGGAGCTTGCTGTCACCACTGTCATTAATGTTTCTGTGCTCTGGTGCTTCAGTTGGAATATTTTCAGCTGAAACAGGAAATGAGTTTGAGCAAAGATGTCAGGGCAGTGGGAGAGAAAGCAAAAAGTGAACTAAACCCTTGCATTATTGCCTACAGAGTGTTCTGCGCCTTGCTGCTTGACAGCTGAACTCTTCCTTGTCCCTGCAGTCAATAGTGCTTTCAGGCACAAGACTGCAGGTGCTATGGAAATACTTGTGAGTTTAGGCTGTGGGGATCAGGACTGCATCTTAAAACTACAGCTACTGTTCAACAGAAATAACCTGCTGTGAGCACACCCAGAAGTGTAAGTATTGTAACAGAAATGCTGAACACATGGTGAATTTGTGTATTGTAAAGCACCTGTTGCCATATTGATGTTACAGCTGCGGGTCACTGATACTGAATACGATCTCTTGCTGGCCCCGGGTGGCTGAGGAGCACTGTTATTAGTGCAACAGAAACCACTTTTATTTGTTTTGCTGTTGCTGGGCAAGGGATTACAAGAACAGGTACAATCTGGAGACATATTTACATTCCTTAATCAATGAAACTACCCATCATCACAGATCCACTCTAAGTTACAGAGGAGATAGGTGTGTCAGGAGTGGTATTTCTTCTACCTGAATCACTCAGAGTCTCTCTCTCCAACTCCGAAAGGAAACTGTCAAAATCTTCATATGTGGACAGCACGAACCAGTCACCTCTAACTTTCTGCAGCTCTTCTGAGACCCACTGGTTGCTTATGAACTCTCCAATCTAGGCAGAAAAACCATCAGACAGGGAGATTGAACACGTTTCATACACAGACCAAAACACCAATAAATTCCCACACTGCCATTAAAAACTTGAAAGCTCTGAAAAGGGAGAGAATTTTCTGAAAGCCTGGTGAGGCAACCCTGGTGCTAGATTCCATAGAAAACCCTTATCTGCAAAATAAAAAATGTAATAAAAGCTCTAGAGCCACAAGACATATAGAAATTCAGCATCTTTGTTTCTAGGATATATTCCTTTACCACCTTCAAAATAAGCTCTCTGGCATCAAGAAGATGGAGGCCTGAGTGAATCAAAGGAGCCAGGGCATCTCAGACTGGACATCCTGCAAGTCCAATGCATGACTACTTTTTCTTCTGCTCACTGCTAAAGCATATGAGCAGACACATGGGATGAATAGAAACATCATGCCCCTATATATGTGCTTTGATGATGTACTTTGATGGTGCTTCCCACTCACCCCAGGAACATAGAGTTTGACCATAGCCATTTCCAGGGACTTCATCACATTTCTCAATCTATGGTTTTCCAGAAACACTTGCCCAGATGCCATGACAATGATTATTTTGTTATCAGTCTGGCTGGAGTCATTGCTTTCAAAGACTTTATCCCTGTGGAAACAGAAGCGTAGAGGTATTTAATAGGTCAAGCCATGTCTGCAGAGCTAGAGATGTCAGTGTTGGTGGCAGGGTGCTGACGTTCATTGAGCTCTCAGCCCACAAGAGTCTGGATGTGCAAGGCAAATGGGCACAGGTACGGGGCATTTTTACAGTGTGGGTCAGTACTGTTAGAGTCATGCTACTGAGAAGAAAATGGAGTCAAGAGGGAAAGCATGACTGTCAGAGATGCAGCAGATCAGTGAAAAAGATGGGAAAGGCTTTGGATCTACAAATGAACGCATGCTTAAAGAACGATCCAAGTGACAGAATTTTCATTCTGAAGCCCCGTGTCAGCCAGGAAAGATTTCACACTTGGCCTCTTGGCAATTTCTCCTTGTAGACCTGATGGTCCCCAAGACAGACTCATTCACAGGCCTCAGCTGGCAGAGCCTGTCACTAAGAGAAGCATGAGAAAAGTGAGGGCTTTGAGAGCGTGAGATAAAGGACAGTAGAGAGAAGGAGCAGGAGGCTGGAGTGATGCACATGGAACCCAAGGAATCACTTGAGTGTTCCCAGAGCTTCTTGAGACACGTGAACTCACAACATGTGCTGCAGTGTGGCTGCAATGTCAGTCTGTGAGCTCTGCTGCTTGATGTTTCGAACTTTGAAGAAAGCAGTTAGTCTGTTGCAGCTTTCTTGCAGGCTCAGTTCAGTTTGGATCTGTGCTCCATACTGCACCACAGCAAACCTGATCTGGAGAGAGCAGATGGCAAAGCCAGAGCTGGCTAGACAAGATCTAAGGCAGGATCCCGAAGTCCCTCAGAGTGCCAGGTTTAGTCCCAAACTTTACTGCACAAACACAGAAAACTATATTGCAAGTAAGAGGTATATCAAATTGTCTTTATCCCTCTGTCTCCAGCAACACATTTGTATTCTGGTGATCCCTTTTGGATCAGCTCCAGGAACTGACTTAATTTCTTTTGGCTCAAGACAACCATTTTTGTCTGAAGTTCCTGTATTTATCTATCTGGCTAGACCTTTTGTGACCACATGGCTCAGCTTCACTTTGTCCCCAGATTTATTTAAATCATTTAAAGTAATGGCTTATAAGCCCCATTCCTTTTTTTCTTTTTTTTTTTCTTTTTTTTTTTTTTTTTTTGTGTGTGTGTGTACTGTTTCAAGGTGCCCTGAGAGATTTGCCTGATAAAATATCTAGGCATGTTTCCAGCATGAAAACCCACTCTTAGCTCTTCTACTTCCCTCTTCAGCTACTCCTCCTCAGCTCACTAACATTTAACTCTTGCATTAAAATATGTTGAATCATTACCAGCATCACTCCGAAGTTTAAAAAGCAATAATTATGTGAACCAGTAGACTTCATTCTTCATTAGAGCTCTGATCCATCCTGCCTATCAGATTATGAAACTCTAAGGAGGCTCACACACCTTCGAGCATTTCTGCCACATTGACTTCATCATATTGAGGATAGAAGTCTTCGCATTTTGGAAATCATCTGACGTGGTGTTTTCTGATCCACCGAGAATGACAGCAATTTCTGTTCCCAGTTCTGTCAATGCAGTTAAATATAAAAGGACGTGTGAAGGGATACCTAAACAACCTAACATTTATCAAGGGTTCAGAAACATTGACACATTATTAACCAGCTAAAAATTTGACTACAGCACCATCCAGCCATTCTGAAAGCAGGTCTAGCTGAGGATGTGGTCTATGTTGTAGTGACTGGTTTTATTTTTTAAAAATCTCAGTTAATGATCACTGTAGCAATGATTAAAATTTACCATTACAAATAACCTTCAAAACCTCAACTATTTCCCTCCCCAGCTCTCTCTCACCAGATGAATGCAAGCTGACTCAAACTCAGCTAATACAGAAGTATGTAATGCTTGTTCCTGTCCAGTACTTACCTTTGCACATGCGGTTGTTTCCTGCACTGCTGAAGAGCTCACCACAAGCACTGCTGGTGTCTGTGCTGATAGAGCTGCTGGTGTCAGTAATCACGGCTTTGTTGTTTTTACTTTGAATGCCATTTAATTTGGTCTCAACTAAAGATTTTAAAAAGCAAGAAAAAAATTACACTCTACCTTTTGAAAATACTCTTCTAATTAACATACCTTAAACTCAGGATCTAGTTCTACCTAGGTTCCCAAATTTGCAGATGACCTGAGATTCAGACTGTTAATAGCAATTAGACAACTGAAGGTGGAATGAGACCATCTAGGTGTCTAATTTAAACCAGTCAGCTTCTTTACAGTGACAGCAAGAAGCAGAGCGAGGGTAGACAATCAGACCAGCTCTCTGCTCCCTTGATTAAATGCCCAAAGGCACAATTAAGTTGGAAGGAACAGCCTTAAGTGCCCAGACACTTTTAAAAATCCCAGTGGATGTTTGTCACATCCATCCACTAAGAATGTCGACACTTTTCTAAATTCTGGCTTAAGAGCTGAATCTTTTGGAGGCATAGGACACCACAGCAGAAAATTCCTGCTGCTCTGTGCTAATCTTCAAGGCTGAACATTGTAACCCTGTTGAAGTCAATATAATACATGTTAAAATTCAGCTCTATGTCTCTCCCAGTAGACAATAGACCTTGCTGGTTAGGAACTGAGAAGGCTCCTGCTGTTAGGGCAGAGCCTCGTGCTGTTATTTCCATTCCTCTGCAAAGACACAGTACTGGCTTTGTTCCTATACCCATCTTGGTGAGGTTGAGGAACGCTGTGCTGCGCAAGTCGGCGGTGAGCAGAGTACAGACTCCATTCATGTCCTCAGTAGAGGTGAAGGCTCGGCGGCGCTTCTTCTGCAGGCAAGCCTGTGAGGGCAGCGGGAGAGGTTAAGGAATGATGAGCAAAGCCATAGGCAGAGGAGGACTGAAAATGCCATCTGGCAAACATTCAGCACCCCCTGCACAGCACAAAACCCAGCAAGAGTAAAAAAGCACCTTCCCTGACGTGACCTCTGCTGCATCAGGTTACCCAGGACTCCAGCCCTGAGCTCAGGCAGAATGGGGCTGGGGGACCAACCAGACTGAGCCTCCAAATCGGTGGCTCTCCTAAAGCCTCCTCTGCCAATCTCCTTTCTCCTATGCGCGGGGGTGGCTGCAGGGAAGTACGAGGTCCATTGCAGTCCTCAGCCGATGAGAAGGGCCCTTCTCAGTTTTCTGTCCTGGCTGGAAATGCACCAGCTGGCTTTCCAACCAGCCACACTCCAGCCAAGAGATTTTAGCCTTTGTCCTTCTGTTATGTCTGCTCATTTGCATTTCCCAGCAAAAACACACAGCATTTTGGAAAAATACAGTCGTTTCTAGCCATGGATATTTTCAGTTCCTTACCAGGATCCAATCTGAATTCCTGTCAACAGATATGCCACCATCCTGGACGTTTTTGGACCCTTTAATATTTCCTGAAATTGAATAATTGAATGAAGAACAGAATTGAAATGGATACGGTACTTGTCAGCCTTGGGCAAATACAGAAAAAGGCTACAACTACTGAGGTCAACTATATCTGCTCTCCTAGAAGGAGGACTCAGAGTTAATGTTATCAGCAACTGTAGCAGTACTGAATATGGTGGAAACAAAACACTGTCTTGTATTTCAAGGGAACTTAGGTGAAGACTTAAGCTGTGGCAGAAGAGGCCTTGCAGCCTCCAGACACATCACTCCCAACCACTGGGACTATGTGTTTGCTTTTCTCTCTGTGAAGTGCTGGTCTATGGGACATAGCAGTGTGCCCAGCTGTGTCTGAAACACCCAGACTCTGCACCCCCCCATGCCCATGGCAAAATAAGAATTGGGAAGGGGAAGCGGGACTGTACCTCGCAGAGGTATCTCCTGGCACTGGATCTCCTCCTGCAAAACAGTGCACTTCCTCAGCCTGCCCAGCCCCTTGTCTACTGAGGAAGTAGCCAAAATCCTGTGGAATGAGACAAAAGGTGGAAAAGAGGGAAGGTAGCACAATCAGGCGGAGTCCTTTGGCAGCGCAGTGCAAAATAATCATCTATGTGCCAGGGTGGCCACCCATTATTCTGACAATGTCTCTTAATTAACTGGACACCAGTGTGGTTTTGAGCTGAATCAGCCACTAAGAGGAAAACACTTGTTTTCTCCTACAAATCATCATCCTTCCCATTATCGGAACCATGAATTCAGGAGAGGTATTCCAGACCAAGGAAGAGCTCTGAAGTGACTTGCCCATAAAACACTGGAGATAAAGGGAGGCTGGAGTTGCAGCAAGCAAGTCCAACCACCATACTAGGAAATGGCTGCACTGATGTATGAAACAGAGACTGTTCTTTGAGTCAGCCAATTTCTGTTCAGGGAGTAGAAAAGTTTCTTTACTCTGAAACTTAAAATACACTGCCTGCTATACAGCCTGAGCAATCTGCTCAGTGTAATATAGGTTATCTCTATAGCAACCACTTGTGGTTGGCTTCTATTCACCAGCCTAGATATGCACTTCTCTTCCTCTACAAACCCAATAGTCAAAATACAGCAGTTTCCAGCTCTTTATGTTCTTCAGACCAAGCTCACAACGGAACTCTTGACAACTGGTGGGTGCCATGACTGCTGCAGCCCTAGAAATGATGCGGTATGCCAGGAAGTACTGCAAAACCCCAGCTGCTTGTTTCTGCCCTTTAGTTAAATGAGCAGACATCCTTCCTGTACATTACCATGACATAGCCGGGGGTGAGGGGAGAAGCACCGCAAAGACTCACAGGCTGACAACATACACCTCACACTGATGAAGCTCTAACACCCCTCATCAGCCCCTGAGAACTAAGGAGCAGTTCTGGGTCCCAGGCAGACAAACCTGTGCTAACAGTTGTAGAAAGGGAGAAGCTACATGACCTCAGGCCACATGCATTCATAAAGACCTGGGAAGTCTGGGTATGTTTTTCTTTCTTCTATTCCTTACATGGTTGTATTCTTATCCGAGTGCTGAAGAACCGTGGGCCACAGCAAAGAGTCTGTGTGTGGTGTGATCCATGTCTTGCCAGTGTCAACATTAAAGCTCCACAAGGACTTGACCACTGAAAACAAATAAATAAATGAGCGCAGACTGTGACCTATAGAGTCATAGTTAACAGGCTCTTGATCCATTTATCCCTGAACCCTGCCCACCACGACAGCAGAGACACTTGGGAGGGAGATACCAAGTTGCAGAGATTTCACTGATTTAGATTAACGAAGGATTTTCTTATCCAGCCTAATGAAAAATAAAGTAAAACAAGTCCTGTTGTTCTATTATGAAAGTTCATTTTGGGTATCACAAACCATTCCTGCTAGCTGAAGCTCACAAGACTGTGTTTAGGCAGGAGAGGAAACAAAACTCCAGGGCTTGTGCATGTGGCATGCCACTTCAGGGTGGCACCAGTGGATTCACTTCTTGTAAAGTTGATATTCAGCAGACCAGGACACTGAAACCCATTAGATTAAATAATAGGCAGTTTGGGTAGCAGCGGGATTGTTCCCCACAAGAATAGCATTGTCATAAACCTGGTAAGAAGAGAACATAGATTTTGTGGGATGTTAACAAAAAGCTCAAAGCTTGGCAGCAAGACAGTAAATTGGTGCCAAATTTGATGGATAATCTGCTGAAGATGCAGCTCTGCTAAAAGTCCAATAACTTCCAAAAATAGATATAAATGAATCATAAAAAAAAAAAATAAATAATTCTACCCATTATTCACAGAGCTGTAACTGAATTGGCATCCTAAAGGTAACTTCTTTTTTGCATGAATGAACTTCCTTCTTGCAAGGCAGCCCACAAAAAGAGGCTGATACTGGTGGTTTAGCTGTAAGACTGTGGCAAGCTAACTCTCATTGCTGTTCACACCTCAGTTCTTGATTTCTGTAAGTGTGTTAACACTTCAGTAAATGCATAGGCTGAGGAGTTAAATATACTTGAATTTAAGTGACAGACTGAAAATATCACAAAATAGGATGCATGAAAGGCAAACTACTACAATAAATGCTGTAAATTCAAGCACTGAGCTGTACTGTATTACTGAACCTCTGTCAATTACACAACTTTGAAAACTTCACACTAACCTCAGGAACAAGCCCAAGTAACTCCAGTCACAAGCTCTGTCCCTGTTTGAAACTAGAACAAAAGACAAGTACAAAATCTGAATTTTATAAATTACTCCAGCCAAAATTCCTTGCTCTGAATGCCCAGACTTCAATTCTAGAAGCTACAGGTTGAGCCTGTATTTAAACACGCAGTCTAGCATTTTTAACATAACCTCTGATGTACTAACAAGGTCAAAATCTGTCCTCGTGTCCATGTAGAGTCTTTCCTGATAATAATTTTACTCAGAACTGAATCTGATTTTATGCAATCAATTCCATGGCAATTCCCAGCCTGGCTGTGAAAGCACAGGTGAAAAGTAAAACACTGCAACTGGAGCAATGGCACTAAATGTACAAATAGTTTGAATTTTTAGTCTTTGCTTCTGCTTCCTGAAGTGTCCCATTCTTCAGGCACACAGCACACATCTCTTTCAGAGCATAGGCAGACTGTCCTGAACTACTGCCTTGCTTTGCAAATCCCACTTACCCATTTAAACACCTAAATTAACTCAGAGATGCTCCCAGGCATCTGTGTATGTTTCCATTGTAAGAGCATCAGCCTAACAATACCACACATTGACAAAGGCTTCCAACAAACTTGCTTTAAAACAAAGCCAGAATTCCTGATATGCTGAAACAAGCTCTCTGGAAAGTTCAACTGTCTTTGAAGGGACAATTCACAAGCAGGCAATAAGAAGGAAGAATGATGTCCAGGGAGCTAACCTCGCTCCAGTTCCTTGGGAATGAATATTCCCATGCAAGCCAATGCTTGTATAGCATTTGGCCTGGGAACCAGAGGCTCCTCAACTCTGCACTTAGTTCTGCTGCTGCCATCCTACAAAGCTGAGTTACTTGAACTTTTTGCTCCTGACTCCCTGCTCACAGGGATTTCCAACACAGATGAATCAGGGGGTTTTAGCACTTTAGTTATTGAAATTAAGTTCACCGTACTTAAACTGAGAAAAAATTTAAAAAAGGTGTTGCCAATTAGCCTACTATACAGACAAATTAGCTGTAGAGTTTTAGACACTCATCACAGATCTGTTAGATTCATTGTAAGAACATAACTGAGACCCGCCAGGTCAGACAACTACATTTTTCTGCACTGCCATTTTCATCAGTGAAAGCCACAAATGCAAAAAAAGGTTGACAGAGAAGAGTGATAGAAAAGCTCTAGAGAAGCACACAAAGATAGAAGCCTCCACCCATGATACCACCTTAATTTTGCATAAGTCAAACCAAGAAACATCAAGATTTGAAAAACATCAGTAACTTCTGTAGTCACATCCATTAAGAATTTATGTGTTTACAAAGCTGGGAATTACTTAGCATAATGACAAACATGAGAACAAAGATATTAGCAGAAATATTACATCATCATACAACATGTAGAAGTCAAACTCTAATGAAAAGAGCATAAATCTTGATGTTAAATCTGAAATCACAGCAAAGCAAGCTATAGACAACTTTGATGGGCATCTCATTAAAAGATTAAAATGAATAACAATTTTTTTCCCGAAGACACTGGAAGCATAAAACTTGTCAGGAATTCCATGAGGATGATCAGGGCATGAAATGAATACTTAAAGAATTGTATTCTTTCCATACAGATGGAGCAGGTATATACAATATTGAGTCTTTTGAAAAGGGAACCAGAAAAACGAAAATTCTATCACATACAATCAAATTAGCATTTATTTGTGGACCACACTGGAAGAGGGGCCAGTAACTTCCCCAGTGCAAATGTCCAGTGCTTGAACAAATGGAGTGGCAGTGTAAGGGTGTTACCCCTTCTGGGACAAGCAGCTAAAGACTAATTTATGGCAGAATTGTCCCCACAAGGCTACAGGACACCGTGACGTGGATACAGACTCAGACTGATGAAGCATTCCTTCTAATTCATACCTATGCTTTACTTTATACAAACTTACTCCCAAATAAAGGTCTTCTGAATTATCCTTTAAAAAATCCTACATGTCCTAGAGCTCTTGTTAAGGAAATCAATAAGCCAAAAACTTGCAGGAAATACATCTCTGAAAGCACATACTGCTTAATCCAGAGTGTATCTAAAGTGACATTAGAAAGGGAAGAACAAAAAAAATCTCACCTACATTCTACTCTTACCTACTTAACTATGAGTGAACAGACAAACAAATAAAAAAATATAAAAGGCCAAACGTAGCTTGTTAGATTTGTATTTGAGAGTATAATTTCACCCAACAGCCACTTTCCTCCCCTTAAGGATGAATTATAAAATTCTCTCCACCCAAATGTATGACTTTATCTGAAGTAACAGAAATACACATTGCAAACTAAGGACTTTCCACACAAGTCCAAACACCCTGAACTTTCTAGATAAGAATCATTTTATTGGCTCACATTAAGGGACCAGTCTGAGTGTCCAGAAATTACTGTTTCCAAACTACTGTTTCGAAAACTTTTCCAACATAGTTAAAATAAATATAGAGATAAGACTCACTCATTAGGAAGAGTAGGTACAGGTGCAATCTCATTGTGCTCAACTTTAAGGTGAAGGAAGGAAGGACGGCTGGAAATACCAGGCAAAAGCTGCTCTCTCCCTCTGATGATTCTCCAGATCTGCACGTCTCATTGTGCTTGCTGAGACAAAGTGACTCTATTGTGGATTTCCTAACTGAGGTTTCAAGGCGTATGCTAGTGACATTTTAATAAAACTGCAGATGCAAAGACCTACTAAAAGATAAACTTATGTTACTGAAATGTAATTTTTAGTAGTGTCTCCATTTCTGTCCATCAACACCTTTAGTATACCTGGAACAACAGGATCTGTCTGGAAAAGGGTCTATGTTTGTACTGTCCACCTTGTCCTTTGGTGCTTGCTCTGTGGACATGCTACATCACATTGAAATGTGCAAACAGATTGACTCGAGTGAACTCACAGCAGGGATTTAAGAGAGATGTCAGCTCTCAGATATCACTCAATAGTAATTTTTTATTGCAAAAGCTTTCCCCTCACACACACACAGAGCACTTGGTGTTCCCCTTTTATTTTGTATATTATTGGTGTCAGAAACATTGACATTTTATGACAGCATGCCCAGGGTATGTTAAGGGATTTTGCGTGTCTCTTTTCCCCTCTACCAAGAATTTTTGGTTTCTATTGATCCCTTTTTTCTCTGTACTGTTGACCCTAGTCTGGACAAGGCTAGCACATAATTACTCTCAAATAGTTCATACTATTAGAGTACTGTGTAGCAAGTATTATTTGGATTCAGTATGTTATTACAAGTGCTAAATGAGCTGAAATAGCAAGTGCTGAGCAATGATGAGTTAACTGCATAGCAAATCATTCTGGAAGGGGAAGGGAGAGAAAGCCATTCCAGAGACACAGTTCTCTTCAGCCAGTAAGAGTAAATTTTCCAAACGTTCTCAGAAAAAGAGTGCAACAAATCATACACTTTCTAGCTACCTCTAACTCTCTACCTGTAAGGATTTTCCGTGTTTAACATTTGAAACCATCCTCGCAGTCCAAAAATGCTGTAGCACTCCACATATCGTGAATCTGAACTGAAACAAAGATTACGTCAAAAGAGGAAGTGAAGAAAACAGTTTGCACTCAGATTTTAGTAATGGTTAGGTGCCAGCCCTGAGGCAGCTGCAGTGATGCCTCTGAGGCTTTGCTTGGTCCTGTCTGGCCTCACTTTTATTCATGCTGCTGAAGCAGATATGAGGTTGCAAAGAGGAACAGTTTTCTTTTAATTTTTTTTTTCCAATTTTATTTTTGTTTTAGCCAAAGAGCAACAAAATAGCTTTCTTCAATACAGCAAAGAACAAATCTGATAGCTAACCCCAGGAAGAGTCCAGTTGAGAAATCTGCCAGCTGCATCACTTCAGAAATAGCTCTTTGCAGCTTATGTAGACTTACATAAAGCATCTGTTTTTTGTCTGAGCCCTTCTGCTTGTCACATTTCAAAGACTCCTTTTGCTAACTACAGAGGCAATGGAAAGTATGCTCAGTTCCAAGTGGGGTCACAAAGATGAAGAGAGAGGGAATCAACCAAGACACAGATACAACTTCCCATGCTGGCTTCAGAGCACGATTTGAAAAAAACAGGGGAAAAAAACAACAAAGTCAAATGTGCAAAGCATCTGAGGAACAAATCAGTCTTGCTTCTACCTATACCCCAGAGAAAAATGGCCTTATGGGGAATTGGGAACCATACAAACCAGACAAGCAGCAAGATAGATCACTGTGCAGTGGGAAACACTTGGAGCCTAGTAGAGAGGCCACAGGGAGAAATATCCAGGCCAAGTGTGCTCAAGTACAGGAGGAAGACGACTTTGGAAGCAAGGTCTGCATTCATCTCATTCATCTCCCAACCCTTCCAGAAGCCAAGCAGTTTGATCAAATCACACAGGGAAGGGTTTGAGCATCCATAACCCTGCATGGAAAGTAACAGAGCTGCTGGTGTCTTTTCTTCATGGCATTGCTGAGCCTTCAGTCTCCATGGCTCATACATACAGAGTAGACAGAGGAGAAAAACTGCAGCTATTCACTCACTGACATTTGTGAAAGATTTCTGTTTTCTCATGAGAACCCTGCAAAGCCTCCCCATCTGCATAGTGATGGGTTCACATGCAGGTGGGTTTACCTGTCACAAAAGGTAGAAGGGAGAGGACAGTTCATCTGTTGATAATTTCTTGTGTAAACAACAGAAGCGTTTCCTGACAAAACATTATAATCTATTAAGAATGGATCCCTATAATCCTCTTGGACCTTCAAAACTATGAACCAGCTTGTAAGTCCTTCCTCTTTGAAGGAACTGCAGACATCCCACAGAACAAACCCGACAGCCTTCCTGTTTGTAACGTGATCAAAATGAGAAGTGGCTCAGATGGTGAAGCCAAAGAGGAGCCTTGTGCATTAAGAATATGAAAAACTGGGAGGTTACAGATATTAATCTCAATAGTGGTGACTCACTTCTCATTGCAGAGAGGTTGTAACTCCTCAGAAATCTTCTTTTTTCCATAGCACAAAGTCCTGTATAACAGCCTATAACAGCAGTGTGTAACTGCTAAATATTCTGATCAACCTGACATACCTGTTTGCTGCATGTGCCTGTCCCTGTCTGCTGTCCGTCATCCTTCATGAGCTTGAGAGGGCTGAGACTGGTTGTCTGTGGCATGACTGTGAAGCACAAGGAATGCCAAGGTCCTGTTTCTAGTAGATGCTAGATGTTTAAGAACATTTTTGATGCACATCAAAAGATAAACTAACACTGCAAGCTTAAGAAAGGGATTTAAAGAGAAACAGGTTCAAGGAATGGTTGAAGAGGCAGGTTATCTTGAAAGCAAGCTGTCACAGCCCACAACTATCAAAGCCACTACCAGTAAGTAAGATTTCTCTTTTGTTGTCTATTAAGACTCCAGGAGGGGATGGCAGATCTAATTCTGCATTTCCTGACATCTCAGAGTGTCCCTACCACAGCAAAGCACCAAGCACAGCAATAGATTACCATATGCCAGATGATCCTTTTGTGCACTATGAGCACCTTGCCAAATCTTGGGAACACTTAGGACAAAGCCATAGATGGAAAAAGCAGCTGAAGGCTTCACAAAGCAAGAAAACAGCAGAAGCTGAGAGTGAGAAAAGTTAGTAACAATTCAGAGACCCCATGCAGTGAAGCTGCAGAGGGAATTGCCCAACACAGGGGAAGAACCTTTTTGAAGTGAGGGAGTAAGCTTTAAAAACAGTGTTTTTGCTGCCAGTCCTGTGCCTGTAATAAGCAACAGAATTGCCTCCAGAAAACAAACCTCCTAGCTTCACTTGCACAGAGTAGAAATGAGACAGGAGATCGTGAATTGCGTGGTTTATCTTACTGACGGAAAGGTGCTGCCAACGTCTGTAGTCTGCTGCTTTTTCAGGATTATCACTAGCCATTCCCTGTATGAAAGATGCATCCAATGCAACATCAGCTGTTACATTTTCAGATGTGGCTGCATATACTGACATGAGGTCATGAAAAAAAGTTAACTTGCATGGCAGTGAGGTCAGCACAGTGCTGGGTGAAATGTAATTAGGAATTTGATAAGGCCTTATAGTCCACACTGAGGACATCATCTCTTCCTTTTTGAGAGGGTGAAGCTCTGAAAATATATCCAAGGATGAACATTTTCAATTAAGTAAATTCACTATACTGACAGTTTACAGAAATACCGCGCTATTATTTTTAAATGTAGGCTGAAAGTGAGACAGCTCATTTTTATCTCTCTTCCACAGCATTTGAAGTATGCTTCCCATGCTGCCTGAGACAGTGGGCACATTACAAAAAGCAACAAGGTCCTTGTAAACATCTACAGTAAGACACGATGCCCACTAAGACTGACAGGAAATGTTAGCCACACTGCATTTTGGCCCATCTGCCTCTCAGAAGCCATGTGCAGGATTCTGATGCTGCTTTCTAAAGAGACAAAGCAACCTGTAAAAGACAGATGTTTCAGAAATCCACCACGTGAAGTTACAGGTCCAGGGAATTCACATCACTTTTGTGTTCTTAAATGAGCACATCATGCAAACAATTTCATAATGCTGTAAAATGGGAATTCTGATGTGTGCAAAACACCAAGCCCTGCAAGTACTGACACAAAGGCTCTATGGCTCTTGATGACTGAAGGCTGAGTGTTTGTCCACTCGTGTCTCACACTGACTGTGTTTTGCACAAAGCCAACTCCATCCTTAGCAACTTTTTATGACTCTACAACACTCTTTATTCCAAAGCACTTCAATGCAGTCTCTTGTGACAAAAGAATAACAGTCAGCCCACTCTTAGATCCTTTGCTTCTCTATGGCAAACAGCATTATTTCTATACAGCTCAAAAAACACTGTCTTCCCAAAGACCACTCCCCACTGCCCCTATGATCTTGCTCTTGTACCTTTAGACATAGTAATAAGAAAGTGTCAGGCAGAGAAAATTGAGTAAAAATAGTTTCTTCAAAGGAAATAAATGATTAAAGTGCATGAAAATATTTAAAGCCACAGGCTGAACCACAGTCTTCAATGAAATGCACTTTAATACTGATAATGCCTTCAATTCTTCCAGCCGCTATAGGAAGAACTACTCCTTTGAAGATGGAAGCAAGGTTGCGAGTCCAGAAAACCTGCTAAAGATTTCTGGTTTGTCCCTCTAGAGGAATCATCTCAGCTGCTGGTAGCTGGGGCTGCAATAGTGACTGCTCCTCTGAAACAGCTGATCTCAGATGTTTCTGTGGCATCCGTTTCCATGATCTTGTCTCTACAGCAGGAGACATAAGAACAGCAGCCCTTTGTCAGCAGGAAGCTGACAAAGGGACCCAGTTTTTAGAAGAGTGCAGGTTTAGGGAAAACCCAACATACACCACATAGTATTTTAAGTGTTGCAAACTCCCCAATCCTAGAAAACTGGCATCTGTGAAGAACCTACACTGGAAGAGCAGGAGGCCGTGTTTAAATCCGGCAGAGCTTTCACCCAAGCTCTGCCAGGCTGAACTAAATATTTCTAGAGAAAGTAACAGCTCTTCATTTTCCACACAGTTTCTTCCCAGACATAACAAGGGAAGTAAGCATAATTATCTTACGCATGACAAAGTTGTCATTGCTAATGCCCTGATTTGTGCTCTAAAATCCCTGTGATTTTAACATTTGCAGTATAAGTGGGCCTAAATTTTACTTTTCCTAGAAAAAGCACCATACATTTGGGCTACTGAGCTAAAGGGAAGAACAGCCCTTGCTTCTCAGCAGCATTTCCTGCACATTTCTACCCAAGATAAGTAGGAATGGCACCTCCTTCATTCTCATTATTTGTTCCCAAACTCTGACCAGGCCCATATCTACTCTAATTCTTTATTTTCTCAGCTCACAAGTGATGCTGCTACTATTGAGGGATGCTGGGTAGAAGCAATTTCATGAGCAAGCTGGCCTGCCTAAAACTTCCGTTACCAAAGAAGTAATAACATGCCAAGAGTAGTTTCTGAACCAGAAGCTAAAAGGATACTGAAGACCTTTCATCATGATTTAATTTACCTTCTGGATTTATTTCTGAATCACTGGTGTTTCCAGGGTCTTCCTTAAGAACTCCCACATCCTTTGCCCAATTTGTCCATTTGATTTCCTCTACTCTGGAGAGACAAAACACAACAGACACTGATGCATGGAGCACAGCATTTCAACCCAGATCTCATTGTCCCACAGCATCCCAACCTGGCTCATACTGCCAACACAATCCTAATGGTTTGGCTGTAGCAACACCACCCTACAGAGCTTTTCTTTGAGTAAAGCTCTTTAGTAGTCTAAGCTCCATGAGGTAACTACCTCCTTCACCTGCGTATCGTGTGCTGGTCTGTGTTGTGTGTTTTAAAATACTCCAGTACCTCCCAGGGAACATAATACAAAGGAGGCTCCTGGGTTCCACTTTCTATACGTGCTCGATAACACCCTGGAGTTAGAGCTGTGCTGCCTGCCATTCGGTTGGCTGGGTGGAGAAAGGCTCCTCTGCTCTCCCAGCCCCCAGATGCGAGGAGGAGTGCTGCCCCCTCGTGTTGTGCTCAACTTACATGTTCCTGAGCGAAGGGGCCACCAGCCCACACCCCTCCCGCCGCAGCCTGCTCTGGGCACAGCTAAACTCACAGCAGCAAAAAAAGCATCGTTGCAGACACCCTGCCACCATAACCACTTGCACAAATGTGGGTTAAACAGGACATCTTTTGGTGACAATGCTGGCAGCTCAACTAGCTCTCAAGCTTCCAGCTTGCAATCAACAACCAATTTGCACGTACCCAGGAATATGTGGTTGAGTCACTCTGAATCAGTGTTGAAATTCCCTGTAGCAGCTCAGAGTTACCAGCTTATGAATTTGGGAACCTATCACTAGGCTGGAGTGTAAGGAGTAATAGTACAAGTGCCTCACCTGAAACACCACCTCTCATCTTTCTTATTGAGGCCCACTGACATGAAGCAGCCAGATCTTCTCTTCCCACCTTGGCGCCACAGCCAGGCCTTCTCTATTTCTAGAATAGCAATAGCCCTCTGAAAGAAGAAGTCCATGTCAGAGAGAAAACACCGCATACAGAGGCCAAATCCTCTTTTCAATTAAATCTTCCCCAATCAGCAACTGCTTTACCTTAAAAGAATCACTTTGGAACCCAGTTCCAAATTGCTCCATAGCTTAATAGTACTGGTCAGTTGCTTTCTCAAGTTACTTATTCATGTGGATCTGGACTGGCTGGTAGCCAGGCAAACAGCATGAGTTTTAAATACATCTAAAATGATGGTAGGATTTACCTCCAGAGTGGCAAACTTACATAAAAGAGAAGTTTATAGCTGAGGCTTAGGACAAAGACAGGCATTATCATCTCTGACGTTATGAGATTCAAATTGGAGTTTGGGCCACAACATAACTGCCTCAGCCGCACCGTGCCTCACCTGCAGCTTCCAGACACTTTTGCTGTAACTAGAAATATCTGTGACAGTCTCGCTCATGAGCGCAATCAGCATGTTGAGCAAAAGAATGTAAGTGAGGATCACAAAGAGAAGCAGCAGGAGCATGACGAAGTATCTGAATCTGGCATGTTCCTGGAAATCCAGGTCGCCCATCCCAATGGTGATCTTGAAGAGCTCCAGGGAGACGCTGAGCAGCCCGCCATACATAGCATGGCTCCCAGTGCTCTCTAACTGAGCGAGAGACTTGTTCTGAGAGGCCGAAGGAGCATCCCCCATCAGTGTAACCAGAGCTATGAGAAAAACAGAATTTGAATCCTCTTCAGGAAAATTTACTTCTTGCATCCCATCCGACAACATATTGCTAAGTCCTTACCTGCAGCAAATCCAAAGAGGAAGATCATATAAACCAAGAGAAAACGCAGCAGATCTCTCAGGATAGTCTGAAACACAGATCAGGAGCAAGTGCCATTCTTTCTCTCACATGAAGTCACCAGGATGATCTCCTGTTCTCACACATCATAAACCAACCCCCAGTAACAACACTGAAAGCAAGTTGGAAAACGCTTTTATCCAGTGTATGAAACTACTAATACATGTTAAATTACTTCCTCAGATAAGTAACATAATTGGTAGCTTAATCTGACAATACTATATGAACTTATTTGTTATGTTTGCATTAATAGATTCTTTGAAACAAATAAACATGTCAGTTCCCCAGTATGGCTATTTCCAAATTGTTTCAGTGTACACATCTGTCTCTCCCATCTCCATTGGGTTTCACACAAGCGGCGATCAGAATTCTTCCCTGGCACCTTATTTCACCTCTGCTTTGTCTTGTATTTCTAGTCCCAGACTCCTCTATGGACCTGGAAACACTCCTCAGCCCAAGCATAACCATTAACAAACAGGAAACTTGCACTGGTTTTGACTGATAGTTTTGAGTTGGGTTATGACAAACAGGTCAGTGGCAGCTGCTGTCACTTGTTATATTCAAAGATAGCACACTAGTTGTTTGCCACAATTTTACTTCCTTGAAGAAACTGATCTAATCTGCAAATATCTTTCCTTTCACAGTCAGTACATCAATTCCATTCATGGTTTTCATGGTCTTAAGAGAAAAGTAACTGCAGGACTTCTGTTAGTTCCTCACACCCAAAAGCTTTTCATAGAGAGTTTTTTTCTGAGAACCGACCTTCTGTATCATGACACTGTAGATCCCAGTGCGTTGAAAGCCCCGAGTGTAATACAGCATATTCACCCATCCCAAAAGCAGGGAGAACACCATCACCGCCACATAGTTTTCTGAACTTGCACCGTACAGGACTGCTGACAGCAACAGTGAGAAAGCCTGGATGAAGCTGGAGAGAAATAGTGAGTGACACCGTGACTCACCTCAACAAAAAAGCCCGTTTGCATATCTGATCTGTTTTGCAAGGAAAAGCAAACACATTTTACAAGTCTACATGGAACATATAAACTGGCAGTTAATCAGATACATAGTTTATATAAGCAAATCCTGTTATAACCAGACCCACAAATTGTTGCAGTTTTGTTATAAACTGGTTAATCTCACAGCACAGAACCTCTGAACTGCTTGATGTAACTCACATAACTGATATTAAACGGAGAAAAAAAAAAAACTTAACACTTATAAACACATGCACACACATGCATCTGTACACATTTCTCTTCAGAAAACTGAGAAATTATTTTCCTTTCAACCAATTCTGAGCCACAGTGACAGTATGATTAAGAACTTGAGATCTTTTTCTAACAAGTGTATGTTCTTAACTGTGGAATAATTGAGTCTGATCTTCACTGTGTTCTGCTACAAAACCAAGGACACAACCTACCCACCTAAATCCATTATAAAAAAAAGTTATGACAATATGCAGCAGGTAGGAGAAGCAAGTAGGGAAGGGATGGAGGGAAGAGGCAGTGGCAGAGAATCAATCTTTCCTGTTCACCATCTCTCTACTAACGTTAGGGCAACTTAGCTGCACAAAGCAGAGAACCAATTTCACCCATGCTTTCATCGTGCAAAAAACCCCAAGAGGCTTACATCAAGATCTCAATGCAGCTGTCAGAACACATAGTCTTCAGGGACTGGCGTCTCCTCCGCAAGTACAGACTCTATTAGAGAAAAATCAATGGTAGCCATCCATCAAAAAACAGGGCATGCTAGAGTGATTCCTGCCCATCATAGCCTATTGCTCAGGAGAAAGGTTGCTCCATAAGCTCCCTCTTCATGCTTGCATTTCCAAGATCCCAAATTTCAGCTAGTCATCCTTCCAAGATGAAAAAAAGGCCTTATTTATAAAGGGCAAGGATAAACAAGGGTTGAATCATGGCCCAGACCAATGTCTTTATAGACTGCATTAAATGCTAAGGATGCATTTTAGTACCATAAATCACAGAAGTCTCTCAATTATTTGCTGCTGTGAACTTATTCTTCCACTTGCCCAGCCACCTGGCTTATGCCACCTCTGTCACTGCTAGATCACGCTGACACTGTGTCTCAGAGCAGGATTCCCCCCTGCCATCCAAGTACGCACATCCTGATGTCAGGAGAACTGAATCCTGTAGCCCCCATGTCAGTGATAGTTTCCTTTTTTAATTTCCTACAATGAAACCAGACAGGAGATCCCCATACCTGAGCAAAGATTAGATAAATGCCTCCTAGCAAGATAATGATCAGTCCAGAGACCCACAGGAAGCCTCCAGCTGTGAACTCCACTGGAAAGGAAGGCTGCAAGAGAAAAAAAAAAAAAAAAAAAGAAAGCAAACCCAAAGCACTGAAGACAGGCAGAGGTAGCCATAATAACCACCCTGCACCTTTTAAACTCAGGTCCATCTGTTCAGGCCTTTCCAGATAAAAGAAGATTGGACCTACCTTTACCCGTAGGGGTTGATAGTATGCAATGGCTGTAAAGATGATCATGAATGACAAGTATGAAACAAAACTGAAGTAGAATCTCTTGGAAGCAAACGTTTCCCATTTTTGCTGAAGCAGTTTGTTCAGTGGCTCCAAAACCACCATCTTGTATCGATTCTATGGAAAAACAAACAACAAAAACGTACCCATGCATCAACAGGATTGCAAATTCACCAGAGGATGGTCTTTTTCAGGGTTGGAATTTAGTGGCTCCAACTAGGGTATCACTAAGGGTTTACTCGGGCATTTCAGTATGAAAGAAGTCAACCGTCCTGTAAGAAGTTACTTCTGCTTGGCTTCATCAAGTTATTTGGACACACCCAAGCTTAGGACAAGCAAAGGATCAAAAATTGCTCTCATATTATAGATTACCAGAAGCACACCAAGCAGACTATAAATAATAAAATATGCAAATACTGCCATCACGCGTTTCTTTTCCAGAAGAATCATCATGTGAAACACCACATTAACTTGAAACAATTTGCATAATTATACAGCAACACTACAGAAAGGCAGAAAAAAATTTTGCTGTCTTTGAGTTTTAGTAAAAGCACTCACCGGTGTGTCACTGCTGTATGCCAGAATCTCCAGCACAGAGTTTTCCTCAAAGCTGTCTATAGAGGACAAGTCATAGAGACACACATGGATGGGCCCATAGGTCCATTCAGTGAATTTGCGTGACAGGTGCCTGTACACCGGGTCTTTAATCTCTCTTTGGATGATGTGCTTAAAGATCTGAAGAGAAACCAGATGCATACCAGAAAAATGTGTAATGAAGGTGTAGAATGGCACAAGCATACCCAAATCACCTTCAAATACAGGACACCTGGCTTGCTGCACTACACACTTCGATACATCCAAACAACAGACTATCTGGCTAAAAGCAGGCAATCTAACTACATCTTGTATCAGCTCTTCCAGGACTAAAACCAGTTTCAGTCCTGACCAGCTGTCTTGGCTGGGACAGAGAGCAGCAGCAGCCAGCTAAGGCTCTGTAGGACACTAACTGGAGTGGCCTGAAGGAAGCCTCCTTTATTGTCTCCCATGGCACTGCCACTGTCAGCAGCATTACCATGAGTTGGGTGCAAGATGCTCCTACATCAAACCCCACTGCTATGCTGAGGATGTATGCTACAGTCTTCCTTGTTTCTCAGCACTCCCAAGGATTCCCTCTAGTTGCCTTTACCTCCACTTTGCCTGTCTTGGCAGCAAGTTGCAGAGGATTTAATCCATCATAATTCACTATCTCCTCCAGTTTCCATGTTGGGTCAGCCTTCACACCTGCCTTCAAGATCTCAACATATGTTGTGCTCACAAACTTGGTGTTCTCCTCCGTGTCATCTGCAATCATCACCAGGGCATGGAGAACTGTGTTACCCTGTGTATCCTGCTCCTGGAGCCTGGCTTTCTGGTGTGGATTGTTTAGAAGATATTCCACCACCTCAAGCTGGTTGGTACAAGCAGCCAAGGAGAGGGGAAGTTCACCTGAAGAGATTAGGACAGCATTTGGAGGGTAAGGAGAAAGGGGTGAAAAAGAATTAAAGAAAAAAAAACAATTCTAGAAAAATATATTTACCCTATAGTTTTACCACTGGAACATAGAACAACCTTTTTCTGCGCCTCTAGATTCAGCAACGGTTTTGCAATAAACAATTACTCCTTACTTCTGAGGGCAGATGAAACACTTTCCCAGATCCCTAATTTGGCTAAACTAACCAAATATTTGTCTCGGAAGCCCCTCAGATGGGATTTAAAACAAAACCAAAGATGATGGCAAATGCTCACTGGACACCTCAGTCTGTGAAAGGATCCTGCCATTCAAATAAGACCAGAGTTTGATTACAAGACAGTGGAAATGGCAACCCACACAGAGGCAAACCCAACTGAGAATTAGTGGCATCGCATACAGTAAGACAATTAAAAAAAGCAAAGGAACACATTCCACACTGACTCACCAAAATAAAAGTAAACTCCTTCTTTCTTCTTCCTGAAGAATTCACCATGGGCTCTGGCATGGACATCAGCTCCATTCTCTACTAGCAGTTTCACTAAATCTAAGCTCCTTTTCTCTATGGCAATATGGAGTGCTGTCTGGCCTAAGGAAACAGGCAAAACCTATCACTCAGTGCCACTACCAGAGGGAACAGGCAAAGGACTCCACAGCAAAGCGCTGTTTCAGCATTGCTGTATGATCTGCATAGCAATTCTGCAGTATATGCTGGGCAGGGGGTGGGTGGCAATTGATGACTTTCAACAACGTTCATTGGAAAAGCACGTTGCAAATACTGAGTCAGAAGGCAAGCCTCAAGACTATCAGAAATTCAACACAAAACCAGGAAATGACTCCTGCCTGGCACTAAACCATACACTTAAGTGACTATACTGCATGTCTGCTATTAAAAGAATAACCCAAACAGCAGAACTCAGTCTTTAATAGTGATATACTATTTCTTTTTCACTTTTAGACTTGCTTTTTAAGCTTTTTCAAGAAATCCACTCATATTCTTGGGTTATTAAACATGCATCATTTCTGTTTTACAGACCAAGAACAAAGTTGCAAAAATGTATAATTCAAAGCTGAAGAAGATGCAGTAGCAAAATCAGAAATAAAAGTTGAGGAGGCTGTTACAGTAACTGCCCCAGAACTCTGGAACTGCCATGCTGCAATAACGCCAGTTTCCCTCTTTTTCCTTGTATCTGCACATCTCACCTGGCTAATGGGGAAACTGCTGTGACACAGCATCAGAACAGAAACCTTACCTCTGTAGTTGCAGTCAGAGCATGCCACATTGACAAGTGGCCTGGGATTCTGTGTCTTTTGGTCTATTTCCAGCAAAAGTGGGATTGTGTCATTCTTTCCATTTTTTAAGTTCAATAGGGCTTTCATTAAGCAGGTCTTCCCAGTCTTTGCATCTAGCAGAAAAAGAATATCGAATGGGTTGTGCATGTACTTTGCACACAGCTGTATTACTTGATTCAGAACTTAACTGTCACTGTAGGACCAAATACAATAATTATTTTAAAGGCTCTTCTCAGTATTTTTAGTCTGCAGTAGAGCCAAAAGCTTTAGGATATATATAATTAATGGCATTCTCCATCCTCAGGTGAATATTAGGAAAATAAAAGAATGGACAGAGGGCTGGAGAAGAAGAACCACAAGCAGGTTCCCCTGCTCCTCTCCTACATTAACAGGCACTGCCTCTGCTAACCCCGTTTATAGAGTATGGAGCAGGAATCTACCTGTGTATTCAGAATTGGTGAGAAATTTGGAGGTCCTCCTTAAATACTCAAGTAAACCATCCAGTGCCTCGGGACTGCCCCTTGAGACTGCGCTGAAGAGCCTGTCTCTGTCAAAGCGATTTGGGTCCTTTTGGCTATGGAAGAAATGCAAAGCATTAAGAAGTTCTGGAAAGCAGAAGACAGAGTGTGCAGTAAGTTCTAGTGGGACAGTGTAAGAAGGGAGGGAAGCAGAAAAGTTGGTCAGAAAAAACAAGTATTTTATTTTTAAGTCAAGGGAAAAATAGCAACAGTTATTTCCCAGAATTCTCTTAAGTGGCTGCTCTTTCCATCAGCTGGAGCTCTTCCCAGATCCAGCCTGATGTGCAACCCTGGAACATATCCAGAGCACAGACAGAGAAACCCAAGATAGCTGCAGGACCAGAGTCAGTCCCCTCACATGGTGTGAAGCACTCTGAGCTGGTTTACCTCCCTCCCTGGCAAGAGCAGTTCAGTTGCAGAGGGCTCCATGCTACACTGCTCTCACACCCAACTTGGCTTATTTAGTGCTAGTTCAGATATACCCAAAATACACAACACACCATACACACACGTCTAAAGTGCAGAAGGGGCTAATATATCCCCTTTCTCCTTTTAATTACCTCCCACCAGATGCCTGTGATATTCCTACATTGCCACATTTAGTTTAGAGCTGGTAAAGTCTATAGGCCCCTACCAGAAAGGATCAGTACAGATCAACAGGGACCACACGCTCGTCAAATACCCGACAGTTACTCACTTGCTGACGAGTCCTGGACGATAGTTCAGATTAATCTTGACTTTAGGAGGGAAGTCACTGCTCTCCTTCTGATAAGGTGTCTCCAAGGGCTGTGGCTCTCCTTTCTTTCCATGTCCTGATCTTTCTTCCTTTTTACTAGATGCAGGTTTATCTTCCTGGATACTGTCATCTGTTTCTAGCAATCCTATCAACCTGTTCCTCTGACCTGGGCCCGGCTGCCCATTTGTGAAGTTATCCATTTCTAGTAGAGATGGTCTTGCAGATCACCAAAGATATTCCCTTCTGGGAGACTAAACCTGCAAGGGAGAGGGAAAATTAACACAATTTGTTCACAAACCTAGAATGTGTTTGGTGCAGCACAGAGAGGAAAGCACGTTTCCAGGTCCAGCATTCCTACAGTTGAATATGGGTCCCTTGATAGAGATTCTGTAAAATTCTGTACACTAGAAGAATTTGAATAAAGGACCAAGGCCTTAAACAGGGTACCACTGGAGAAGTAGTTCAAAAGCAGTGCATGCAATACAGGCAACTTGTCTGCCGAACATCTGAACCCCCTTTGTGAGATGACCTCATCACCTGTTGGCAGCAGCACAGGCTCATTACATAAAAGGCAAAGAAAGTGGATCTTTAGGAGACTACAATCATGGTCTCAGTGCAGCCAGCACAGGCTAGTCACCAAGTGGCCAAAAAGATAAGATTAACTGTAGGCCTTCTTTGGAACAGAGTGATAAGTTCGTTCATGTTCTTTGTTGGTATGCATGATACTATTTCTACAGAGAAAATGTGCACAAACTGTGTTCCCCTCTTGCATTCTCGCCTCTCATCCTGGGGCAAAACGAGTGGGATGTCCCCAGTGTTTCGTGCTGTTGGCTATCCACGTGAGCACAGGCTTTGAAATTCCAGCTCCACAGCACAGGCAAACACACGCCCCAGCTACCATGTGGGCACTCAGAGCCCTGAGAGCCTGAACAGAGCACAGCTCTCCCAAGAGCAATGCTGGATCCACATTTTCTGTACAGAGAGCATCAGTATTCATCAGAGCACCCAGCAAGCCCACTTATCTAATATGTCCTGTACTCCTTTTTACTCTTTTGAGACATCTCTTCATATATATCCAGATACATCTCAGATGCACACCAAATGCAAGCTATCTGTAGTCAGCACATGAATGCAGAGTCACAGAGTTTGCGAGGCAGCAAGGGATCATCCATGATTACTAACCTGAAGCAGAGCTTTATTTACTAACTCCGTCTTATTCACATGTACTCCCTCCAAATGGTTAACAGGTTTCCTCTGAAGAGAGATCTCCCTTGCTGGGACTACAGCCAGACTCCATAGCCTGTACCAGCAAAGATGTAAATTGACACAGCATAAACATTCTGGCTTCATTTAGGATGTGGAGAAACACAGTTCTAAGCAGAAAACAGCCACAAAACATTTTTATGCAGCTCACAGCAAGAAATCCAAGGGCTGATTTCAAGAGGAACCGTTATGATAATTCAGCCATTCAGTTTAGTCTGCACTCTAACGAAACATTCCTCTGCACGCACAAGCATACACCCTGCGATCTCATTTCAGACTTATTTTCTCCCCAAAAACACTTACTGGTACATTTGCTGATCCTTTAGATGGCTATTTGTATTTCCATAATAGTTTGCTTGTGCTTTTCTGTCTTCCTTTCCCCAAAATCATTTTTCAGCTGCAGTTTCCATCTCTCCACAGTGCTTGAGAGTTATTTATTGTCAGTCTTGCACAGACAGATCGTCTGGTTTAAAAGCAAGAGCAAAACGGTCCTATAAAAAAGGACCCTATTATACATACATGCACTTTGTGCATCCCTAGGAAACAGAGAGCACTCTGTTTGCCAGCTCAACTTTTACTTCTCTACTCAAGAGCCGAGGCGTTTCTTTCTGTGACTTTGTCAAGCCATTTTGAGTAGCGCAGCACAAAAAAACCCTGCTGTCAAAAGAGGAAGAGCACAGCACTTACCTCAAGTTGCTGCAAGCTCCACCCAAGAATTGATCTGACAAGGAGTCCCAACAGATCCTTCAGAGGATAAATAATCTCTTAGTAGAAACCAAGTCAAATACCAACAAGCATTATTAAGCATGAAAGCAGACCCCAAATTGTTTATATCCATGGGTGAGAGTCCTCTTCTGCAGAGACAACCACTCTCATGTTAACAGTCTATTAATGGCACAACGTTGAACTCCTACTTGGTGGTGGTCCATGAGAAAATCTAAACTACCTGTGAGAAAGAATAACCATGGATTATTATTTACTCAACCGTACAGCTTTTTGCAAAGTGAAGGGCTTGCACAGGAAATGACTAAATAGATTTCTCAGTAAAAGAGAGAGCCAATGAGTGCAGTGCTCTTATATGGGAAAGCTGGCTGGTTATTGCAAATTCATAATGCTTAACCCCTGCCTGCACATAGAGACAACATCTCGTGGCTTGCAACAGCAGCCTGCTCTGGTCGCAAGGGAGGTGGATGATTTGATCCTGACAGTGCTAGAGCCTGTGGTTTAGTTGTGAGGTTTGTCACAAGGCTTCCTCAGTGAGCCTCAGGACAAGCAAGTATGCATGGAAACATCTGAGGTCAACTGTTTCTGTGGGAAGCCTTCTCTCCTCACACAACTTCACACACCCCAGTTATGAGGCAGCACAAACTGTATGAGAGAATAAACTAGCCAGAATCTTACCCTACAAAGTAGTGTCAGCTGCTCATCACAAGCACAGGAGACTGCACAAACCAGCCCCAGCTGCAAAACACTTACGCCACTGGTCACTTAATTTGCCACTAGTGCCCATTTCTTAGTAGATTGATTCAACAAAGGAGTGAAAGCCTTGGAGAGGACACTTCTGGGAGCATGGACTGGCCATCCCTACAACTGGCTGAGACCACGAACGCACACTAATACTGCTTCTCTTACCACTTATAAAACAGGAGCCCTGGGAAACAGAGGACACCAGCCCACACCAAGTATCTCAGTTTTTTCTCTCCCACTCCTAACAGAACTGAGGAGGCAGCATGATCATTATTTCCCACAGCATCTGTGCAGGATGACATTCAGCACCCAGAGTCTCAACAGCCTTCCCCAGCACAACACTACTGCAGAGTGGTTCTCATCTGTACTCTGTAGAGGACTGATGGTTTCTAAAGCCATTTATGTTATCTAGAGCTCATCTGGAGAACCTTTTTAACTAACAAAATGCTAAAGCGCTCTTCTAATCAACAGTTTGATAGCAGGGGCACATTCCATGAGAAATCTCAAAACTTTAGTTAGCCATTGGTCCAAAAACATTGAGAAGGGGTGTCACATCATGACACACTGAACTCTAGCTGTGGCTCCCTTCTTCCAAACCTACCACGAGCCACAAGAGAACCTAAAGCAATCCTCATTTGACAGGACTGAAGGATGAAATGAGGCTTCCTGGACCATGGTCATCACCCATAGAAACATTCCCAGGTGGCAGATGCAGGCTGTGAGACAACCTCCCTATAAATACACCCATTAAATGGCAGGATGCCTTTTCCTCTTTCATGGTTTTGCATGAGATTACAAGTTTATTTCTCAGATTCTCATGTTTCAGAATTAAGCTGATATAGGAACAATGAAAAGCTACTTATTCTTTCCAGGCTTAATAATTTATTAGGACGCACAGAATAGTCTATAAAGAATAAACATTTGCAGATAAACACAATACCAGATCTCATCTCTCTTGTCCCTCGTTCTAGCCTTGCACCAATTTATTTCAGTTTGCTTTAATCGTGTTACACTTAATTTACTGTGATATCAACAGACCTAGATATAGGCCCAGGAGTTTAGCTCAGTCTTATGGGTTTAAATCCTCTTGGGCTTTTCCCCCAGCTTTTATGGGAGTCAGCCCAGCATTCTAGCCAAAGAATGAAATCGGCCCACAAAAGTGCATCATAACCAAGTTCTTTCTGTGCATCTGGTTTTAATAGCTTACAGAGAGGAAGGAGAATGTGCAGCTTGCTGGGAAAGGAATCACTGCCAGCTGAGAGGTCACCACAGCAAAACAGAAACATGGAGCTGCTGGGAGAACACAGAAACATTGGTATGCACGCACACACATGCGCACATGCTTTCACAGAGAGGACACGAGGGTAAACACTTGCATTTCCATTTCAGAGAAGGGAGAAGCAAGGCAGAAAAAAAAGCACAAGATCTGCCCAAATGTGCACTTGACAGTGACAGCATTCCAAGATCAGTAATGAGATTATGTCACTGCTGTGCACTAGCCAGCCAAGAGGGTTATGATGCTAAACAAGCATCTTGCTACCAAAATTTAAAATCCTGTTAGCTGTTAGAACCCAGGAGGAAGCCATCCAAAGCTGCACACACAGAGAACAAAAGCAGCAATTTAATGTCATCTATCTCCCAGCCTGAATTTTCAAAAGCAACATGTGATCCTCTTGCTTCTTTGAGATGGTTATTTGGGGGAACAAGAAAGAATCTTGTAATTGCTTGGTACTTATTTTACTGATGAAAGTGTGTCTGATGGTGCTAAGTTTCTCCTGAGAAAAAAACACACATTCTGTGGAAACCTTGAATCTGGGAAGAAAGAAGTCAAGCTCTTAACTACTAAGTGAAATTAGGTTAATATTATTAAATGAAAATTATTGATTTATCAAATATATTCATAATTATTGTATAATTATAGATAATAGATGAAGAAGCACAGTAATTCATGGCAGAAAAAGCAATGACTGGAACCTGCTTAACCAGAAAGCAAAAGGAAGCAAGAGGAAGATGATGTTCTGAAAAGATGGAAGCACATTTCCTAAAATATGTATTCTCTGTTCACTTAAGTGCCCATTTTTACCAAAAATTGAAAAACCTAAGTCTTATGATTAATAACACATTTTCTGTATGCTGTAAATAGAAGATCAAAGTCACTTACATATGTCTTTAGCACCGATTTGTAGGCACTATAAGGAGTAACAACTCAAAATTGTCTTCACAGGAGGAGGGAAGCCTGTAATAACAGCATGCACAGGTGGACCATTAAAATTCTCCTCAAAACAACAGGTAGGCCAGCACTTATTTCAAATTCACAAAAGCCACATGGTTAAGAAAAACATCGTTCTCTTAAAGGTGTATTTTTACACCTGGGAAATCAGCAAAGATTTTTTTGAAAGGACAGACTTTTTTTTCATGCAACTGTTATGCAAAACCCACAATGACAGGATGAATTTTAGCAGCTATGTTATAGTTACACCAATGGAATCCTATACCACTAGAGACACCAGCCAGTGCCCAATCTAAAATACAAATATTCTTAAATATAATTCCTTGTCAGATAGCCCTAGGGACTCAATCTGCATGGCAGTACTTCTGTAACTGCTACTCTTATAATATCTAAAGGCTCCTATCTCTCTCTATATATACTTCTCAGGCCTTTGAAGGAACCATCTACTACTCTTATTCCTTAAATGGAAGTATCTTTCTACTTGATGTATCCCTTTCTGTAGGATTGCAGCCTGAAGGAATGCTCCACTGACAATCAAAGAGCAGCAAAATACGAAATCCAACGGTAGTTACAAAACAATAGTTTTGTGGAGAAACAGTGACATCCAGTGGCCACTATGTAAACCTGAATACGTGCTGCTTACGGAAACAGCCTTGACAGGAAATTTTTCAAAAATAGTAAAAAGAAAAATTGCAGGCATATACTTATGAGAATTATAGCCATTCACTTACTCCTTGTATCAAAATAGTTAACAAAAATTTGTTTAATTTAAAAACTCAGGTTCCAAATAAAGATGGTTTTGATGATGCAGCAGTGTTCCATAAATATAAAATTGTGCAGCCAAGGACCTTTGAACAGAGCTACTACGCAATGCCTTTGGGACTGCAGACAAGGCTGCAAAAATACTGAGGTATTCCTAATGTTTATCTGCCTTAACCCTCACTTCCCCTATATGATTACATTTTGGGGCAGTCATTAACAGAGCAAAACACTAAAAGTATCCAAAACACAGTATAACAGACTTATCTCATTTGTCTTCTTAAAATAGAAGTATTTTTTTAAGATCACAGAAGATAAAAACCTTGAAATCTTGAAAACTTTTTTTTTTTTTTCCCAAGAGAGAACTGACTAAAAATTAACTGAAGCTGTAAGAAAAACACAAAGGTCAGTCACAAAACTCAGCTTGTAGCAGGATTGATACATGTTATCAGAATCTGTTGTCAGCACAGGAGCATTAGGATTATTCTGTTTTAATAGCACATACATGCTAACTAAAGCCTATTAAATTCTTATTCCAGTTATGAATAGTTGGCTCTAAGCAGATAGAATTGAGGTACCACCACATTGTAAGAAAAACAAAAATTGTATCTTAACATCAATTATCCATATTGACTGATACCTCTGGCTTTTGTTCATAATTTCTTCAATGTAAACAATGCATGCTATGCAAATTAATATTTAATTTTTCTTGTAATTTATCTAAGTTTCCCTAATTCACATTATTTAAGATAAATTCCAAATAATTTTCTCTATTAATGAAGAAATCCCTTGCAGTCATCTCTTCCAGCTACTGAGTGCTGATCTTCCATTAGCTGTGGGATCAGAAGCCTTGGTAACATTGCTCCTACAAGACGTAGGAGTCCAGCACAAGTGTCCCCACATCCTCACAGCAAGGTGTGAGAGTCTGGCCCCATACTTCACCCAGGTAGTGAGAGCATCTGGGGGTTTCACTCCTTGTATTTTGCCTTTAAAGATGTGATATTTCTAGTAAGCCAAATGCAGATCTTACTAATTTTCAGCACAAGCCTCACCTAAGGAAATCTTCCTACAGAGGTGGGGAAAACAGCACATGGACACATTCAGTTTCATACATTCAGCCAAGGTTGCCCGAGCCGTTTCCCACAATCACAAAATACTGGAATGTTCCCCCTTCTTCCCACTGCTTATTACTTCAGGTGCAACACTAGCCCGAAGCAGGATCCATGCATGGCTCCACTTACGGACCATTCACAAACAGGGACACCAGAAGTACCAGTAGAGGCAATGGTTCAACATGGGTTTGGCTCAGGCAGAATAAAACTGGAGTCAGCACACCCTGGGAAGCTGGTGCAAACCCACTTGGCCAGCTACACATCACCTTCCCAGGGTCCCTGTTCTTGCAAAGCCGACCAAACCCCAAAGATAGCTTTGCACAAAGCCAGCTGCACTTAACGCTGCCTAGTGACCCTGGGCACCACACCATACTTGAGTAACACTTCTGCAAGGGCTCTTGTTTAGCGATTGACTCTGGAGAAGGACTACCTGCCATTTATAGACTTCTATCTAAAACAAACCATACCAGCAGCCTGCATTATCTGACCAGTCAGCACCTGCAACCAATAATGAGCAGCACAGTTTAATTATTGGAAAAACTTGAGAAAGGAGATCTCTTAATTACAAGCCAGAAAAGATAAAGCAGCTAGTTTTACCATGGAGCAAATCACCAGCAGGAAAATGTAAGTAATATATTCAGTGCTGTATCTCCTCTGGACTATAAATTGCTCAGGGAGTTCATACACTACTCAGATCAGGGCTATTAGACACCCAGTCAGAAGTAAAAGCAGCAGAAAATGGTTGGAGTTGGAAAGAACCTCTGGAGGTCATCTTGTGCAGCTCCCTACTCAACCAGGGCCACCAAGAGCTGGTGGCCCAGAACCATGCCCAGATGGATTTTGCTATCTCCAAGGACGAAGTCTCCATGACCTCTATGGGCAACCTGCCTATGTAGTTAAACTGGAAAAAGCAAGACCTGGCTAAGCAGCTAAACTGCAAAAAGCATAAAATCAAGGAAAGGCAAAAGAAGCAGTTGCAGAAAAACTCAAGTAACCTATGGAAATTATCTCTTATGGTAGAAACAGCAATTTTTAACAAAACTTTAGATTTCTGCTAGCACAGCTATGTATAATATACGGGGAGGCAAGCCCTGCTGCTGAAAAAAACAACCCTATCGCAACCATCAAAATCACACTGGATTTAGTTGCAACATGCAGTTTTCTAGGAAAATGGTAGTGTAACTTTTTGACCATGATTGCATCCATGCTAAAAAGGCACAGGGGTGTTAACTTACCACAGACAGTAATGTTAGATTGAAAGCTGAAGTTCAAAAGGAACAAACTTTTGCAGCAACACTACAGTGGACAAAAAAATGACAACCAAGATGGTGCATAGTACAGGGTTACCAGTAAAAAGCAATGAGCAGCAGCACAGAAACACTGTGCACACAGCATACAGATGCCAAGACTCTCGAATTAAACAGCTGTCAAAGTTCAACAAATGAAGACTGACAGCCACAACCCTTAAAACCTGGTTAAGTTTCTGTGAAAGGCACACAGATGATTACACCCTCCTTTGAGACTGACCACAAAGCAGTTGCACTAAACCATTCTAACCCCTCTTTGGGCATGTTCCCCTTAACCCACCCCATTTAAAAAAAAAAAAAAAAAAAAAAAAAAAAAAACACTTTGGCAAGAAATCCCTATCTTTCAGCATTAATTGTGTAAAAAAATTTTACTTACATCAAACCAGGAAGTTATACTGCTCAGTCACTTACTGCTATTCAGTATTTAGGATCATTCCCAGTAGAGCCAATACCTCTAGGCAGCCTTCCCACTCCATGCCCCTGCACCAGCAGCCATTCTCACTGCAGTTACTCCCTCACCATCATGTGTCCACCCAGTTCAGCCAATACCCCACATCCACCTCCCTAAAATTTACCTTCAGCAGGCTACCACTGGAATAGACAGTAGTTTTTCCACTTAAGTATATGGACCTACTCAGGTTTGCTTATATACCCCCTCAAAGCATGCTAAAGCTCAGATCACTTGATGGCAGCATCAGGCAAACTGAACTGTTCACACTCATCTCAGGACTAAGTCAATTCAAACACACTGCAAGTTCACAACTTGCAGCAAAACCCACCCCACTGAATTGACAATCATATCCCTATATTTCATTTGTGGCTTTCTGTAGTCTTTAAGAGAACATATTATCCTTCCTGGAAACAGAGTGGTGTTAAACTCTAAAGAGAAATAACATGGTATTAGTGCTTAACTTAAGACTTTAATCCAGACCTCTTTTTCCCCACAATGTCCTCATTATACCTCCAAAGAGGCTTAAACTGACATGGAAGAAAGCCAGTGTCACTTAAAATACACCAGCTTTACTAGCTTTAACTGAGACAGACTACAAGTTGTAATGTGCAACAGAAAACTTTATTAGCATTTCAACAGACAGTTGTTCAGCAGTTACTTAAGCTTGCATTAACTTTGCATTTAACTTATTAAGACATTGAAGAACTACAGTGCAAACACAAGTGCTGTTGGCAATCTTGTCGTCAAGCAAGATGCACAACTTAACAGCCACCCCTAAGGCGCAGCACAAGATGCAGAGTGGATTCCTTCTGGATGTTGTAGTCGGACAGAGTGCGACCATCTTCCAGCTGCTTGCCAGCAAAGATCAGCCTCTGCTGATCTGGAGGAATGCCTTCCTTGTCCTGGATCTTGGCCTTCACGTTCTCAATGGTGTCACTGGGCTCAACCTCAAGGGTGATGGTCTTGCCAGTCAGGGTCTTCACAAAGATCTGCATGCCACCTCTGAGGCGCAGCACAAGATGCAGGGTGGATTCCTTCTGGATGTTGTAGTCAGACAGGGTACGACCATCTTCCAGCTGCTTGCCAGCAAAGATCAGCCTCTGCTGATCTGGGGGAATGCCCTCCTTGTCCTGGATCTTGGCCTTCACATTCTCAATTGTATCGCTGGGCTCGACTTCAAGGGTGATGGTCTTGCCAGTCAGGGTCTTCACAAAGATCTGCATGCCACCCCTGAGGCGCAGCACCAGATGCAGAGTGGATTCCTTCTGGATGTTGTAGTCGGACAGAGTACGACCATCTTCCAGCTGCTTGCCAGCAAAGATCAGCCTCTGCTGATCTGGAGGAATGCCCTCCTTGTCCTGGATCTTGGCCTTCACATTCTCAATGGTATCACTGGGCTCAACCTCAAGGGTGATGGTCTTTCCGGTCAGAGTCTTCACAAAGATCTGCATGCCACCCCTGAGGCGCAGCACCAGATGCAGAGTGGATTCCTTCTGGATGTTGTAGTCGGACAGAGTGCGACCATCTTCCAGCTGCTTGCCAGCAAAGATCAGCCTCTGCTGATCTGGAGGAATGCCTTCCTTGTCCTGGATCTTGGCCTTCACGTTCTCAATGGTGTCACTGGGCTCAACCTCAAGGGTGATGGTCTTGCCAGTCAGGGTCTTCACAAAGATCTGCATGCCACCTCTGAGGCGCAGCACAAGATGCAGGGTGGATTCCTTCTGGATGTTGTAGTCAGACAGGGTGCGACCATCTTCCAGCTGCTTGCCAGCAAAGATCAGCCTCTGTTGATCCGGGGGAATGCCTTCCTTGTCCTGGATCTTGGCCTTCACATTCTCAATTGTATCGCTGGGCTCGACCTCAAGGGTGATGGTCTTGCCAGTCAGGGTCTTCACAAAGATCTGCATGTTGAACTGCGAAACATACGAAGTTTCAACTTTACTTACTGACACGCAATCTTTTAAGACTGATTCAAAATAAAGAGATTACTGCTTCTATTCCCCTCTATATGAATACCAGCTGTTATTTTTGGTTTGTATTTTTTGTATTAGCACTTTCTACAGACATTCCCTAACTCTTGGCTCCTAACTAAACGACGTTTTGAGGCTTGTTATACTCTGTTCCTTTAACAGCCCCTTACAGTGCCTGTCGCCAACCGGCTCCTCAGTTCCGCCCCCCCCCCGGCACTTCAGCGTTGCGGCAGCAGCTGCCCCCCCCCCCCCCCCCGCCGGCAGTGACTCAGCCTCCTTCTTCCGGTGAAGACAAACACAACCTCCGCCATTTTCCCCACAACGCTGCCCCCTTCTCCTAAGGAAGCATTTTTATGCCCACCGCCCCATTCTCAACGCATTCCTGGTCGCCCCTCCCTTCCCCACCCCCCGTTTTTAACGGCGTTTTTTCAGAGTAAGACGAGACTCAGCGCCATTTCTCCTCCTCTCACCCCTAACAAAAAATACCACCCGACAAACACCCACCTCCACCTTATGCCTCCCCACCCAGAAAAACCATCCCGCTGTTCCCCTTCCAACCCACCCTCAAACTTCCCCCGCCGCTCAACTCACGTCTCCGGCCCTGAACACCGCTGCCTCAGTCCCAGCCCGTCCCGCCGCAGCTGTAATCTGCTGTGTGACGCAGCCCCACCTGTATTTATGCTGTTTCTCACAAACAGGCTCCGCCCCCATAATCGGTAATGTACATCCGCCTCCCAAAGTAGTCCCAAGGAAAAGACCACTGTTGTGACAAATACTCGCCTTTTTCCCACTTCAGTTTCTCTTCCAGGGGGCAAGGGGGTCCTGAAGTCTTAGTGTGGGACCTTAGATCCTTAAAAATCTGGGAATTTCTGAGGGAGCGGATGGATCTGGAGGTGAGGTGAAGCGACTCGCAGAGAAAACGGGAACTTTGGCATTGATTGGTGCAGCAGTACGCAGAGTGGGTGTTGATTGGTTGATCCGGAGGGCAGCTAGAGAAGGGCGGGGGGGGGGGCGGCTGTGAGGAAAGCTCTGGAAGATTCGGGGGCTGCTCGGCGCTGATTGGTGCGCGGTGAGGTCAGCCCTGTTGCTAGGGCGGAGCCGCCTTGCGGAGGCAGATTTCAGCGGGCAGGGCTGCGCGCAGGCGCGTCAGCAATGCCGCACTGGCCGGCGGGCTGAGAGAGAAGCGCGCAGAGACCTGTGGAGATGGCGCTGGGGCGGCTTTAGTTCCTGTTTCAGCCTTAGGCGGTGCTTAGGGGAGAGCCTGGTGTTGAGCTGTGGGAAGTGCCGCAGAGAAAGAGGGGTTACTTTTGGTGCCAGTTTTTTGCTGATCTACAGAGATACCAAAGGAAATGACTGACCCCCTTCCCTGAGGTGGTGTGAAGCGTTTATGGCAGTGCCTGTAACAGTCTGTAGGGCTAATCCTGTCGTGTGTGGCGGTGAGGGAAAGCCGGGATGAGCAGAAGTGAGTTAGCAAAGCTGGAAAAACATGTTAGAAATTTGGCAAGTGTTGGTGGCCCTGGTGTGTCACGCTTGCTACAGGTGAGTGTGCCCCTTGTCATGCGACCCATTTCCTGAGCAGTGCTTTGAATCAGTTTCAGCTGGCTGACAACTTAATTCTTTAATGTGAGGTTGCAAAACATTCTCTTTGATGAAATGCTGACATTTGAAATTCAAATGGCTGTTTACTTGCCTTCAGAACAGAAAGCTCTGATCAGGTTATGGAAAAACTTCTCTTTATGAACCAATGTGGAAAGGTGCTTTGTGTTAATTAAGCTTCATTATACCTTTCAGACTGGCTCTTAATTCATTTTGTTTTTTTTCTGGAGGATATGAAATCCAAAAAGGTTTTTATGTAGCAGTGTTTTATCTGCTGCTAGCTCCTTCAGTGAAGCCAGATGAAGTTGCTGCTAAATCTTCCACTCACAAATCGTGAGCACACATGTGAATGGCAAGATTCAGTATGGACTTACTCTTTCTGCCTCTAAAAAAGCCCCATCAACACAAACTCACAACAACAACAAAATTCTTTTGCTTTGCTTTCCTTTAACAGGGCTTGCATCTGCTAGCACCTCCTGGTTTAGTATAAAAATGAAAGAAATCATCCCAACAATAATTACAATGTAGAAACAGGAAGAGAGGAAAATAGTGACTGGAAAATTCAGAGACAAGTTCATGGCAATAACCAACCTGGAAATATTATTCAGCTAAATAAACTTAGGACAAAAGGCAAATTTAGGCAATATCACATCTGTTTTCTTGATGCTGCCAGTTTTGCTCAGTGTTTCCAGTAGGTTCGCTTTGTTTGCATGGTGCCAGGGTGACTAAACGTTTGCTCCAGGGCTGGCCAGTGTATGCTGTATACCTCAGGCACTCCCTCAGCCAAACAATGTCATGGAGTCCTGAAAGGAAGGCCAGGAGTAACCAGTATTTACAAATGTGAAAGGCCACATCTGTTAAATTGGAGATTAATCACAGGATAATCTAAAAACTGGGCTGTGTTTGAGCACATCAGACTTGTATTAAGGATTTTAGTGTGCATGTCTGTTTTTCATTGTCCATCTAGATGGAGGAGGAGACATTTCTGTCCTTTTTTTTTTTTTTCCCTTCCTGTGTAGACCAGAAAGCACAGCTCTCATTATTTTTTTTCTCCTAAGTAATGCTAAATCCTGAGACTAATCTGCTTTCACTATTGTTTAGTTTCTGTTTAAGTATTCAAATCAACAGATCAGAATAAAGTCCCAACAAGAGGAGTCTGTCACGGGTAGTCCTTTAAAATACCTTGTTACAAATGGCTTCTGAAAAATTCATTCTTCAGGGAGATTACATTACCCAAAGCAAGCACAGGCAGCAACATGCTGACATTAAATGCAGACTCCATTTGAAAAACAATTATGGATTAAATTCATCAATTCCATGCAAAATGCCCCACTATTTTCCTCAGTTACCCCTCTGTCAAAAGAGAAAAACAAAAGAGGCTTTGTGCACACAACTCCAGAGCCTAGCAGAATTAAACTAATCTCCATAGCCTGCAGGCAAGGTACTCTACACAGGCCACCATTAGCATTTTGCAGCCTCCACTGATTGGATTCATTGAATTCTCTTAACTCTTAATGGGCAGTAGCCATCTACATGCGTGTATAGAGCCCACCTCTTTTGTTTTGGGGGAGTGGGCTGAATACAGAGGGCTTCTTAAATACCTCTTTTCCTGTTCCTTGGCTGCTTCTGTGTGGTAAAGTCATGCCCTGAATGTTACACACTTCATACCTGCACAGATTCTTTGTACTACTTCAATGATAATAATTACCAAGTTGAAAGGTACTTCTTTTTAAAGTCAGAATACGGTGTTTATATATTGTGGGCCAAATTGTGCCTCATTTTCACACATTATGTGCACAGGACAATCTCCCAAGCTGGAGGTGATGGCCTTGTGACTCCATTTTACTGAATTTCAGCTTTACCTCAGAATTTTGTTAGGAAATACTTTACTACCTGAATTTGATACAGACAAAGGAGATCAATTTATTCTTAAATGTGTAGTAGCTGTTGTGGTTATACAAAGCATATGTATTTAATGTATATGCCACTCTTCCTCCAGTAGCTCTTGGTGAATAAGAATCATCAAGCAGCTGACTGTATATAAATAAACGTAAAGCTGAAAAACCAGAAATCTGTGTCTTGTGACTGGCCTGACTGCACAGGTGGTTCCAGTTTTTGCCAGGGTACGGGGCCGGCAGTTGGGAACACGTTACTTCTTTCCAAGTGGTTTCAAAAGTAGGTCATTGGGCAGTAGTACAAAGCAACCTACTTTCAGAAGAGAAGAATCTGGAGTCAAATGTTTCCAATGAATCTACATTCTAGAACACAAACTGGGTCTGTTTTTTATGTACACTAATGTCCTAGCAACAGCATATAATTTCTACATGAGCAATGTCAAATGAAGCAATCTGTTTATCTTTAGTTACAAGGGTTTAACTTGGGACAGACAGACAGGCGATTTGAGTATGTGTAGCAAGTTCAGTACTGTTCCTTTGTTCAGATAAAAATAGGGCTATTTGCCACAGCGAAAACACAGTGTATATTCCTATCTCATAATATTACTCATACCTACCTCAGGTCTCTCTCACTGTGTATGACACAGGATAATTATATTTACCTATTTACAGTTGTGGAGATAAATATTTTCTCCCCAAACCTGTAACACTGCTGTAAGGCCCAGTCTTTGCTGAAGTTCCAGCCACAAGACAAAGAGAGCTGTGGCATGTTACTGCTTGTCCTTATACTGCCAAGCTCAAGGGTTACAAAAATAGTGAGTCACAATTCAAAGTACTGTGAGGTTGACTGTAATGTTATGTGATTACCAAAAAAAGACAACTGAGTTTTGTTTTTTAAGCCTTATGCTAAAAATACCTCAAATAAACAAAGTTTTTAATAGGCTATCAACTTCAGGAACTGAAAGCTTAAGAAAAACAAATAGCTATCCAGATGTGTAGTAAAAAGAGGAAAATGACCAAAGCTCCTCTGTCTCCCTGTTTAAAGCACATTTTGACTTTGCAGGACACATGGGATACATACAACTTTAGGATCTGTCCTGCCACAATAAACAGACTTAGGCAGGTCTTTCTCTGTAGGCCTAAATGACCTAGAGAAACGTGGCAATTCACCGTGCTTCTGATGTAAGGAGACTTCTAAAGGGCACTTTATAAAGACGCCATCAGCCTAAAATCACAGGTTTGTGTCTGTGTGTTTTGCCAGTGAAAGCAACAATTAATAACTAGGTCTATTCTAAAAATTACTTGTCTGCATCTTTTCAGTCTGCCTCCTGCCTGTGAGTCTTTTGGATCTGATCCAAGCTGCACTGCAGTGAAGGAGCTCTCTTTGTTCATGTTCTCTCTGCTGTGTCTGAGCCGATTCAGCATGTGCTTTCTGGGGTGAGGTTTTCCAGTAGGATAGCAAAGAAGTACCTTGAAAAGCAGAAAGACAGAAAAAATAAGTCTTAAAATTCTGCACATCATTATTAATATGTTTCAGTAGAACCTCTCTAACAATGAACAAAACCAAATGCTGTCAAGGCCATTTGGAACAGCTGTCTTCCGTTGGCCCAGAGGCCATACCTCCTGTATTTTGTTTTCAGATCCAGCTTGGCTCCCTTGATGGTAAGGATAATGTGAGGAATGCTTCCCCCCCTCCACAACAGGAAGACTAAAATTCAAGCACTGACATATTTCTCCCCTGCACAAACTATGTAGTTTTAATTACCTCAGCTTTTTTAAGTATGTTAGCTTTATACCACTACTGGTTCATTGTTTATTAGATGAAAAGCAACCACATTTCCTAATTCTCTTTAACTCACAAACACATAGCTGCTTTCAGTGCTGCTTTTGCAATGAAAATGCCCTTACAGACAGAATCTCAATGTGGGCTGCAAGCCAGGTCTGCAGAGCTGAGTCACTGTTATACAAGCAGAGCTGAGATGGCACAGAAAAGCACCTTTGTACTTTACCAGTAAAACACGTCAGCTGTTGAACTTCGAATATCACGACACCTAAAGAGAGCAAACAGTGATTTACTGGACTTTTTCTCTTGTCCATCCCATCATCTTTCTGAATAATTCTTCCTTCTCCATTTTATCTTGGAAGCTAAAGAGCAAAAGCATTCTTCATCAAGCTATTGGCTTCTACTAAAGTTTGACAAACATTACATCAGATTTGGAAGTAATGTACTAGTGAGAGCTGTTAACTCCTTGAGCACTGGGAAACGCCTGCATCCAGGTACACTGACAATACAGTACACAGCCACTGAAATTTAGGGCTTGCAAATCAGAATACCAGTGACATTTATCATCAGCCCGAGATTCACTATGAAGCTCTTGAATATATTATTTATGAGACCCCATTGTGGGCTTTAAGTCCTTTGTAATAAAATATGAAACAAATTAAAAAGGAGGAAGAATTTGTTTACTATAGCCTTCTGAAAGAAAACTGCATTTTGTTCTTCCATTTTTGTCTTTCAGTTCTTTACCCTGAAACTTCATAGAACAGAATTTAGCTTCTCAAAACGCTTTCTACATTTCAAATATGCTGAACTAATTGTGGAGGGGCACAGAGAAGAGGTTATTTGTGTGAACTGATTGCTAACAAGCTCCTAAAAATACTTTCTAGCTTTCAGTTTAGTGCAGTTACCCGTTTTTAGAAAAGGACAGACAATGTAGGCTGAAACCTGCAACTGCTGGTCGTACCCCGCACTGAAGGCGAATGAATCCGTGCTGCAAAATGCACAGGCTCAGTTTCAGTTTGTGGTATCCAGTTTCACTTCAGTGACTTTTCCTCCCAGAATAAAAGGTGACAAACATGAAATCTAGTGTGACTTAAAGGTCTGGGAGTGGCTCAGATCAGGAGCTATGGATGAACATGCTGGCATAGGCCAGAATTTGTCACATAGGGTGTATTAAAATGGTTCCATTAAGATGAATAACCAGTACAGAGGTTCACATGAGGAATAACAGGAAATTGTAACTCAGTGCCCTTTCCTATCATCAGAGAAGAGAGGTGCTGAGCCACAGGATTGTTACGCAAGTCCTGGTATGTGCTGTCTCAGGAGGCAGCCTACGCACTGTAGTCTCATGTTTTTAAAGCTGTTTTCCAGACCAGAGAGTGCTGTTAGCTGTTTCATCATTGTCCAGTTGCTTTGCTATATTCCTGGCTGAGATTGTGACCCTTTGGTGCCTTTTCTACCCCACCACTGACTGTCAGCTCACTTGTTTACATCTTTCCCTGTTTCCCTTCCTGAGAAGAGCAAGACATTAAGTCCTGTTGAAAATACAAATTATTTGATTATAACTCAAACAAAAATTTCCAGTCCTGCAACACTGGGCACAATGATTCATCCTCGAAGTGATTTTTTTCCCCCCCCAGCCAAAAGTGACTTGGACGCCTACAAGTTTTGTACTTCTGCCCTGCATTGAATAGTTTTACTTGAGAAACAGCATTGCTTTTCAGATTTTTGAGAATAACCTTTTTGAAGATATTTACCACTAGAGAGGTGCTTTCACAGTTTCCTAAGTTTTTTGTTTGTTTGTTTTTTGTTTTGTTTTTTTTAAAGGTACGTGCTATCTTGTTTTCCTTTTTAAGACTTTGGTGACAGAATTTGTGAAAAGTTGCTTAGTGGGAGTTGTGTTAGAACCCATTTCTCTCCAAGGCTGCCATAATGATTTCAAACCTCAGAAAGGACTAAATACATTTCCAAAGCTGCATCTGATACATTGCAGTATTGTGAAACAGCAGCCTTGTTTCTAAATGCGGGTGGGTGCATAGCAGAGTTGTGAAACAGTACTTTTAATAGCACCTCAGGTCTGCAAAGCACCTTGCCATCCTTGAACACGTGAAGCATCATGTTTATAATTAAAGGAAAAACCTCACGCTAATGCTTGTGGATATGTGGCATTTCTACCATCTCCGGGGGATTTTACAAGCAAGAGGCGAGCCTGTTTTGCTTTGAGGCAAACCGCCTAACAGCACGGGGCGTGAATTTTCCGTGACTTCCAGTTTGGCTCGCTCACGGTGCCCACCTCCCCCTCGCCGCTCCCCGTTACAGCTGGCAGAGGGGGCCGATGCCGCCACCGGAGCGTCCCCTGCGGCCCCGCTGCTCACGGCGAGGCCGGGCCGGGGGCTTCCGCCCCCCGGCCCCCCCCCCCCCCCCCCCCCCCCGCCACGGTCCCGCTGCGCGGCGCCGTAACGCTGCGGCGCCCCCTGTCGGACGCGGTGCACCTCCGCACGGCGGCGGCTCATGGGGCGAGCCACGGCGGGCAGTGCGCGGCGGTCCCGGAGGGTCAGCGCGGCCGCCAGCTCCCCCGCGGGCGGGAGCAGCCGGGGGCGAAGGAAGAAGGCGGGGGAACCCCCGGCGGGGCCAGGGGTGCAGGCACAGCCTCCCGGCCCCGGCGCCTTCGAGCTGGGAGCGCAGAGCGAGCGCTGGGCCGCCTTCCAGGAGCGGCACCGGCTGAGCTGCGAGGAGGCGGCGCGGTTGCTGCTGGACGCCTAGTGAGTACGGGGCCGGGGCGGCTCTTGCCGCAGCTTCTAGGCTGAGCCACCCTGCCCGGCGGCTCCTTCCCCGGTTAGATCGTCGTCCTCTTGGCAGCATTTGCACAGCACTAAACACGGGCTCCGGGAGAGCTGCGGAGGAAGACGGGGAGGTGGAGGGGTCCCCCAGCACGCAGCCCCGGAGAAAGTGGCTTTTTTATGCTAAAAGCTTCCAGTGTTTTAGGGCTCTCCCGTCAAAAATGCCCTTGGGTGCATTGTGCGGGATCAGTGAGGCTCGGTCTCTGAATCTCCACCCATTTCCTGTGCTCGCGCTTGGCAGCCCACAGCACATCAGCCCTGGGCTGTAATCGGTAACTGTCCGTGGGAATGAAAATCTGAAAGGAAAAGGGGGTTTCCTTTGCATTTGTGTTTGACCTAGCATGGTGATTCTGCTTAGTTGCTATGGAAGCATCCCAGGGGAGAGAGAGAAGCACAAACAAGCTCAGAAATTCCTTCATCATGAAGTTCCTCTGCAATTATAGTACAAAATAAAATGTATTTAAAATATTACAGAGAATCCACTTGTCTCCGCTTTTCCCAGCTTTTAGATGGAGGAATATTAGTAGTGCTAGTGCAGTTGTGGGAAAACTCAGTTCCCAGTTCCAAAAGGGGTTGTCTTGTGATACCACCCCTTGTCTCTGCTGTTGTGCACGGATAATGCTGTAGCTTGGGTCAGCATTTTGACCTGGACTGTGGCAGGGGGAGCATATGTTTTGCATTGCATTCTGAGTGTACTTTACTTGAACTGTTGCTCTTCTTTCCTTTTCACCATTTTAATTAAACCAGAAAAGTGATTGCTGCAGAGGACAAAAGCCATTCTCTGCCTCCCTCTGGCACATTTTATTAAAATACATTTGAGGATACATTTTATGGTGTTCTGCAATTGCTCAAAGCAGAATTGAATAATGTAGTATATTGTTTTATTGGAAAAAAAAAAATAAGTATGATCACAAAACCTCTCTGTTGTTTCTCTTTCCAGTGAATACAAAGGTTTGGTCAAGCACACAGGAGGCTGTCACTGCGGAGCCGTCCGCTTTGAGGTCTGGGCTTCAGCAGATCTGCATGTTTTTAACTGCAAGTGAGTGGGGGTTTTTGTTCTCTATTGTCATAGATGAATGTAAACTTGAATGCTTTTCCAATCAATACCTTAGAGCTAAAAAAAGAAGACAGAGCTGCAGAACATCCTCTAAGCTGTTTCCATAGGGTATACCCCTAATTATGTCCTGATCCAATATGGGATCAGTGCTGGTGATTTCAGGTGCTGCTTCTTTGGGCAGGACTTCAGGTCTCACATCCATGTTCACGCAGAAAACATCAGGAGAGATGTAATGAGTACAGGTGCTCAGCCATCTGCCTTATGTTTCCTCTAAGTGCAGCATGCTCAGAACATACCAATCCTTTTTTAACTTGGTCTTCTCAAGTGAATGTTACATCTCTGACCACATGTGCTTTAAACTACACCACTGTCTGATTTCAACAGTGATCCCCCTTTGCCTGCAACTAGTTTGCTTCTAGCTCATGGGTAAACTTCTGAACCCTACTTTCTTGTTTGTGAGGTAATTAATGTTGGCAAAATTGGCGAAGTCTGGTCTCAAAGATTAAATGTATTTCTCAGGGCTAGAGTTTGTCCTTATGTCTACTGGGAGTTGTATATGTGAAGAAAAAAGGACATACAGTGTTTGGTGTAGGAGAATACCTTATCAGTGTACCTGTGTAGGGTCAGTCTGTTCCATGGGTGCTCTCAGCTAAACACTACTGATACCACGAGTCCACTTTTGCTGCTTACCTCTGTGATGCTAACCAGGAGCCATTTCAGCTGTCAGTGGAATTTCTGTTGTTAAGAGCTCCATGCTAGATCTGATTGCTGTACTACAGCATGTCTGCTGCTTCTAGAAAGGTCTGCTTTTTCTTTTACAGTTGCAGCATTTGCACAAAGAAACAGAACAGACACTTCATTGTCCCAGCGTCGCGTTTCAAGCTGTTGAAGGTAGAGTAAGAATGCAGTAAGAGCATGGCCATGAACATGAGCAATGTAATCCAGTGTTATCCTCAGAGATGCAAGTGGCAGCCAGTTTTCTATCCTAAATTTGTCTATATCTGGTTGGGGGAAATAGCTGAATTTTATGCGGTCTGTTGTGGGTACGTTAGTGCATTTTATTTAGTGAGCTGACACTGGAGCCCTTGCAGTTCTCAGGCTTGACTGTTACGGACATGTGTGTATACAAAGTACAGGGGTTCAGAAAAGGAGCATGAATGCAGAACTCTGTATCTCAAGTGAAGACACTTGATGGTAGTGGTGGTATTTTAAATTTCACATTTCTTAGCTACAGGCCCATAGAAAGTAATACATACATCTGTTTATGTGGAAAACTTATATTGCTTTTCATTTGCCTAGGGTGCTGATAATTTAACAACATATACCTTCAACACACATCGTGCCCAGCACACATTCTGCAAGACCTGTGGTGTACAGAGCTTTTATACTCCTCGTTCTAATCCAGATGGTTATGGTAGGTAGAAAGAACAGGCTGTGGTAACCAAAGGTAACCACCAAGCAAGCCTCGGGTAAAGACTCCACTGGATGCTAATATGACAGCGTGAGCAGCATGTGTCTTACAAGTTTGTTCCTAAAGTGCTCAACATCTGGAACTGCAGTCTGAACCTGTAGCTCCTGCATGAGAAACAGTCTTAACTGTGATGTGTGGGCTTCTGCCCATGACAGGTTTCTCATCTAGGCTCCTCAGCCTTACAGCAATAGCTGGATTGAGTATTTTCCCATTTCCTGAGATGCCCTCTCCACAGAGGTGCAGGCATCTCCCACACTTGATCTATGAAAAGCAGGTTTCTATGTACTCTGTCTCTCTTCAGGAATAGCGCCCCATTGTCTGGATGATGGCACTGTGCAGACCATTGTCACAGAGGATATCAATGGCAAGGAATGGGAGAAGGCAGTGAAGGAACATAAGACCATCAGAAACATGTCAAAACCCTGACTCAACCTTCTAGCAGCTGAACTTGGAGCACTGTTGTGGAACTGTGGTCTGGGCTTTCCTGGGTGAGGGTTGGTGAAATCGATCTCTACATTATTGTTATCTGTTTTGTTTCTTAAATAAATCTTTCTATGCTGCCTGTCCCATTAATTTGTGACTTTCAGTTTTCAAACTACATCTGTTCCATAAACCACCCTAGGGCTGCTCTCCTGGTACTTTGCCCTTAGCTGTGCTAAAGTTTAAACCACAACAAACAGAGCAAAGTACAGAAAAGAAAAAAATCTAATCGTTGCTTGTATGGATATTTCCTGTGTTCCAAGTCTGGTTTATAAAACTGTCCTATGTAAGATAATCTCTTGCTTAGGATGTAAGACTAATTTACACTTTTTTCTCCACTGACTTCCATGAATTGACTATGGATTTAAATGGGATTTGAAAAAGATTAGCAGGCTCAAGTTCAGTAAAGCATTTACACAGGTGCTTAGTTTAGCAAGAGAGAGGCCACTGAAGTTGTTCGTATGATTAAGTACTGTTTTGCTTAAGACTGGACTTACTCATGGTCTTAAGGCTGAGTAGGCATATGCTTAGGCACTGACTCATGGCCAGGGAAGAGAGTTCAACACTGTCATACTCTTGTAACAATGGGCATGTACTTCAGTACAACCAGGAACTCGTTTGTTGTCTTCAGGAGGAGGATGTGCTCACAGCAACAGATCAGGATCTGGCAATTTGGGCTCTGATCTGGACTGTGCAATGACTGGCTGTGTAGATCCAGGAAAGATGCTTCCTCTAGGTGTGAGCCCACATGAATGAGTGCAAAGGCCTACAGAAACGTCGAGTATTGCTGACTGTGCTTCACTATGACCCCACAGAAACCCAAATCACCAGTAATATCTCTGTATAGGCTAAGAAATGAAACCACTGAAAGTTGCTTCACTTACCTTTTAACATGAAGGGAGAGGATCTTTAACTCTTGCACTTGTCTTTTATATAAGTGGAACAGATTTCAAAACATCTCTGGCAATTTTTATCTCCACATATGTTCTATAAAAGACCTGTTTACAGTCTGGGTCTCTTCCACCCCATTCCTATGTCCTGTTGAGTCTCTTGTGAGTTGATCTCAAGCCCCATGTTCTGAAGCAAAAAGAAATTTTCATGTTTCACGAGGGATGCTCTGCGAAGGTGGAGCCTGCAACATAATGTGTATGAAAGAAGCAGCAGTAGCAGCTAGTCTGATTTCTGAGGGTTTATTCTGACTGAATAAAACGGGTCTTGTGGTTCTCGTTTTCTCTGTGGAGATAGCATGATCTTTGAAAAGTTACTCCTGATATCTGGATTTTACAAAAGCACCAAGAGATAGTTGCCAAGCAGTCCTTGCAGCTGTATCCTCTTGGGGAAAAATAGTTTGTGCCATGTCTTCTCTAATGCAGAGTACTCCTGCATCTGACTCCTAATTAGGTTAATCCAAATTTCTTAGGCTATTTAAGCTTCTACAGTGAGAAAACAGAGCCGCTGTTAAACCCTGTTCATATCAATGTATCAGGCAACAGAAGGAACTTCAGAAGGAAGCCTGGTTTTTGTAGTCTGAAAGAATGCTACACAAAGAGAATCCTGTCCTCTTGAGTATGTAACAGGTGAATTTTCTTTAGTCCTGGGCCTGGCACGGTCTTTTTTTCACTCATTCTTTTACTCCTCAAGTTGTGAGTGACGTTTCTTTTACAGAAGGCGGAGTGAATTGATCACCATATAACGTGAGAAAAGCATATAGATGTGGCGAAACCAGAGGAGCTGGCTGCGATGACACCGCATGGCTCTCTAGAAGGAAAAATAGCTGAGAAAGCATTACAAGACCCTTCCAGACCTAATGTGAGGGCAGTTTCCTAGGCCTCCTGTGAGGTTCCCTGCCAATTCACAGGATAGCCTGTTCCCAGTGAGCAGCAAAGAAGTAGTGGGAGGTAGAAGGCTGCCTAATCTATGGGGCCACAGGGCAGGGAGAGGCCTGTCTGCCCCTGTATGGAGATGGTGTGCTGCCGAGTGTTCAGAGGGGTCGTGCTAGAAAGGACGTTATCAGCTGCAGATTGGTGCAGTGACAGTTTCTTTATCACATATAACTCCTCCTCCCTATGTGATCTCACGCCTGGGTGTTCACATGCTGGGGAAGCAGAAACCTGATAGATGTGCATCTGAGAACACTTTGCACGCTGCTTCCGATCACACATTGCCAGCTGAAACTTAATCTATTTATAGCACACTGGCTTTGAAAGGTCAGGTTTCAGAAACAAAAAACACAAGGGAATAATGCTACCTTTATCAGAGCACCTTCTATATGTAACTCTATCTTTCAGCAGCCACAAAACCAGGAAAGTTCTGTAATTTGTGGATTAACAGGACTGTTTGCTGGGCAAATATTTTCATGCTGTGGAAGGGGAGCTAATCAGATTCTGATATAGGGAACTGTGGACTAAATGAGTGAGATCTCGTGCAGCAAAACAGTTCAAAAAATACACAGTAGAGAGGGAACTTTTAAAGAGCTTTGGCCCACAAGTTCACAAGCTGTCTTCATCTTTAATTAGGGCTATGATCCAATGACGCTGCCTTGGCATGCAGCCATGCCATTCTTTGACAGGCCACCCACATGTTCAGAATATTATGCTGGATCTAATCTCCTTTGAAATACATCCTACTTCCTGGACACAGTGTAAAACTCAGTGCACTGTGACTACTGAAGATCTCTGAGCTGCAAATCTGCTCAGCGTTGTCTGGCTATCCACACAGCACATGAAGCAACCCATCTTGTCCATTCACGTTTTACAAATCACTGAAGATTGTCTACTGGTGACATTTATAATCCACGTATATAATTATTTATGAAGTTCTCTGTGAATATGACACCTCTGACTAAAGTCTCCACAATGATGATGAGCTATTCAAACAGGTTAAGCAGGTACCATGCATCTCACCCTGGCTTGTTCAGTCTCCTCCTCTGTAAGTATGAAGAGAGCATCTCTGGGCAGGAGGCAGGAAACGGCTACATCCAGGATGGAGATGTACTTCCGGAAAAGATTTACTGATTCAAGCACGAGCACACAGCACCCTAGACACAGAAAGAGAATAAATATTTCAAAACAACAGTGTTGTTGTAAGGTGCCCATCTCTCCAGGCTCAGCGGGTCTTTGCAGGCTCCCCTGTATTGCTGGCCATGGGGATCCATTCCATGCAAAAGAGGAGCAACTTCTACTCATGTTTCCACCAGGACTGTTTTGTGCCCAGTGCATGTCTATGACCATTTATACCGGTTCTTTTTCTGTATATGGTCTGTGGAAATAAAAGCTCTGAATACCAAAGGGTTTGGTTTTTTTTTGCTTATAATTTAAATTATTCCTACATAGTTATATGCAAAGGAAAAAGCACAGATGGCTCTCTGAATGCTGGCACTATATCATATAATGGAAACTTAAAACAGCAGTCTCTGGTTCAGCTATAAAAATGAAATGTCCTCTTTCTACTCCAATTCTTAGCTACAGAAAATATATTTACAAGTTTCAGGAATGGCTGTATCAAATATTAACTCAGGCAGGCAGTTACACTTTAACAGAGTTTCAGAATTCATTGCTCAAATGTTTGTGATGAAGCAGATGAAAGTAACATGTATAAAGATTCTACTGGTGTGGATTTTTTTTTTTTGTTTTAAAGAGCCCCTTGAACTCAAAAGTTAATTGCTATTTTTTTTAACATGGCTAAATTGTCTTCACTGATGAGCTCAGAGTTACTATCATTCCATTAAGAGCCTGTAGCTCTCAAGGGAGCTGCTCTGGCATTTCATAGGGCTTGGAAGCTGCTGTGATTATGCTCCACGCTTCAGATATTGTACTAAAGTTCTACAGAAGAGGCCAAAGCCACAATTTACACAGGTGGTCAGATATGCACTTAGATTTGCAAGAAGATTTTCTTCAGTGTGCCCTTAAACACTGAAATTATACAAAGGAGACAAAGAACAATGCTGAATTGCTACAAAGGCTGCCTAACAGATCATTTTAGTGTGTAAAGCCTCTGCTCATGTCTCATATTGCTTAAGCTGTTACATCCTGAGCACAAAGCAAACTGGGGTGCTCAAATACCTCTTGGCCCTAGAACGTAGGCAGAACTTGTGTCCTCCTAAGGAAAAAGATTCTCCAGGACAGGGGCAGAAGCAAACATCTTTTCCTAAAGGAGAAACTACATAGGTGGGTTTCTGTGAGAGAGATGATGATGCCTCTGCTAGAAGCCGTCTGTGCAGATCTGCTGGCGCTCTGGAATCTCATCCCACAAGGACCTGAACAGTCAACCTGCTGCTAACTTCCTTACTTTGGACATTTTGTAGATCCTTCAGTCTAGCCTCTGTCAAGTATGAGACAGGAAAACAAAGCTTGTTGCTCTTACAGTGAGTAAATTTCCTGGAGACATAAGGGAAGAAGCCCCTGCAAGTCTCCAAGGCAGAGCATGGTACCCAAAGATACCCCACCAGCACCATTCCTTGCCCAGCCAGGGGTCTGTGACACACTGAACCCAGGAACAAACAGCACGCATGGGATGATCCTCTGCAAATCCCCTCACAAGTGGTTTGTGTCCCCTGCCTCCTCCCAGTGACACTAACTCATTTCACTGCAAAGGAAGGTCTTGCTTTTATTGCAGCCAAAGCCCAAAGTGACAAGACATGGCAGCCCTGATGGAATCCCTCCAGCACATCTCCACGGTCTTTCAATTCCTTTCTTTCTTCTCTCTCCTTCAAGAGAAGGATGTACAATTTGTTCCAACTTTTCAATAAATAGCTTTTTCCACTCTCAAAAGCAAAACTAATAACTGTTTATTTCAGTATCACAGAGGGCTCCAGGACCATGCTCCCCTTCCAGTTCTCCTTCTGCATTGATCCTGGGGCATGACTCCCCAACAGGGTGGACAGAGCATTCAAAGGAGTTATTTTCTCCTGCTGTGGGCAGCAATGGGCAGCGTTAGAGGCCTCAAGGGAAATCACTGGCACTTCCATCCAGCCAAACGCTGACATGAGTCTCTGCTGTGCCAGGAACCGGAGGAAAAGCCCTCCTGAAACTCCTAGACATTTGCTGCAGGCTCACCTGCCAGGAGCTGCCGGGAGATGGCAGTGTCCGCCAGCT